AATCGAATAATAATTGAGACTTTTATTGACAAAAAACCTTAAAAAGTGACCTGTTGAAAATTGCTTATTTCTCCGCAACTGAACAAGTTAGAAACCATTTTGTGATATCTATATGATCGTAAGGGGTCATTGTAATAGTTGATTTGAATCAAATATCAAAATTTTAAACAAATAACAAATATGACTCATTTGAATAAATTACTGGTTTCGAAGGCTATAAATACAATTTTTGCCCAAATTACGTCATTTCCGGTGATATTGAAAGGGTTAATTTGGTTTGACCTAGTTGAAATTGACATTACACATCAAATGGTGTCACTTTTATGAAAATCGAATAATAATTGACTCTTTTACAGGCAAACTAGCGTAAAAAGTGACTCATGCAAAATTGCCCATTTCTCGGCAACTGCGCATATTACAAATTAATTTTCACATACATTCTCTCCGTATAGATTATTGCTACGAGTTTATGAAAGTTACGAAGTAATATTTTAAAATATGAAAACGCTGGATGGGTTGTAAATAGCTTAATTTTACACCTTTTTTCACCTTTTAATCGAAATAGCCCGAAAACGGAATCGAAATTAAAAAAACTGGTCCCAACATTTTGTGCGCCTTTAAAGGGCGCACAATTTCAGTTATACCAGATTTGAAAACAATAATATTTGCTTTCGAAAAATGGTACCTAACTGTCAAAATTGTAGTTTTTTGTCAATTTACGCCACTTCCGGTGCCGACAGATAACACTATTGGTAACAAAAAAAATGACAATTGAGACAACGGAGCATATGAACTTTGTTTTATACAAATCGAACAATAAATAATTAATCTAGGACTGAAAAACTGAATTAGCCAATGGGGGCCAAGGAAAATTACCGAGACAAAAATTTTTCACATTTTTGCCCAAGTCAGAGGGCTCGTTATATTTGTGTAAAACACGACTAAAAAATATTCATAAATAAAAAAGTTTTTTGTAAAAATTTAAATTTTCTAAATTTAGCGCCTAATATCTGCGAAGATTTGCCGAAAATCAAAAATCAAAAGTAGCGCAGCTATGTGCCCTGTCTCCAGCTATGCCAAAATGTATCGAAAGTTAAAATCCCATGATTATTGTTAAAATTACCGCAATATTTGTAAAAACGATAACTTCGGTGATTTCGGACATTTCGCATTGTCGCAGAACGTTCAAAATAGCTTTATCCTCTAAGTCACACCCACTTTCCCAGTAAAACCGAAGAAATCGTAACGATGCGACAAGTAGTTGCTGAGATCTACTCAAAACAAAAGAAGAATAATAATAATAATAAGAACTAGAACTGCGAAGCAGTAATGACGGGTTTCACCGGTGCCACGTTACCCTTGAACTTATGTCACTTCCGGTACCAATGAAACCGTTAAACAGGTTTCCACATAAGCATTGCACACATGAAATAAAATGGACGCAGAAACAACCAAATCCAGCAATCAATTCATTTGCTACATGTCAGTGATCCTGTCAAAATTACATTACTTCCGGTGATAATGAAAATGTTAAATTGGTTTATGAAATCAGAAATAGCATGATCACATGGTGAAAATTTTATGTAAATCCTATAATAATTGCCACCTTTATAGACCAAAAACCTTGAAAAATGACTTGTAGAAAATCGCCTATTTCTCCGCAACCGTACAAGTTAGAAACCATTTTGAGGTATCTGTATGATCGAAGGAGTTCATTCTATTTGTTGATTGGAATCAAATATCATAATTTTAAAAACATTACAAATCTGATTCATTTGAATAAAATATCTGTTTTGAAGGCTAAAAATACAGTTTTTGCCAAAATGACGTTACTTCCGGTGATAATGAAAATCTGAAATTACTTGTATGAAATCGTAAATGGCATTATGTATCACACAGTGAAAATTTCATGAAAATCGAATAATAATTGAGACTTTTATTGACAAAAAACCTTAAAAAGTGACCTGTTGAAAATTGCTTATTTCTCCGCAACTGAACAAGTTAGAAACCATTTTGTGATATCTATATGATCGTAAGGGGTCATTGTATTAGTTGATTTGAATCAAATATCAAAATTTTAAACAAATAACAAATATGACTCATTTGAATAAATTACTGGTTTCGAAGGCTATAAATACAATTTTTGCCCAAATTACGTCATTTCCGGTGATATTGAAAGGGTTAATTTGGTTTGACCTAGTTAAAATTGACATTACACATCAAATGGTGTCACTTTTATGAAAATCGAATAATAATTGACTCTTTTACAGGCAAACTAGCGTAAAAAGTGACTCATGCAAAATTGCCCATTTCTCGGCAACTGCGCATATTACAAATTAATTTTCACATACATTCTCTCCGTATAGATTATTGCTACGAGTTTATGAAAGTTACGAAGTAATATTTTAAAATATGAAAACGCTGGATGGGTTGTAAATAGCTTAATTTTACACCTTTTTTCACCTTTTAATCGAAATAGCCCGAAAACGGAATCGAAATTAAAAAAACTGGTCCCAACATTTTGTGCGCCTTTAAAGGGCGCACAATTTCAGTTATACCAGATTTGAAAACAATAATATTTGCTTTCGAAAAATGGTACCTAACTGTCAAAATTGTAGTTTTTTGTCAATTTACGCCACTTCCGGTGCCGACAGATAACACTATTGGTAACAAAAAAAATGACAATTGAGACAACGGAGCATATGAACTTTGTTTTATACAAATCGAACAATAAATAATTAATCTAGGACTGAAAAACTGAATTAGCCAATGGGGGCCAAGGAAAATTACCGAGACAAAAAATTTTCACATTTTTGCCCAAGTCAGAGGGCTCGTTATATTTGTGTAAAACACGACTAAAAAATATTCATAAATAAAAAAGTTTTTTGTAAAAATTTAAATTTTCTAAATTTAGCGCCTAATATCTGCGAAGATTTGCCGAAAATCAAAAATCAAAAGTAGCGCAGCTATGTGCCCTGTCTCCAGCTATGCCAAAATGTATCGAAAGTTAAAATCCCATGATTATTGTTAAAATTACCGCAATATTTGTAAAAACGATAACTTCGGTGATTTCGGACATTTCGCATTGTCGCAGAACGTTCAAAATAGCTTTATCCTCTAAGTCACACCCACTTTCCCAGTAAAACCGAAGAAATCGTAACGATGCGACAAGTAGTTGCTGAGATCTACTCAAAACAAAAGAAGAATAATAATAATAAGAATAATAATTTTAACAAAAACAATAGTGTTTCACACAAGCTTCGCAGTGTGAAACCCTAATAATAATTTTAACAAAAACAATAGTGTTTCACACAAGCTACGCAGTGTGAAACCCTAATAATAATTTTAACAAAAACAATAGTGTTTCACACAAGCTACGCAGTGTGAAACCCTAACGAGGCAAATTCGTACCATATTATGGAGTGTATAAGAGAACTGCTTTATCATTCTGAAAAACAATTAAACTAGAACCTGAGTTACAATCGATTGGTAACTTTAAACTGTCTGGAATTATATTTTGTTCATGTAAGAATTACTAGGAACATAATTATGTCGTTTATTGGTTTCTGTTTGTTCTGGGTGTGTTTCTAGGCTACTACAGTTGCTAGTTATTATTAGAGATCGTCATGACGTACTTGCTCGCTCTGTACGTTACCGGTGCATGTACTTTAAAACTATTGATCTAAAATGGTTCAGAATCAAGGCCAAAGGCCTGTAGGCGTTGGTGCTAAAAATGTCTTTCCTGTTTTAAACTTATAACTGTGTAAAAATTATTAGGAAATTAAAACGGCACACCCTGATTGATATGAATAGAAAAAAATACCCATTTGAATTGCATTTAATTATGTCGGTAGATAAAGTCAACGTTGAAATATAACCCACTGTGATATTCAGAGCTTGAAAAATCCAACAAACTTTTATTCCGCTCCATCTTTTCTACCTATATTAAGCCGCATAGAAATAACATTTCAGACTAACACATACTCCACAGCCCTCGTCGTGATAACAAAACTTGCACATACTTGCTACATGGTGATAACAAAAGCCCATAGTCCCCATACTAGCAACAACACTTATACGCTTTCACATCACAGTACTCATACTTGCTGCATCGTGATAGGAAATGGTCACACCCCTTATACTTGCTACAAAGTGATAAAAGCCATACATCAGAGGTAACTAACTTCGTGATGTCCAAAAATAATGACATGGTCATGATATTGAAAGAATCGCATAAATGTCATGATTTGTAATGATAATTTGAGTATTTATTCATGAATTACACGTGTATATGTCAATGTATCTTTATTACAGGCGAAGCAACGGGTTAGCCATAGTTAAAAGCATAATATACAGATATGAATAGTATGCATTGTAATCTAGATATACAAATATAACAATAAAGTATACATAATCTCACCCCTTTATTGTATTGCAAACACCTGTCAGTGAAAAAAAAAACAATACGAAAAAAATAAAATAAAATAAACAAGAACACCCCCCCCTACACCCCCCCCCCCCACACACACACACACCACCACCACCACCACCAAAAAAAAAATACTACAAATTTGATATAAGAATATCATAGCACACTGCATGGCGTATGCCCGTCTTCTTTAGATCAGTCTGGGTAGAACAGTAGGACATAAAAAACCCATTTTATTTCATTTCTATTATATATAACTTATTTAGTGGGTGGCGGTATTTTAATGTCATTGTAACAAGTTATCATGAATATATGATTGGCTTTATCAATACTTTGGAGCCACAGTGGTTCACTGATTAAGGCACTGGCTCGCTAACCAGGATATCTCTTGGGTGCGATCACGGTTTTGCCCACAGAAACACCCGTCTCGGCTAAATTTCCCTTACAGCACACTGCATATTCATCTTCATTAGCCCAACTGGCGCCGCATAATAGGACGTTAAACCCGATTACATTTCATTTCTTAAATACTTTACATTATTTATTTATTATTTATTTATTTTTGATATAGGGGGGTTATTTTCTGGAGATAATGAACAATGACACTAACGCTATTTATCGACATCCTGGTACAGGTTTTATATCTGAAAGTGACACCACGTAAGTATTATATTATTATTTTTACAAAACCCTTTTTTTACGACATTAATGTTTAAAGATGTTTTATGTAAGAGCTAAATCTGCCTAGTACAGGTGCGGAGAGCGGGAGATGGAAATAGGTCGCCACATCCTACGTACGACCCATGCATCCTTTCTTACTACATGTCTTAGTAGCCTTGTGGTCGTCTAGAATTAGTCTCTAGCTGTCTTTGCTTCTGCTTCACGTTGTGTATTTACTTAAGACGTTTGTTTTCTCAGTAGTTATAACAATGCAACAGTTCGTTTTTACATTTTATATAGCATAGCTGTATACATAGAAACAAACATAGTATAGATTACAATACTAAAGTCATTCTCAAACATGACGTAAAGAGCGTATAATATTACTGAGACACAAGGGTTTGTTTGTTGTAGATTGTATTGTTATTAGAAATATTTAATGTGATGTGTAACTAGATGCAGACTATAGTTTTTTTCTCTTTTAATACCACCCACAGCACCAGGATATGCATATTTCATGCTTATCTATTTTGGTTCAACCCCACCAGGATTTATATTGCTTGATAATTAACAACCTTGAAACCTGTTTTAAAAAAAAATGCATATCATCTTCCAAATACATGAGTAATATCCTGCTTTTATAACATCGTGTATTTGTGTTACTTGTTTAAACCGGACCTACTAATCACCGACAAGGACCTAAAATAACGCTCAAAGTTTTGCGACCTTTTCGTCTCCGTTAAGCCAGTGGAGAACGCTAGATCGGAGACGGTTCTGCACATATGACGTCATATGTGGATTGCGCGTTAGATTTTAGTAAGGTTTAGGCTTGGTCCATGGGTAGGTTGAGGTTTAAGAATTTGGGGGAGAGGTTAAGTCTCCACATAAGCACTGACCTAGGATGATGAAAAATTAGTTCCTAGTTTTATTAAAAATACATACAATGCATTAGATTTATATACAAAGGGGATTTCACTGTTTTTTTGGTGTTGGTGGCTCTGATGGTCTTCCTTGGATGGTGCTTCTGGTATTCTGGTATTTTTGTTTCTGAAGAAAAAAAGAATAAATTTGAGGCTCTCGGGGGAGAGCCACATTAGTGTGTTTCCTACTACGAATTGGATTTTCTAAAAATGTGTTTGTTCCCCACCACCGGGTTAGGGCTAGGGATTCTTTTATCTAGTTGATTTTATTTACTAACGGTTAGGGATAGGATTTGATATATGGTTTGTTTTGGGTTAGGGTGGAGACTGGTCTTATTTAATCTAATTTACTGTGCACTAGGATGTCGTTCAGTTTTTTATTTTTAGAATATGCAATTATAAGTTTCTGTGTGAATATTTTCGGGTGATTTTCTTTGAGATCAGTATAGTGTTTTCTGATGATTTTGGATGCATTTGCTGCTGTTGCGCTAAATGGAACTATACAAAAGGGGCTATTGCGCTAGCCGTATGAATATTCAAACCGGGGGGGGGGAGCTGTTGTTTTCAATTTGTCAATCCAGAATTTTTCTCATGTTAGCCTAAACGTTTTAATGTCTTCTGTAGTTTCAAGGTCGCTCTTGGTCTTTTCTATTGGCGTGACAATGAGATCAGAAATGTCATGATTTGGTTGGTTGTAATGAATTGAGACTGGTTTGTCTTTTTTGGTGACTATGTCTGACCGGTGACCGTCAATTCTTTCCCTAAGTGCATTCTGAGTCTCCCCTACGTATTGTTTGTCACATTGTCTACATGAAATTAGATAAATTTTGTTTGAACTACTGCATGAAAGTTGATCTAATATTGGGAATTGTGTGCCAGATCTTTTGTTATGGAAATGGTCGGATATGGTTATGATTTTGCATATTTGACATCTCGGATGGCCACAAGTTTTGGTTTTAACTGCTGATTGCATATTATTTGTTCCTTCGGCGGCAAGGTCAGCTAGAGTGTTGTTTTTTATACGTCGGAGATAGCGTTTGGAGTGTCCCCTTTCTCTTAGTTTGCTAAATACCAGCGTAAATGCTGACTCAAAGTCGGTCTTCTGGGTGCAATCCTATGAAAACGGAGAATCTGAGATTTTATGATGCCAGAGAAGGTATGTTTGGGGTAAAAGAAGCCCTTGAACAATAACATACTAAACTAAGGCTGCCTGACTACAGTTAGCTCCTCTTGAGAACAGACGCTACGCTAGTTAACCGATATTTTGAATCCTAAATCGACGATTTTAGTCGAAAATACTAAGTATATTTCGAGAATTTTGGGAAATACTTATTCTGCTTTCATTTAATGTGATTGGATATACTATTTTTCTAGATATGGCGGCCTTTCAGGACAGATATTTATTCTCAAAGTATGAAGTAGGTGGATCTCTGTGTGCAGAATAGAACAATAATTGATGTGTATCGGTTTCTTTGAAAAATACTTTAGTTTCCAGTTGGCCTGTGTTTTTGGTGCTGCTACTTTTTAAGACGGTGGTTGAATAGTTTTTCAAATATTTGTGTATTCGGATATTGTTTACTTTATTTAATATTTTTCGAATTATTTTTCACGCTTGATATCAGTCTTTTAACGTTATCTTAATACATTGTTTTGAATAAAATAACATTGATGAGATCATACAAACAACACCAAGGTTTATATTTGTCTACACCATAGTCGTTTATAACCTGCATTTTTAATATAGGTTTATCGTCGATTGAAGTATCGGTGTTTCGACCCCCGCTCCTTCTCTCCCTCTCTCTCTCTCCCCTATCTCTCTCTCTCTCTCTCTCTCTCTCTCTCTCTGATGTTTATTCATTAAATAAAAATTATTGTTTTAGATCGAGATCACAATCTTTCACACTACCAAATGAACCTTGTAGTGACTGTACATTACGTTTAGTTAGAGAAGCTGCTGAATGGGGTGGTAGTTGTGGTAAAAAATATTTATTTTGGTCCTGTGCTGATGTTGATATCGTAGCTGGTAATTAGTTAAAATTATTTATTATAATTAATATTCTACTATACATGTATATCCAAGCCTAATTTCGTTATACATAGACATTTTCATCACACATTATATCCGGTTTATGTAAATATATTACAAAAATTATCCGTTTCCCGTTTAAAGTGTAAAAACTTTAAAACAGCCAAAAATATGTATTTATTTCCCTTTTCATCTTTAATTTTTGATACATTTATCTGGGAGTAATAGAGCACGTCAAAATCACCTATTTTACTTACACATCAAATCATAGAGCTAGCTGTCGGCTTTTAAAGTTGCAATTTCATATTTCTAAGTTATATTTTTAAAATGTATTAAAATAAAGCCTTAAAATAAATAGTATCTATAAACAGTCCTACCTTGTTAAAGAATAATCCTATTAATCCTATAATTCACTATTGCCAGTTGAGAAATTGGCAAAAATATCATTTTCATCGATAAATTCAAACGTTTGAAGTAAGCTACTTCATGGTGGAGAATAGAAAACAAGGGAGGTAATTGGGAGGTAATTGTGTTATTATTTCCGGTGTAAATGAGTTTTAAGTGTGAGAATGACACCTATGATCGTATAATAGTGAGTTGACAACCTATTAAGCAAAAGACATAGAAATAATTATGTTTTGACTTTCTTAGAAAATATGGAATTGTAACTTTAATGAATGTCTTCATCTGTTATATTTTTTTGTAGGTAAATATATAATTTTGTTGTTTTATCTCTAGCTAATGAGTTTAATGAAGATTGTTCAGGACATGGTACATGGACTAATAACGCCTGTCAGTGTGACTCTACCCATGAAGGAGATAAATGTCAGCACAAAGGTACAAATGTTTGTCTATCAATCTTAATCACACATCTGAATAATACCATACATGTTCGGAAATTAAATTATATTTGTGTTATATTTCTTTAGTCCCCATACCTTTATAAACAATGGATTTAATACCGTCAAGACCACACACACACACACACACAAAATTCTTTTATCTAGCCTAATAATTGCTGCAGTATCTTATGGAGTCTATCAGAGTTACCTACCTTATATTTAATGTTTAGTCTTTAGTTCCCACTAATCGCCCAAACTAATTATTATCGCACGTTTAATTGCGTAACTTCATTTTCACAAATGCTATAAGCAATTTATTTTATCATATATAATTCTTTGAAATAGTAGTTTTGCGTTAAACAGACATGCAAAGGGAGGCAACCCCATACCCAACGTAAAATGCACTTTCAGATATTTATATATTTTAGTTGAATGTAAAACTGATGCGAATTGTGAAAATAATGGAAGATGTATTACAATAGCTACTACACCAAATCCAGTTAAACAATGTTACTGCCAACCTGGTTGGTTTGGACAAACTTGCCAAACACGTAAGTAAAATTATACGTTTTGTAATAATAATGTATCCATCGAAAACAGTAATTTAAGTGAGTCAAATTAAACGTTTTATACATGCATACCTATATACATGAATAATAAAAATAGTATCAATGATTTTATACATATATTCACCAATAATAGTAGCACTGAATTTATACTAAATTCTAATTTGATATTGTTTATTATACTGTATATTATTTTTCACGTGATATTTTACACTATCCACCGTCACAAACGTTTAATTTGATATTATTTACTATATTATAACATATTTACACGATATTTTACAGCCTCTACTGTGATAAATGTCTAATTTAATATTGTTTACATTGTAACATATTTTACATGGTATTTTACATCGTCCATAGTGAGAAATGTTTAATTTGATATTGTAATATATTTCACATGATATTTTACAGCATCCACCGTGACAAATGCTACGATAGACTATACTCAATATAAAGAGAGGGAAATGTCTCCTGGATTTAAATTATTCTACAGAACGATTCCTGTAAATATGTTTTACATACTTCTGTACTTATTTTCGTCTTGTATATTTAATTATTAACAGAGAGCAAGAGCAATGGGGTTTAATGTCCACTCGACACAAAGAAGGTCATTTCGGGACTAACATATGGTTCAATTTTATTTCCATAATTCGCTTGCGCATAGGGGTCTTTAGCAGTGGGAGGAAACCGGAGGACCCGGAGAAAACCCACGAGTTTGGACAGGCGACCCTACTCCTTGTCACGTACAACCGGGGAATCGAAACCACGCCAGTTGACTCAATGACAGACTTTATGATACAGCGCGCACGTGCTAACCATTCAGCCATCCACCCTCCCCCCCCCCCCCTCAATTATTAACAGACCGAATGCAAATAAGTGAAAAAAAAATCCCCAATACACTACCTTTACGTATTAATTTAGCAGTGTCACATCCTTCCGTTTTCGTTGACTGCGTGGGTTATTTTACGCTTTATTACAAAATAAATATACGTCCGCCAGTGCATGTTTACAAAATTTCATTTGAACGTAAACGCGTTGGTTGGGTGGTTAAGCGACGGGGTCTGCGAGGGTTGCCGTCGAAATCGGAAGAGTATTAACAAGAAAATATTGTTTTCAGGCTGAATCAGAAATAGAAATGGTACTTAAAGTTAATACAAACTCTTGGGTTGCTATTGGTTGGAGACCACAGAGTAAGTTATTTCCCTTTGATTTAATAGTAATTGTACTGACAAATCTTGAATAAAATGAAATGTGGTTTAGCGTCTTATCCGAAGACGGGCATACACCATTAAGCGATGTCATGTGAGGGAAATGTTGTCCTGACAGCGCTGCCGAGTTCTACTCTTATTTAAATATCGTTGACGCTACTTCAATTTGCGCCCCACCCGAACCACTGATCGGTTTGTTTGGGTTTTTTTTGCCAGGGCTATCCGTTCTGTGCCACTAACCAGACAAAATCAGACTGGAATCGTCCTTGGAACTTTTGCAGCCAAAGGTGGGATAGAACTCGGGACTCTTGGAAACTAATTTATATATCAAAATTAAATCGAACATATCGCGACATTAATGTGGCTATGTTCATTAGTACTTAATGCCCCATGTGTTTATACAATTTAGCACTTCAATCAGGCTGCCAGCTATTTCCCAACATACCAGGCCTTGTGGGAACTGCTGTACCCACAAGCGAACCAGAGGCTCACCCCGAAACAGAACCAGAGGCCACCAGTGAACCTGAAACAGAACCAGAGGCCACCAGTGAACCTGAAACAGAACCAGAGGCCACCAGTGAACCTGAAACAGAACCAGAGGCCACCAGTGAACCAGAAACTACTGGTGAACCCGAAACAGAACCTGAACCAGAAAGTGAGTTTTTGTATCATGTTACGTGGTATTGATTGTTCTGTGTCGTGTCTTTAATGCAATTTAATGCAATTCTCCGGTTTAGATCTATCTTAATTTTGTTAACAATTTAATCAATACAATCCCGTTGTAAACACCTGTTAACTGATTTATTTAAAGAGGCCAAATCTCTTTTCTTTGGAAACTAGAATGGATGAAAGTGGATTAAAAAGCACATACAAATAAAATATGAATGTATGTAAACTGATATACGTTCAAAATTTTTATTGTAATTTCTAATTAGTTCTGTTCCTCGAAATACATGGACAGTCTAGATTAAATAACAGTCGCCCGAACATATGAAACTTAAATAGGAATGTCACAAACTGTAGTTACAAGTTGCACCCTTTAGTCGACTTTGTCGTTGTTCTTTTCTCCGACGAATTGCTAAAATACATGGACCTTGTAATGCATGGACTCTGTAATAAGGTCCATGTCAAGACTTATAGGGATAATCCTATGACGTAATTTTACGGTTTTCCGCTAAATCGTACGATATGCAATCAACATCTGAAGCCCACATACTATCTGATATCTTAAGTATGTATTTTAAATTTCAGATACACCTTGTAGCGCATCATGGTCTGAAGGTTGTATAGCTGGCGGTTGTGCTTACAAATCTAGTTGGGTTTATGATCCTACATCAGATAAAATTACCTTTACACTTGAAGCTACATTAAATGGACAAGCTAAATGGATTGGCATTGGTTTCTCGGATGATAAATTTATGGTAAGTCCTTCATAAAACAAACATACCTGACAAATTTTGTATCACTGATGGCCACTTTCATCAGTTCAGATACAGCCAAATCTCGCTTTCTCGATCTCTGTAAACTCGAGGACCCGGTATATTTCGAGGAAATATGTATAAATATTTGTTTATTTCGAGGTGGCTAGTATGTATATTTGATAACGCCTGTCTATTTACGTCTTTATCTCGACTGTAGCTATAGCTATTCCGTCAATGCTGAATCTGCCACAGTGTGTAATGCGAAGTTCATAATCCAATTCCGGTCGTACGTGACTTTGGCAAGACATTGCACATGCATATGAATTAATAGTACCGGGAAAATCTTATTAAAGAGTCCTGTACAAAGTCTACGATAAGCTAATAATTATTATTGAGTTTTAAAACCCAATATTAGAATATCTTCAACACACGTGTGGAATTAAAACTTTGTTTCTTTTGTAATCTACAGGCTAATTCTGATGCTATAATTGGCTGGTTCGAGAATGGAGTACCTACCGTAAAAGATGTGTAAGTAAACTATGTATTTTAAACCACACAGAAAGACTAGTATTTGTTAACCTTCTTATGGGCGTATTTAACAGTCATCCATGGTATCCCCCCCCCCCCCCCACACACACACACACTCACACACACACCTCCCCTCCGAGCTAATTCTGGGAAATATGTATACGCAGTTTCGTTATTAGTACATTGTGTTTGAATCCAAGGTAAATTCGTCGCGTTTCTGGCGAACCGACGAATCTGATATATTTAAGTATTGAGAATTATGCGTTTGAAATTTGCGTTCTGTTGTTATATCTGTGGACATCAAATAATAATCGTCATTTGTGATTTAATATTTCATACCGGACACCGAACGCCATTTTGAAATTAATTCTCAATACTTAAATATATCAGATTCGTCGGTTCTTGCGGGGCTGTCATACCAATACATTGGAGGGGTCATACCGATACGGTACCGCACTAGTCGCTTTGGGCTAGAGGCTGGGACATACATATACTACATTCCGAGAAGGATGTCGCACAGAGTTCACAGTGCCATTATAAGATTGCTGTTGTTAAGACTTCTAACCGCTTTAAACCCATGTATATAGCTTCTTGTAATACTGATATATAAAGCCATATTTTGAACAATACAGGGATCCCGAGTTTCGGTCAGTATTAAAATTACACAACGTGTCAGAGTCAAGTCAAGTCAAAATATAATTAGTTTTATCTTTCTTTAATTTCAGTTGGTTATCCGGTCGAGTAACACCATCAAATGATGTAACTCAAAACATAGAGGCTGTTTCGGGAAGTTTAGTTAATGGTGTGACTAAAATAGAGTTTACGAGACCTAGAGATACAGGAGACACAGCTGATAAACAATTTTCAGATACAAACTGCTTCTACTTCTTCTATGCTCTAGGTGGAGGATATAATGCACAGGCAGGAACTGTCAACAAACACAGTAATACGCCTAAAGTATCCCCCAACAAAATATGTATTAAAGCATGTGCAGGTAAGATGATATATGAATATAGATGAACCAATCGAGATAAAGAAATTGTTGTCATGGCATTAAGTAACTGAACTGGAAATGCAGTTACAGTTTATTAGTGAGAGACGTTTCGACAAGGTTTCTCTAGTCTTTATCATCGCATCCATCAGTGATGCAGGGCGGAGGGCCTTACAATGACAGCTGTCTAGTCCTTCGGATGAGACGAAAAACCGAGGTCCCGTGTATACATTGGAATGCACGTAAAAGATCCCTTGGCAGTTGGAATTCGATATAAGAGTTGGCGATAGCGCCGCTGCCGGGGCAAAATTTCCCTCATAGCACACTGTATGGCGTATGCCCGTATTCATTAGCCCAGCATAGGAGCAGAACAGTAGGACTTTAAACCCCATTTCATTTCATCGCATCCATATAATTATGATCTGTCTGCGGGATCATTACAGGGGACATACGTCATATATTGTTCTATGAAGGGAATTTTGCTTGGAGTGCAGGGATACGTCCTACTCTTATTTCGATTTCCAACTGTCGCGGTATCTTTAACGTGCTGACTAGGGTTTACATAGGACCCCGTTTTCTCGTCCCATTAGAACGACTATACGCTAGAATGATTGACAACGGAAAACCAGACTGGAAAATCCCGAAGAACTTTCACTATTAACACCGGTATCGAACCCTGGACCTCATGGTTAATGAACAAGTTCCATACTCCCGATAGATCCCGAAGAACTTTCACTATCAACACCGGGATCGAACCCTGGACCCATGGTTAATGAACAAGTTCCATACTCACGATAACTGTATTCCATCTATAGTGCTATATTACAACTGATAGTGTTGTCGTGGTTTTATACTATATAACATAATGATACATTAAAACTTGTAATGTTGTCATGGTTTTATACTGCATAACATGGTGAAATATTAAATGTTGTCATGGTTTTATACTGCTTAACATAGCGATATATTTAAACTGATAATGTTGTCATGGTTTTATACTGCTTAACATAGTGATATATTTAAACTGATAACGTTGTCATGGTTTTATTCTGTATTATAGTGATATATTAAAACTGATAATTTTGTCATGGTTTTATACTGTATAACATAGTGAAATATTAAAACTGATAATTTTGTAATGGTTTTATTCTGTATTACATAGTGCTATATTAAAACTGATAATGTTGTCATGGTTTTATACTTTATATATTAAAAGTGATAATGTTGTCGTGTTTTTATGCATATACTTTATATATTAAAAGTGATAATGTTGTCATGTTTTTATACATGTACTTTATATGTTAAAACAGATGATGTTTTCATGGTTTTCAGCTTCTGAACCCGAACCTGAATACACCGCAGAACCTGAAACGCACGGAGAACCTGAACCCACTGTAGAACCTGAAGGGGAACCTGAAGGTGGAGGTGGAAATTGTCCTGCAACAGTACCAGCACCAGGATATTCAGCTGGGGGAGGATTCCGTGGAACAAGTGACACAACTGGAGGTAAATAAAAATATATAAATATGAATATAATAAGTCATTAAATAATGTTGATTATCAATATATGATATAATTTTATAGATTGTAAAGGTCGGCGAATTAACACATAGTCAATTAAACTTTCATAAAGGCCTTGCATACAAATGTTCACGTGGTCATAGGTTTTTAGCGTAGTTCGATGTTGAAATAAGACAAGAAAGTGCCAGAAACCTAGAAGAAACCTTAAATGCAACTATCAATTATCTAAACTCCCTAACTCTATATCTCAGAACAGCCCCGCCCCAATCTCTAGAATCAAAACTTTATCTATCCAGATATATGCATTCCGAACAGGAGACAATATTTGAGTTGGAATTTTAACTTCATTCAGAACTTATCATATTGACATAAAAGACGACAGATATTGAATCTCAGAGCCATTGCCTGTATGCTGGAATATTTATTTTAGGTAATGTAGGACATCCTATGGATTGTACAGATATTATCATTGGATCAGCCAATGGTCAACTGAGTAGAGTTGGAGATTACTACACTAGAGATCGTTCTACTCCTAAGCGGGATGTTGAATTTGGACAAACTGAGAGTCTTACAGCTGCAATTGGTTTCGAAGAAAATGGAGAAACAACCATTTTATTTAGAAGAAAACTTATTGGTAATAAAGTAGATTTTTTTTTTATTGAAACGGTTAACGAACAATTATTGGGCAAGTTTTTAATAAAAATAACGGTACTTTAGATTGAAAACATGGTTTTATAAAGTTTTAGTCTAACAATTAACTTTAAACAATTTGCTTTTAATCATTTTAACTTTGATACATTTTGATAGATTATATTTAAACATACATTATGCAAGAGCTAAATCTGCCTATTGCAGGTCTTTCTTTAGGCCTGAAATGTTATCTAAATTATTAATTAGACGTTAATTAACTAATCAAGACCATAATCAACTCCCGATGCCAACGCTAGCCTGCGATATTTACTGGATTACGATCAGATTTGCTGCTCAACTTTCATTCATGAAATGGATAATTGAGACTATGTTTTTTATCGTACCGACGTTAGTAATGATGATCGAGACTAGGCCGAAAATTCAATCGCTAAAATCTCGGTTCAGAGTGGATCAAATTGACTAAAATTTTCAGCAAATTGCTTGTACATTATCTGGTTTTTAACTATTATAGCGAGAATTGCCAACTCTTTATCTAATCTCCCATAATGTATCTTTAATTAATAATTGATATTGTTGTTTGATAAAGATAAATAATATATTTATTCAGTAGTAGGCAATGAATGGACTTGGAGCTTTTCTGCTATTGGAGACACGTTTCATTAATAGAATTGCTATGCTATTTTCAGCCACTGAAAGAGCAGATTACACAATAGCAGATGCCCTGATGCATGTTATTTGGGCTAAAGGTCAAGATGAGACTAATTATATCCACAGACCAGCATCTGGAGATCGACCTGGATTTTATAAACATGATCATTTGCTATATCATGGTCATTCACCACAGAGAGGTGTACAGACTATCAACTTCCTTGGTAAATATATATACTAAATAACAGATTTGTAATACACAGACGTGAGCATGTTCAGGAATGTGAGCAGGGGAGGGTCAAGTTTGGCCCGAGACCTGGGGGATTACCCGAGAATTTGATAAAATCAGAATCTCTGAGACAATATCTGCATACATGTATATGAATAGAGAGGAGCGAGACCAAAAAAATAACGGCGACAATGCTCCACACAGTTTGTTCAACGTACGTTTTTTCAGTGAATGTAGGAGAATCCAATTATGCTCTGTGCGATCAAGAATGGGTGGGGGTTGGACCTCAGTGTGCTTTTAAAAGAACCATCCCGAGGGCGACGACGACCCTAATCCTTGCTGTGTATAAACATGAGATCTCACCCATGATTTGCATCATCTACGGCGCTCGGGTTACGGAATTAGGCCATTCAACCCCAAACAGATAATGATGTTAATTTCAATTAGGCACCAAGAATAACATTTTTTCAAGCATTTGTGTCGACCTCAGGTATTATTAAAATCATTCATGGGACTGGATGTCTACGATTGAATTCCATTGCGTTAGCAAAACCGGAAGCTTATCTGTTCTAGTTATGCTTTCATATTTTATAGAAATTTGTTATAGAAATTATTAGCTTCATTATATAGAAAGATTTGCGTCCTAATCAAGTTGATATTTATTGCTTAAAACTATGAAAACGGTTGCAGTCAAACAACTTTCTGTATTTAAAACCTTGTATTATTTCTATAACAGTAATTGTGCATTATCCTGAATTATATATTATATTGCATTGTTTTAACAGAAAAGCCTGCTAAACCAACATCATGTAACGGTCGCTGGCCATCAACATGTATCGGTTGTAATCTAGAAGCTACTTGGGTTTTTGATGCTGCAACTGATTCCATTAAATTTACCATAAAAGCTAGATTAAACGGCGAGAAAAAATGGATTGCTCTTGGTTTTTCTGCCGATACTTCAATGGTAGGTTTACTAATATATAAACATTGTAGCATTCCGAATCAATGGTAATACAAAACATCTGATGCGGGGTTAAATATAAACATTGTAGCATTCTGAATCAATGGTAATACAAAACATCTGACGATAGGTTAAATATAAACATTGTAGCATTCTGAATCAATGGTAATACAAAACATCTGACGAAAGGTTAAATATAAACATTATAGCATTCTGAATCAATGGTAATACAAAACATCTGACGATAGGTTAAATATAAATATTGTAGCATTCTAAATCAATGGTAATACAAAACATCTGACGAAAGGTTAAATATAATATGGTTAAATATAAACATCGTAGCATTCTGAATCAGTGGTAATACAAAACATCTGATTCTAGGTTAAACAGGAATTAGAACTTTCACTAAATGTCATTAACCGATTATAAGAAATAAAATATTCTCAGGTAATATCGGACATACATAATTATTTTCCTCCATGCATTATGTATATATTTTTATGTTTTTTTAGCCAAATTCTGATGCTGTTGTTGGCTGGATTGACAATGGTCAGGTTACTCTCACTGACAGGTAAATGTTTATTTATATATTTTTTATATCTTATTGAAAGGGCGGTCGTAAATATTTGACAAAACTAATAGTATCATTATCATCTGCTGTTTTTGATATATATTATATTTTATAGATGGATGACTGCAAAAAGTCTACCAACTGAAGATACTAAGAATGATATAACTGGTGTTACTGGTGATGTGATAAATGGTGTAACAACGATCAGTTTTACAAGAAAACGTGATACTGGTGATACTCAAGATTTCCAATTTACTGATATACAGTGTGGATATATGTTTTATGCTATGGGTGGCAGCTATAACAATGACGGAACCTTCTCCAAACATGCCACAACTCCCGTTGTGTCTTCCCAGAAAATCTGTATTCGATCCTGTGATATTCAACCTACATCCCGTAAGTTTAACATTCATTTACATTCATCAACGTGGTCTTAAAACATCGTGATCCAGTGGTATTCAAACTACTCTTAATTTTTACACTCACTTACTGCAAAGTCGGGTTTTTTTTGCAAAATATTTAACCTTATGACTAATTTGTCGCTCGGGTGTCGGCCATTTTCCAAGGTGGCAGTCATTTGGGACATTTTTCACAATAAACCCTCGAATATACCTGACAGTTATATGCCCTTTATAGGGTTTTAGGGATCGACAAACACTATTATAATAGAATTTTCCAATATGGCGGACGTCCAATATGACAGCCATTTTCCTTCACAAAATGGCAGAAAACCTACAGATTTAGAAGCATCTTAGATCTAATGTAAACTTAAAATGGCCATGGTCTATAACTTCAGTTAACATTGGTTAATTTGAATAATGTCCGGACAATAATTTGTTTTAGAATGTAGAAAATCCATTGTTGTTCTTGGTGTTTAACGTGCGCTTCAACGCGTAGGGGTCTTTCCTGTGTGAGGAAACCGGAGTCACCGGGATAAGCCCACGAGGTTAAGAAGCCGCATACGCTTACACCAGGGATCGAAACCACAACGGTAAGCCAGAGGCGACCGGCCACCTAGAGCTCGAAGCGCGACACTCTGGATCACTGGGCCATCCCTACTCCCCTGTAACTGCTATATTTAACGTTTATTATGGGGGGGGGGGGCGCTCTATTGCAATGCATTTGGGTTTTTTTCATTGATCAAAATGTCACAAATAAATTGTTCTTCAGCTGTTACATTAAAATCTGAGGTTGAAGTTAAATTGGAAGAGACTTTCGATGCTGATTACTTGGATAGCAACACACCAAAATATCAGACTCTGGCAACGGCCATGGCAGATTGGGTAAGCATTATGAGTGCTTACTGCACACTTACTAAATTTGTTGTCATATGATTATTGTTACTTGCAAGGTATAATACTCCAGATAGCTCAAACATATTCCAAAAGTCAAAAGTATGTACTATCTTTATGTTTTATTTTGGGCTATACTATATACCGGAAAACTACCGGAAAACTGAATACCGGAAAACACCGGAAAAACAATAAATACCGGAAACACACTAAATACCTGAAAACACCCTAAATAGGTAACTCGGAGCCTGGTCCTCTGGAAAACACCGGAAAAACCTAACCCTAGCCCTAACAATAACCCTAACTCCCCGCAAACAGGGGACCAGGCTCTGGGTTACCTATTTAGGGTGTTTTCCGGTATTTAGTATTTTTCCGGTGTTTTCCGGTATATAGTATTGTCGTTTATTTTTTAATTTTAATTTAAAAACACATTTGAATTAAAACAAAAATCATGAAGAATATACTTCCTTGCACCAAATAATTATAGAATAATTATTACTTTCTTGAGCAGCTTGAAATCAATACAAATAATCTAAACCTTACATGCATAACATGGCCATAACTTAAAGTAAGAATTGATTTAATTAATTTTTAGACTATTATGTTTTTAATCAAAATATTTTTTATTGAACTCTTTATTTGGCACTGTACTCTGTCACGTTCGAGCTTTAGAAAACAGGGATGTCCAATGTACACTTTGACTTGTACGTAAAAGACCCCTTGGCAGTTGGGATTCGAAATAAGAGTAGGTTGTTGTGTCGCTGTCGAGGCAACATGCCCCTCATAGCACACTACATTTCTGATACTACTCGTATGACCATCTCTTTAACCAAATGTAAATGTAAATCTGTATTTATTATTTCAGGCAAATGGTGCATTGAAGGATGTAGATGGATTTAAGACTCTTGGTATTAAGGGATTCAGGTAGGCTAACATTAACTTTATGCAGCCACAAAACACTTAAAATTTGACAACATTTCATGCACGAAATTTGATAATAATGATATCAAAGCACCAGCCTGAAATTTCTAAAAGCCTACATTTAATATATATTGTCTCCACCCCTTTTCAAACAAATCGTGTCTGTTGCCGAAATCTTTTAATGTCCCGGCCAACTGATCAGAGGTTTAAAATAAAATATTTTCAAACTTCCTGTGATTGTTCGGCTAATCCTAAATAATTATTACACACAGTAAAGTTACTGCTCGAGTCACTGAGGTCCTTTGTAAACGCTGGCGTGAACGTAAAAGAACCCTTGGTAGTCGGCATTCAAATTAAGAGGAAGCTGTAACCCCGCTGTTCACACAAAATGGCATATGTTCGTGTTCATTTGGCTTTGTGGTGCCAAAAAGTAGGAAGTTAAACCCAATTTCACACCATTTCATCTTGCATAATCTTGTTGTTTATTTATGATTACATTGTCACTTAGTAAAGTGCCCCTGAACATGTTATATGAAAGGGCGCGCTATAAATATGCTGTAATAATAATAATAATACACCATACAGGGAAAGTTTGCCCTGCTAGTGGCGTCTCTGTCTACTCTTTCTCGAATTCCAACTGTCAAGGGATCTCGTTATTTTTCGTCCACTCCGAACAAGTAGACGCTGTTTACTGCATGACGGATAAGGAGAAACCACGTTGAAATCTCCTGCTTAGTGAGAGGCTGTTAAAAACATCAGTTTTTATTTTAATGAAATACAGCAATTGATGCACAGGAGAGAATTTCATTCAATAAACGCGCATGACCGTTTATTGATAGATTAGTATTTTGATCGACTGACTAGAAACTTTTCACTTTAACGGTCGGTATCTAAATATGAAACGATTCCAATACGTATGCGCAGGAGTACGTGGCACGTGCGATGGGAAAGAGGAGTTCAAGGCAGACGAAGAAAGAGACTCGAGTGAAAATGGATGGTTATCCAAATTCAAGGTAGCGATCTATTAATTTTGTTGTCGAATGCCGAACAGGTAAAAGGCAATGTTGATTTACGCAATTTTTTCCGTGTAAATCTGCTGCCGGAATTTTTTACGTTTATATATAAATGTTTGGGCTATTTACACCAAGCAAGCCCCCCCCCCCCACCCTTTGTCAGCCAACTATTCACACCGAATTAAGATATTTATTTCAATTTTAACTAAATAAGTGTGTGCTACAACAAAATCAGGGTTGTTGAGTTTAAAAAGTTTAAAGCTTATTTTCAAAACTATATTTTTCAGACAGGGAAGTGTCATTACAATTTTCGATGTTTTCGTGGAGAAACAGAGCGATGATGCAGAAACCAAAGCCGCACTTCAAACAGAATTACGCACAAATTTACAAGGTGCCCTGACAAGTCCACCACAAGGCTATACTTTAAATACCACTTACCTGGTCGTTAGTGTACCCGAAACAGGTAAATTTGCTTTGCCTATTAGATTTTATTTTCTGGCAGCTAATGATAGATTTTTATTATTTAGAGATTTATTCACAAGGCAAGCTTATAATCAACTATCTAGACCATCAGATGGTCCAGATTTAAATAGATTGAAACCCGACCGCCATTTAATAATTCAATTTTAAAATGGATAATCTATATTTAGTCTTGCTTGTCAAGTACTACATCTTCAAACACTGATAGCTTCGATCAGAATACAGTAATTTGAATGAAATATTCAATACATTAATTTTTCATTGTCAGTTTGTATAGCAAGAACAGTTATCTCTTTATCTAAATCTTACATAATGCATCTTTAACATTTCTATGTTAAAAACAAGGTGATTGTTGGATATGATTAACTTATTTTGTAGTTGTTGAAGAACCTGGGTTTAAACTGTCACTGGTAGAAGAGATTGTCATTGGTTGTGCTGTTGCTCTTGTCTTAGTCTGTGTTATCGTGGCTGTGTGTAAATTTTCGGAGTCTAAAAGAGCTAAGGCAGCAAGCGTAAGTCAATTTTTCTTTGATGACTAAAATGGAACCATCTATTTAATTCGGTTCAAAAATAAAATTAGCTATTTGCTTTTATTTTATGCGTGATTTGTTGTTTTGTGAGATGACAATCTGTCTTCGGTAAAAAACAAAAAAACAAACATGAACCAGCAACTGAGCATGGCGTCATCGTAGTCATCTTGGAAATACGTCAACCGATGCACAAGTATTCAAAGAACAAGCATACCAAGTTTCATATTGTTGGTACTTGAATTGAGGGAGCTTAGCGTCAAAACACGAACAACACTATACCCCCCCCCCCCCAAAAAAAAAAATGATAAATAAACTTTGGAAGGTTTTGTGCTTGTGTTATTAAGACATTCTTTTCTTCTTTTTATAAAATAGAAACATGAACAACTTTCAAATAGCGGCGGAAGCAGCACCAGTAGCCTTACCAATGATAAACCAACCTCTCGTAAGATGTCTTATGACGAATTCATGAAACAAACACCTCCAGGAAATGGACATGGTATGGTGAATCCAGGCTACAACAATAAGCAGTACCCTTAAATGTTTTAAAAATGGCGTGCCACTTTTATATTGAAACTTTTTTTCATTTTAAAAACAAATGTTTTATTATATATAACGGACATTTTTCAGCCACTATGTCGTCATTAATTTGTGAGATTGTGTTTTTTCTTGTGAGATTAAAAAGTTATTACAAAGTTTATTTGTTGTGAAATCAGATTGTCTATATTTTGTGTCAATCAGATTAAAACACTGACCCTACTTCGTTTCATTTTTAAACGAAACGAAATATAGATCGATATTTTAATCATAATGTTTGTATTCAAGGCACTGGTTTGAACCAGTTTATGGACTATTTTGTGATTGCGGATTTACATTTGTTTTTATTATGCTGTATTCTTTGATTGCAAGCTGATTTTTTTTATTATTATACTATGCCAATTTATACCTATAAATCCACATATTTTATGTATATACTATTTAAGTATTTTAAATATACGTTTCGAATCAACAACATTTAACTAATTTATTCAGACTACATAAAATTTACCAGACACGTTTAATGATAATTTACTTAAATGACCAATCAGAAAAATTATATTTTAATTTTTATATTAGTCTATATGACATGCATAATCTGGTATTGTGTATTGAATGGTTTTTTTTTATAATTTATCTTTATTGTCTAGTTTATCCCTGGATAGGAAATATAAACGATTCTGTCCATAAGTAGATCATACAAATTTTAAAATATTAAATGCTGTCTATCAAGACCGATAACTGGGCTTTTCAGTTGTGAAAATTTTATGAAATTGTTAAAGTACGCTAATCATGTTATAATATTATAAATTTAAAAATTGCACGATTCAAACAATTAATGTTAACTCTTAAAAAGAGCTAACCCTCTTTGATATGGGTGAAGAATAATAGAATTGGTTTGATTTGGTGTGTTATACAGATTAGTGATGGGATGAAATCTATACGATTATATTTTTGGTTTAAATGGTTAAGAGTTGGTCTGTTTACTAATAATTGTTTATCTACAGCCTTAAAATTGTCAACGAACACAGATTGTCAGATAACAAAACAATCACCATATTATACATTCCAAAGAAATCGACAATTTTATTTTTGACCCAAATCAAAGAGGTCTAATCATTTTCATATCTTGATCTTCATACTGTCGATCCCAGAAATCCACTACCTATGTGTCTTTTGTTGTATATTATTATTTATATGCAATGTTTTAAATAAAAATTAGAAAATGCGCTGCTTTATTTTCAAATGTTTGGAGATCCGTACACTGAATCATAATTACCCCAGTGAAAAAGAACGGGATAAATGGGGTTTGAAGTCCACTCAACAAAAACAGATCATTTCGGAACTGGAGAAAACCTACTGGTGTCAGGTAAAAGCTTGGAATCGAAAATGTAAGATTTACTCAAGGAAACACCCCCACCCCCCACCGCCCACCCCCCCGGCTTGCATTCGGTTGGATTAAAATGAGATATTCTTGGTTTGCAGAAGAAGATGAAACATTGAAAAATTCAAATCAATAAATATATACGAGTCTATACGGTAGCCCGGTAATAGAACATATTGCAGTTACATGAAAATACCCTGCGAATATTTTGAAAATAAAAACAAATACAGTTTAAAATAAAATAAAAAACAGCCAGGGTTCAATGTTCTTTAATACTGAACATAATTTGATTTGTTTAATAACTAAACGTTTTAACTGAATTTGTATAGTTATGCCGGTATTTGATATTATAATTATGTACATTTGACAAACAATCATTATATTGCATGACTGAAACTACATGTATACCTGATACATATATTTGTCTACTATGCGGGCCCGTATCTACAGGGGGGCACGGGGGGGGCATGGCCCCCCCGCGTGAAATGCTCGCCCCCCCGCTCAGAAATTGCTAACAATCATTAAAGTATACACAGTTCCTTATATTAACCTAAAAAAACTACGCTTCCCTAAGCAGGAGGAGGTATAATTCAGGCGACTATGGGCATATTAATCCCACGGTATCTCATTACTATATAAATCACGATTTTTTTTTTGTTTGAATACTTATTTTAAAATGCTTATTAGACGCCTAGGTAACTACATAGCATGATGATTACAACAGTCTGTTAGAATGACCTTTCCGAAAATTTCCTCAAAATGTTCGCCCCCCTACCGAAAGGTAATGCCCCCCTGCTTAATGGTGTCTAGATACGGGCCCGCTACTATGACTTGCGCAAATTTTGGATAGCAGCCAAGCGCATTCAACCGATAATGGGGGAACTAAAATAGAGAATGCGATTTCATTTCTACACTTAGTGGAGTAGTCGAGTCCTCTAAAACTGAAACATAAGAAAATCAAAATGTGGAGAGTTTTAATGTTAATATATTTATGTGTAGGTTATGTTAACGGACATGTTAGGTTAATTTTTCCACCGGCCAGGAAATATGCCAGAGATTTTATGGATAATATCCGAACACCAGGCCCCTGTGGAGTACCAAGTGGTAAGTTAAATACCCGTTGTATTTAAAGTGGATCAATGAAGATAAAGGTCAAGTAAATAGGTCTATATACAAACTATATAAACCGAATTCTTTTGTTGTGAATAATGAGAATATAGAGTTGACTAGATCTAGTATATTTTATACTCATCTAAAATTTTTGAATCAAACTGTCAAACTAGATCTAGATCTAGATCTGAGGCTATTTGCCCGAGAATTTTCTTTGCCACCCGAATTTTCATGATGAATCAATCATTAACTATTGCAATACGATGGGTGTTTATTTTTAATTAATTACACAGTCAATTACATAACAATATACATTTACAATATTATGTTAAAGTTACAATTTCATATTTTTAAGTTATATTTTTAAAATGTATTAAAATAAAGCTCTAAAATAGATGGTATCTATAAACAATCCTACCTTGTTAAAGAATAATCCTATTAATCCTATAATTCACTATTGCCAGTTGAGAAATTGGCAAAAATATCATTTTCAACTTCAAATTCAAACGTTTGAAGATAGCTCTTCCATGGTGGGGAATATGAAAATAAGGGAGGTAATTGTGTTATTATTTCTGGTGTGAAGATTTTTAAGTGTGAGAAAGATAACCTATGATCGTATAATAGTGAGTTGACAACCTATTGAGCAAAAGACATAGAAATAATTATGTTTTGACCTTCTTAGAAAATATGAAATTGTAACTTTAAGCAACAAAAAAAATAATGCTCCCCATTCTCTGATGTTTGTGCTCGAAAAACGGAAATACATTGCCCGAAAAATGGACGGTTCGCCGAATCTGGAGGAAGGGGGGGGGGGCTGCAGCCTCCCCAGCCCCCGCCCCCTTGCCCGGCCTCTACGCCTATGATATGTACAATGACTACACTAAAATGTCATTTATGTAACACATTTGGAACTAACACCCTGTATTATTGTTTGCTGAATAATACATGTTTTGTTAACTGAACTATAGGCTATTTCTAAACCCGTTAAACAGGACGTTCGTCATACATTAAATAGACAATTATCTAAATCTGCGTCGCAAATCCAATGAACAAAACGAAAGGCCGCCTCTAGCAATTTAACAATGTCACGTACTGATTATGATTATCATGTTAGTCCCGATACTTGGTTATATCCGAATCAAACGTGTCCACGAATCCATTTTTCAGAAATAAGAACTTTCATCAGAAAAAGCCAATTCTGGCATATGTATAAATTCTAGTCCCATGAGCGTCTGGAGCGATCACAATGTATGCCCACTTATCAATCTGACATTTCAATACTCAGACATATACCCCCCACCCACCTCCTCCCACCTCCCACCTCCCACCTAGATCGGTAAACAATATGAATGTATAGTTTAGTGAAAATGAGCCTTAGTGGTCTAAAGTGGGCAAGGAGCTGGCTCACTAGATAGGTGGTCCAGAATTTGACCACGGTGTCGGCTGTCACTGTCAGTGGTGCATGATATGGTCTAGTCGGGCGGATGAAAAAACAAAGACCCTTGTTCACGTTTCCGTACGCGTCAAAGAACCCTAGACATTCGTGCCGGATTAAATATGTCAATGGTGGGGTGTGGGGGGGGGGGAGGCGAAGAGACTGAATTAAGACAAATAGATTCAATTATGGTGCGAGTAACACAAGTGAAATAAAACAGAAGAATTTCAAACTTCAATCAAAGAACCCTTTTAGAAGAATTTCAAACTTCAATCAAAGAACCCTTTTAGCGTAAAAAGAACCATATCGGATGCAGTTAAAATAGGGCTCCCGATTGTGGCCCAAATGAGAACCCAGAGAATAACCTTCATATATATTTTCAAATCTAAATTAGATCTTTTGATCTTGTACTACCCCCCCCCCCCCCCCAACTTTCAAAAGTTTTTTGACCTCCCTCAATCCGGTACTGGGAAACACCCTCATAACACACTACACAGCGAATGCACGTCTTAATTAAGTAGAATATTAGATTAAATCGCATTTCATTTCAATTTGTAATGCCAAGTTGCTCACTGGGTTCTCCTCTTACCAGGTTTTTAAGTACCACGTTCATTTTGCATTGTACAAAGGTTTATTGGGAGGCTTAAGATTTTTGTATGAAGATTTTCCTTTGTGCCATGTTAATATATAAAATACCCGTTTATTGATGCCACTTGTTTCTGACTGTTACAGAAGAACTAAATATTATTTATTACGTTTTGTTATCTATAGGGTTGGGACCGAAGACATCTCTTCTGGCAGGGTCTCCGATAACGGTGAACTTTCATCTGGCATATCCACATAAAGTAAGTTAGTTTTACTTTGAAAAAAAAAGAATATTCATATACATATGTCTCCAAGAACAATACACAATAAAATAAATATACTAAAACAGCGGAATGATTGTGGGGACGATTTACCCAATACTACCCAATACCACCAAATACCACCACATGTACAACCTGAATATTGTGAAATAATAACAGACTAGTTCAATTATATAAAAATAAATTGAGTTAATTCGTGGAAAACTTGCAAAAATGTACGACAAAAGTGATGGCAAATTCCGTAAATTAATTCTATTTTTTTTAAATATAATTGAAGTGTTATGCTAGTTTTTCTCAACAAAAAGATATGTGGTGCTATTGTAGCAGTGAGAATCTTCGATAATAACTAAAAGACTGGAACTAACCTTCAAACTATTTATTACCGGAAAACATTAAACATAATATACGGAGAACAGCACATCTTACAAGCAGAGCAACTGTCCTGATTTAGATAACTGTCAAGTTATTTGGATTTATATCGAGAGGCTATAATACATCATAATTATTTTGATTTATTTTCTAACATTATATAGGGAGGTTATTTTCTGGAGATAATGAACAATGACACTAACGCTGTTCATCGACATCCTGCTACAGGTTTTATATCTGAAAGTGACACCACGTAAGTATCATATTATCTATATAATATAGTTTCTTTCCGTCTGTCCATTTATAGATCCAGTATTCGTTTTGTAGGATTCTGTTGATTTTAGCTTGCCCGTTGTTGACTTAAAGATACATTATGGAAGATTAGATAAAGAGCTGAGAGTTCTCGTTATAATAGTTAAAAACTACTGTAGATAACGTAAAGGGAATATGCTGAAAATTTCAGTCAAATTGCTACACTCTGAACCAATATATTGGCGTTTGAATTTTAGGCCTAGCCCCGATCATCGTTGCTAAAGTCGGTATGATAAAAAAACATAGGCTCGATTATCATTTTTGGATTAAATCATCAATGAGCGTTGAGCAGCAATTCGAGTTCAAATCCAGTGAACATCCGACACATAAGGTGACATCGAGAGTTGAATAAGGTCTTTTCATGTTAATACATGTCTAATTAATAGTTTATGTAACATTTCAGGCCTAAAGAATGATCTGCAATAGGCAGATTTAGCTCTTGCATAATGTATGTTTAAATCAATCAACATTCCGTTTTCCGGAATTTGTATTTACATATTCTGAATATAATATCATGTTTTAAAGGTAAAGACTGTTATTTACAAGCACATCTAACTATTGGTTGGGTATAATTATTAGTGTCCTATTCATAATCACCGTATAGAATGTTACTGTCATTGACACCACCAGTACATGTAAACACAATTGATTGATTCAAGATGGCTGTTTACATTTCATAGTGCAAACATTTTTTACTTTACGATATCATTATACAAATTTTGTCATTTCTAAAGGAATCATTTCAAACTGGTGTGTAGAATATGGATATTTATAACATATCTTCCCTTGTCAGTCACATTCTGCACTACTTTGGGCGCTTTGGCCAAAGCAACCTAGCTCTTTTTTGGCTCTTGCCATCATGTAAGAGTGCATGAACATTCATTAATTGCTCGTGGAACCAAGACTATAGGTTACAACTTATGTAATATCATAACTGACTTGTAGTTTCTTGTATTACGGTTATATAAACAAGATTAAAAGTACACAAGATTAAAAGTACACAACGTGAAGTCAAAGGAAGCCCAGTTTAAAGTTCAAGAAAAAAGAAACCAAGATCGCAAGAGCATATCATTAATTCCTCAATAAATTCCAGCGTATTTGAGTTTATTCTCTTATATCATACAGGCGGAAGGGTTAATCCAGAAAGTAGGACGAGATAATTATCAGCAGTGACCTAGCTAAATAGGATGTTTTTTTTTTATTTTATCTGAAAAGTTGATGTCATTCAAATTAAATGATATTGGTTTCGGGCATTAAAGTTACCGACTGTTTAAAGTTTATGTTGATCCCAGATAATATTATTATATATTTGTCGGATTTTTTTTATGATTGTTATTATGATTTGTTCAGTTGAGGTTTGTCATGTTACAGGATATCCTTTAAACAGTTTTTATTTTTGTAGCATCTATCGGTTGGGAGTAAGGAAAGAACCCGTCGTCATGATGAAAAAGCATTTCTTATTTCTTTTTAACTCTATGTTACGCTTATTTAATCTGATACGACATTGAAGTCAGTGTAGTCAGCTGTTCTTTAGTACTTTCTATAAAAAAAGTATAGTAAATAAAGATTAAAGACCAAAGATATGTTAGTCGATTTAAAATTTTCGTGGATGCATGACTGACATCTTTACGCCCGTATGAATGCCAGACGCGTTTTTAATAACCTCTGTCAAACGTACTTAAACATTTTAGGCGAAACATAATAAGTCCCCAAAAAGCAAAGTAGTTCAAAAATTTTAAATTTCAACTACGTTTGTACAGCTTCGTGGGTTTTCTCCGGGTCCTCCGGCTTCCTCCCACTGCTAAAGACCCCTACACGCAAGCGAATTATTGAAATGAAATTGAACCATATGTTAGTCCCGAAATGACCCAGATTGTGTCGAGTGGATGTTAAACCCCATTTCTCTTTCTCTGTTTGTACAGGAAACGACGTGTCGTCACATTTCGCGTACATACGAACTCCGCTAATATATAATTCTGCCAAAGTACGATTGTAAAAAAGAAATACCAGCCATGAATTATGATTGCCCCAATTTGCCCCCTATCCCCTCATCCATATCCCGCCCCCTGAACCTAACCATGAGTTTGTACGAGCAGTGGTAATTGTAAAAGAAACATTGACATGGTTGCCTCACCGTCCCCACCCACCGCCCAAACACACCTACCTAAACATATTCGTGTTATATGCCAACCCAGCAAATATAAATATATACGCGGTTAAATTGACCCCTTATATAAAACTGACCCCGTATGACTAGGCAGAAACAAGTATATTCTTTTATCCAAATCTGATAAAAAAAAAAGCCTTACGAATACATAAATACATCTAGACAAATGTATAGCACGCTCTACTGATTCAATATAAGTACGGGGGTCGTTGAATTACCTATGTAGATTCATATGATCTACACATATACATGGTGTAAACAAATATCTACGTTCCTTGAATGACATTTAGAAGTAGAGGTATAATATTCATAATAACACAACTTTATGGATTTACTACTTCTTGGTGTATTACATGCAACGTTTCAATACTCTTACAGGTATCTTTATCAAGCAATGATCAATAATGAATAACAACTCTACATTTATAGTACATCCATGAGTAAGAACCATTTAACAATAAAAACATAACATTAATTAAGACTATAACAACAACATTTCCCTTTGAGTATGGCTTTACCATTTTTTCTTCAATCTAAGGTGTTAAAAGTGGGGATTGAAGCCACCGCCTAAGCTAAAATGCAATCAAAACCCATTAATCACACCATCAAATATTTAATATGACTAATTTCAATACATATGCATAATTAGTTAGGTTGAACCCACCCCCTCTTGCTCATACATTTACCATATTATTATATAGAAAATTTGTAATTATTGTTCCAATAGAACAAATAAATAAGTTATAGTAGCCCTTATAAATAATAGTTCTACTGATAAATAAAAATTTTAATTTCCACTCCACTGATACGAATAATAACTTCTAGATCCACTCCACTGATAAAAAATTATTTTAATTTTACTTCACTGATAATTGATACTTATGGTATCCTATTGTATAATACTTATAAATAGTTCCAATAATAGATAATAACTTGCTTAACAAAATAATTCATTCCATACATTAGAAATGGCTATTTATAAGGGCTACTATAACTTATTTATTTGTTCTATTACATAATTAAAAATTTTCTATATAATAATATGGTAAATGTATGAGCAAGAGGGGGTGGGTTCAACCTAACTAATTATGCATATGTATTGAAATTAGTCATATTAAATATTTGATGGTGTGATTAATGGGTTTTGATTGCATTTTAGCTTAGGCGGTGGCTTCAATCCCCACTTTTAACACCTTAGATTGAAGAAAAAATGGTAAAGCCATACTCAAAGGGAAATGTTGTTGTTATAGTCTTAATTAATGTTATGTTTTTATTGTTAAATGGTTCTTACTCATGGATGTACTATAAATGTAGAGTTGTTATTCATTATTGATCATTGCTTGATAAAGATACCTGTAAGAGTATTGAAACGTTGCATGTAATACACCAAGAAGTAGTAAATCCATAAAGTTGTGTTATTATGAATAAAAATATCTACGTATAACCGTCAATATACATATATAAGGGCTGGCATAATTATAGAGACCATCCATTAGATTTAGAGCCCCCGTCATGTCAAAGAGATCCTTACACAGTCATTTGTTGACGAGACCCTTAAAGTCATCTGTTGACGAGACCCTTAAAGTCATCTGTTAAAGAGACCTTTACAGGCATATGTTATAGGGACCCTTGCAGTCATTATAGCTGGTTGGAGGAGAGAGAACTAATAGCTAGTAGACATTATCTATAGCTAAGAGTCTAGGCCTGGTAGTAACGTTAACTCTTTCGGTGCTGAACGTCGGGAGTTCTCGACACAGGTTATTTCTATGAAAATGCCAGACGTCTAGAGTTCTCGACATAGGTTATTTTTAATTATAAAGGCAGTTCGTTTAGTTCCAATATTTACGATAGTTATAGTCTTTTTCCATTCGGGAAATCACGCTGGCTAAGTGGGTAAGACACTGAGCAGAACAGTAGGACGTTAAACCCCATTTCATTTCAATTCACTTTTTCCAGGTTGCCCTAATAAAGTGCAAATCTGTCAAAAAAAATAACATACTTTAGTTTTTAAACTAGTTCATTTATAGCTATCATTTAAAATGTATGCGTCTTCAATAGCGAATTAGGGTAATACATGAATTTCTTCTATTTTCCCACTTCTCCGGATCTTGTGGCAGTTAATTCAATATGTAGTATGTAAGAACTAAATTGGCCTATTGCAGAACATTCTTTTCGCCTCAAATGTTATATAGATTATGACACACCCATAATCAGCTCTCTAGATTCGCCCGTGTATCTGTTATCACCCGTCTCTTCAGTCAGTTATATAGAAGGATAACACGCGTTTTCCCTTTGCATTCGTCACTTCCGTTTCTTGAAATCTTCATAACACATCTATCGTAGTCACGATCTCTGTGTTAAAATTATATTTGGACGTGTTTAACCAGTTCTATCACATAGGTGATAATGTCTGACACCAATATTGTCCTTTAATGGCAGTGCCGAACAGTTACTGTGGGCTAGTATTCGTGCATGAAACTCGCTTTCTAACACGAACAATAGCACGGATTGTGTGTAAAACATACTTGTCAATTTGACGTGAGTTGACTGTATAACAGTTAGACCAAACATTAACATTTGAGATTTATATAATTATACAAAGCATTATATGATTTTTAATGTATTTATTTGTTATTTTCAAAATGAATATGCTTAGGGCTATTTAACGATATCTTTTTAGAATTACCTCTTTTGATATATAAATAGTAAACTGTAAACCGTGTATACAATTTTATTGCTATACACTCGTGAGCTAGTATTTATTAAAGGAATTTTTAAGTTTTTTTTTTCATTGTTAAGGATATCTATTGTCTGTCGTACAGTGTGAAACTGTAGAGCCTATGCCTTTGTAGATGTATTTAAACGATCAATGTCAGGTTGTATCTTAAGCATACAACCCGATGACTCACAATTCAGTTATCTCCTAACATGAAATAGATTCGACCATTCTTAAAGATGCATTCCCACAAAAGGATGGCAAATTTGGTTTATATGGAAAGTAGAGACACCCAATCCTACTTGAAAAATACCAAATTCCCTGGGAAAAAAACATATTTAGCGCGCACAGGGCAAGCATGTATCATTACTGGAAATCCGTCGGCTTGCTGGAGTAACGTAGTAAGCGCTTTATGGAATGGCTAGCGGTTGTGAGAACAGTTAGCTACTTAAACATACAACACACTCTTCGATTAAATAGGGGAAAAAGAAGTTGGCAGAGGATAATTCAACAATTTACTTAGGCTTCTATATATATGGTAAATGAACAGCGAGTAACGACAAATAAAAGCTGGTAAATGGACCCTCCCCGAATCAAGTCACATGACAAACACTACGTCTTAAACAGATCTTTGCCGGTTGAAGTAGTTACTTGCTATTAAAATGTTTTGTGATGGATCTGAAGCAGAGTATTGAATATGTTTTTAGTCCAAATATATCATCAAATCAAAGTTTGTAAGCGAGAAGGTATGTTTAGATTAAGGGCAACGCTTGAACGGGGGACTGTGTCATCAGTATTATATTTGATATTAGAACACAGAGACAGATGGACCAACTCAATTAAGTTATAACTAAATTCTAGTGAACCTTTGTATAGCAATAACCCAGTATACACTCAGCTTCCGAAATCCTGCCCCCCCCTCCCCAGGGGCAGAGTATGCTTACAACATTTCAGAACACTTTCTTCTTTTCCGTCATACTTTCGTTGAAGTTTACAATATTTTGTTATTGAAACTGTGAGATATCAACATTATGGTACCTCGGTATTTTTTTAATGGTATGTGAAATACAAAATAAATACCGTATTCTGTTTTTTCGCCCACATTATCATTAACCTATAAATTCTATATATTTCAGATCAAGATCTCAGGATTTCACACTTCCATCTGAACCATGCAATAACTGTACATTACGTTTAGTTAGACAAGCTGCTGAATGGGGTGGTAGTTGTGGTAAAAAATATTTATTTTGGTCCTGTGCTGATGTTGATATCGTAGCTGGTAATTAGTTAAAATTATTTATTCTAATTAATAACCTACTATATATCCATGTCTATATTTTCTTATAGACATTTCTGACATTGATACATATTTATGCTGATGTTGATATCGTAGTCAGTAATAATATGATCTTTATTTCTTACAGTAAAATTGAAAAAAAATACCATTTCTCTTGCGAATATAATGTTTAATTAAAGGAGCTAAACGAAATGAAATGAAATGAAATGTTCTGCTCTGACTAAAATAACTAGATCTCTTACTCAATATTTTCCATAATATTTAAAATTACAAACACGAATTAGAATTCCGTATTGGTCGATTTCGATCAATATTGATGTCATCTTGCCGTGAATGGGATCCTAATATCCAATATTTAAGACAGAATGAACGGTTTATAACCAGTACACGAGTCGTGTATTCTATGGTTTCTGGTGTCATTTGTAATGAACAAAGAAAAACATACCCTACAAGACAATGCGGAAGTGATTAGTAATCAAAATTTTGTACTATTTCGAGTAAGCCAAACAAAGGTAGGCGTGTGAAACCAATGTGAACTTTAAATGGCTATAACTATATAACTGATTGATTTATGTTTCGACCAAATGAGTTCTGGTCGATAAAAATTACCTTTGCTTTTTTGATATTAAACCGTGGCATGTTAATGATAGAAATGAGTTCTCCTGTAGTGGTTGACGATTCTAAGACAATATAGATAGATGCGTGAAAGTAATTAAAAGTAATAACTTACTTTTCCATGACATGACGACAGACAACTATGTCCCCATTGAGTATGCTGGTAGATAAATATGACAGTAGGCGATATGACATTGAATAATCTATTTATTATCAAGAAATGACAGTAAAGTATAATATAAAGTAATAACAATCATGCAATAAAAATAGATCAGAAAACAAAAATACCACATTGGAAATGATTATTAGGAATTTAAATACTGATTAAACAGATTATGCAAGAGCTAAATCTGTCTATTGCAGGTATTTCTTTAGGCCTGAAATGTTATCTAAATTATTAATTAGACATTAATTAACATATCCAGACCATAATCAACTCTAGCCTGCATCGCTAGCCTGCGATCTTTAGTGGATTGTGAGCCGATTTACTGCATAACTTTCCTTCACGATTTAACGATTAAATGGATGATCGAGACTACGCTGTTTATCGTTCTGACTTTAGAAATGATGATCAAGGCTAGTCGGAAATTTCAACCGCTTAGTTCTCGGTTCATAGTGGATCAATTTGAATGAAATTTTCAGCAAATAATTGCCTTTTCACTATTATAGCGAGAACTGCCAACTCGTTATCGAATCTCCCATAATGTATCTTTAACTAAATACATATGATGGGTGTTAATGATGTTTGAAGCAATATACGTTTTGGCAATGTTTCTATTGCTGTGTGTGATCTTTTACCGATTTATCTGGGGATATTGTGCTTTTAATTGAATGTTAGGCGGGAACGACATCCATAGAACATATACTAAGTCAAAACACTGAATTGAAAAGTTTATATCGCGACCACGAAGTGATTTCTATACGTCGATATGTTATGTTATTTACTGGTTTAATCACGATCATTGCACAATACTCTTTGATGCTATTATTTACAGGTGATCAGTTTACTGAAGGTTGTTCAGGACATGGGACATGGTCTAATGGCGCCTGTCAGTGTGACGCTGCCCATGAAGGAGAACACTGTCAACATAAAGGTTTGAATTTGTTTCAACTGAAGTTAGGTCATCAATATTCCGCCACTCAACAATTACGCTTCTTTACTTTTTATATATCGATGTTCTACATTTGTCCAATAATGATTTTTTTTTCCAATTGCGTAGTTATGAAACAGAATATTCAATAGATAGATCGCAACAGGTTGACTTTAAAAACTCCATAAAATTAGCTATTTACGAATAATTGATGCGCCAAGGGAAGTAACTCGTGTTAAATGCTATTGCCGGTCAAAACTTAAATTACTGAATATATGAAAAGAAATTTGGCTTAACGTACTACAATTCTGCACCGAGCTAGTGAAGTTGCTAATTACAGGTCCGTCAGAACCGGGGCGTCAGTTCCCCGCCCTCCATAATATGCGAATGTGTATTCATTAGTGTAAATATGGTCCCGGAGACACGCGCCGGGGTACACATTTTGGTTCTGACAGCCCCCCCCCCCTACCACCACCACCACCACCCCACAATGAATTATACGGCGTAGTGGGTTTTTATTTCTCAGACGAGAATAGCTAGTGAAGCTCCTGCACAAGCAGAGATGGTAGTTGTACTTCGGGTTCTGCATTATGAAAACAGTTTAAGTGTAGGATAAAGCACGAGGCTGGGGTTATGCTGGGAAAGACAGACTGAAGAACATAACCCGAGAAAAAGAAAGCAGAAATCATTTTACATAAGAATAGCTAGTGAAGCTCATGCACAAGCTATCAAACCATGAGACTGTCACATATGGTGTCTTAAAGCAGGGATGGTAGTTGTACTTCGGGTTCTGCATTATGAAAACAGTTTAAGTGTAGGATAAAGCACGAGGCTGAGGTTATGCTAAGGAAAGACAGACTGAAGAAAATAACCCGAGAAAAAGAAAAACCGAGGTTTTTCTTTCGAGGGGTTTTTTCTGAAGTCTTTCTTCCCCAGCATAACCGAAGTCGAGGACTTTATGTTGCTTATAAACCGTCTATGTTTATGTACGTAAAATGGGAATATCCCAGAATTCCAGTAAGTAAAAATAAACCCTACCCTGGAAAAATAACCCGATACGGGTTTAAAGAAAAACTTCCAGAAGAATAACCCCAAATTCCTCTCTATATTCAGACCGCAAGTTATTCCGGGCAGAGAATATACCCCCAAAGATCGAAGAGATAATCGTTATAGGTTTATAATACTGGATAATGCATGAAATATAAGAAAAGAAATCTGCAACGGATTGGACTCTGCTTGGTCAGGCATAAAGTTAACTCATTCTTTTTCTCTCTGTGTATTTTCTAGTTGAATGTAAAACTAATGCGGATTGTGAAAATAATGGAAGATGTATTATGATAGCTACTACACCAAATCCAGTTAAACATTGTTACTGTCAACCTGGTTGGTTTGGATCAAATTGTCAAATAGGTAAGCTAAATTTATATCCATTAAAAAAAAATTAAAAAATTCAAACATGTAAGTTAAATTAAACGTTTGATACATATATCCATTGTTTTTAGTAATGTTTAATTTGATATTGTTTACTATATTGTAGCATATTTTACATGGCATTTAACATCATCCATAGTGAGACATGTTTAATTTGATATTGTAATATATTTCACATGATATTTTATAGCCTCTACCGTGACAAATGTCTAATTTGATATTGTTTACTATCCTGTAACATATTTTACATGATATTTTACATCATCCATAGTGAGAAATGTTTAATTTGATATTGTAATATATTTCACATGATATTTTACAGCCTCTATTGTGACAAATGTTTAATTTGATATTATTTACTATATTGTAACATATTTTACTAGGTATTTTACATCATCCATAGTGAGAAATGTTTAATTTGATATTGTAATGCATTTCACATGATATTTTACAGCATCCACCGTTACAAATTCTACGATAGACTATACTCAATATACAGAGATAGAAATGTCTCCTGGATTTAAATTATTCTACAGAACTATTCCTGTAAATATTTTTTTTTATTTTTCATAATTAAAGGAGTAGTCCCAGATATCAAAGGAAGCACGTTCACAAAAGCGAGTTTAAGAATATAAATTCGACGCCAAAATCATCAGAAATAACCGAAATAGGCTGTCTTGAGGTTTCCGTTCAAGATAATGAACCTTTCATAAATGATCGTGATATCGTCTTAATTCATTTAAAGATAAATTATGGAAGATTAGATAAAGAGCTGGCAGTTCTCACTATAATAATTAAAAACTAAATAATGTAAAGGCAATTTTCGGAAAATTTCAGTCAAATTGGTCCACTATGATCCGAGAATTAAGCGATTAAAATTTCGGCCTAGCCTCGATCATCATTACTAAAGTCGATACGATAAAAACATAATCTCGATTATCCATTTCATGATTAAATCAAGAATGAAAGTTGAGCAGCAAATAGGATCATAATCAAATAAATACCACAGGCTAGCGTTGACATCGAGAGTTGATTATGGTCTGGATAAGTTAATTAATGTCTAATAAATAATTTAGATAACATTTCAGACCTAAAGAAAGATCTGCAATAAGCAGATTTAGCTCTTACATAATGTATGTTTAAGGATCTTTGACTCGTTCGTTCGTTTCTGGGGTCTTACGTCCGCTTCCACCTAAGGTGATATCGTAGACAAATTTTTGACTCAAGAAACACTAGGTTTTATAACAAGGGGCCGCGTGACTAAGTGAGTCAGAAGTTGGCTCGTTAACGTTTGAGATCCCGTGTTTGATCCCTGTGTTAACAAAGAAAGTTTTCCGAGGCGGTTCCTCTTCAAGGGGTCACGTATAGTCGTTGAGATGGGACGAAAAACCGGGGTCCCGTGTACATATTGGCGTGCACGTAAAATAACGTTTGACAGTTGGTATTAGATAGAAAAGTAGGTCATAGTGCCGCTGTCCGGGCAAAATTCCCCACACAGCACACTGTATGGTGTATGCCCGTCTCCTTTAGCCCAGTCGATGCAGAGCAGAAGGACGTTTAACCCTATTTCGTTTTATCACTAGTCACAGATTGAGGATTAATACACGTAAATGTGTAATTTCAATATATATATGATTCCATTTCCAGACTGTATCTGAACTAGAAGTGGTTCTAAAAGTTATTACTAAATCCTGGGTTGCAGTTGGATGGAGACCACGATGTGAGTATACGGACAGGGATTTGTAATTTTTTATAAACCCCGAAAAGTAATAGAGAGAGAGAAAAATGGGGTTTAACGTCCACTCGACACAAACTAGGTCATTTCGGGACTAACATGTTTTTTTAAAAAATTTTTTATATAATTCGCTTGCGCGTAGGGGTCTTTAGCAGTGGGAGGAAACCGGAGGACCCGGAGAAAACCCACGAGGTTGGTCGAAAAGTAATTGAGAACCAAAGCATAAAACTACCTCTGAAGAACCAGAAGGAGTGAAAGGTGTTTTGATAATGTAATTTTTTAAGAGATTAAAATAATAGAAATGTAAGTTAAATCGAAGCCATATATATGTACACACCCACACACACACACACACACACCCATCATTTATATGTACTGGGGCAGCAGACATTGTTCACTTTTTTGTATAGCGCTCCAAGCTGGATGTCAACTCTTCCCTAATATGCCTGGACTTTCAAGTAGCCAGGGAGGTGGTAGTGCCGAACCAGAACCAACTGGCGAACCGGAACATAAACCAGAACCAGAATCGACAGGTGAACCGGATCATGAACCAGAACCAACAGGCGAACCGGAGCATAAGCCAGAACCGACAGGCGAACCGGAGCATAAGCCAGAACCGACAGGCGAACATGAGCATAAACCAGAACCAACAAGCGAACCGGAGCATAAACCAGAACCGACAGGCGACCCGGAGCATAAACCAGAACCGACAGGCGAGCCTAAACCTGAACCAGAATGTAAGAAACAGTAAATATTTATATCTTTAAAAAAAAGGGGTATCATTAAACCGTAATGCGATTTAGTACAACATTCCTGGTTATTTATCTGTAACCTTATGAATGAATTTCTCCAGACAATGACCGACAATGTATCTTTAATATTTTCATTATGAATTTCGGTCATACTATGATCATGCTCCGAAGGTTGTACATCCAGCGGTTGTACTTACAGATCTAGTCAACCAATTTAGTCTAACAGCCCGTCCAAATTATCCACAATACTGTGTTCAAAGGCCGGAACATCAACGTTCTACAGAAAAAAACAAGTTACCTTTGATTATGATTTCGGTTGAAAAACGTTTGGAAACTTTGAAGTTACTGCTATTCCAGCTCCCATACCTCACCTAAGATAGGCTATTTGGGCCACATTGGAGTTGCTGTTTTCACCGACTGGAATAGCAGGAAAACGCGTTTGCGGCAATTAAATTTCATAATTTTCTACTGACGACCTTATCTCCACGGACTGTTAACGATTGATTGGTTGATTGGAATTCGAGTCACCTAAGTTAGACTACATATTAGAATTTGAAGTTGCTGTATTCAAGAGCTGGAATATTAGGAAAATGCGTTTGCGGCCGTCAAATTTTCCAAATTATCTTTGGGGGAGGTTAGCCGCCGTTGGCAGCCTGAAATTGTTTCGGGCATTTCAGGTTCTCGGCCCCTCCCCCCACCACGCCTATGATGGTGTGACAGGGGCTTTAGTGAGCATACGCCGTACCCACCCGTTGATACAAATGCAAGCTGACTGCATAATAACTAGTTTAGTTTCATACTGTATAGCATGTTGATATCTCAACACTGGTAATGTTGTAATGATTTTCAGCTACAGGGAAACCGGAACCAGAAACTACTGGTGAACCTGAAACAGAACCAGAGTCTACCAGTGAACCCGAAACCGAGCCAGAGTCCACCAGTGAACCCGAACCAGAACCAGAGACTACTGGTGAACCTGAAACAGAACCAAAAGCTACAGGGGAACCTGAAACAGAACCCGAGACTACTAGTGAACCTGAATCAGAACCAGAGGTTACCAGTGAACCCGAGACTACTGGTGAACCGGAGACGGAACCTGAACCAGAAAGTGAGTTTTTTTTATCAAATTACTGGGTATTCACAACAATTTTGTGCTGTATCTTCAGTGCAGTTCTCCGCTTTAGCCGCTGTTTATTTTCGGAAAATATCAAATTTTACACAACTTAATCCACTCTAAAATGTACTCATAACGATTATTTAACACGTAATTAAGAACATAAAATCAACATATCATCGGATTAGAAATAACTCATCAAAAGATTCAACGGAACTGATAAGTGATATTGGCTAGTATTGACCACATCGCATTTTTTGTTGATGCAGTATGTTGTCAAATTTTTAATTCGTCATATCTTTGGAAATACTGAGTGAAATTTAACTATTTTGGACTGACATTCATATTAGAAATTCAACCTCCATAATAATGTAGTTTGCAAGGGGTTTTAACTCAATTTGAAATAGAAATGATTCTAAAAGTTAATACTAAGTCCAAAATGTAAGTTTATAAAATGATTTGTAATTTTTCATATTATACGTTCAACCGTTTTTTTAGAATATAACGTTCAAAACCTGGGTGCCATTGAGAAGCCCCATTGTTTTCGAGACCAAAGGTAAACGTCGAAAAGTAATGGAGAACTAACGGATACCACTGTCTCTGATCGAAGAGCCACCATTTCAGGAGGCCAATCAACTATTTTTCTAAACGCAAACAATCACAAGGACTGAAAGGTGTTTTGATGATGCAATAATTTGAGAGATTAAAATAATAGAAATTTTAAGTTAAATAACCCGTTGTTAGATATATTTTATTTCGCATCATCTACATGTAGTGTCGCTGCTGACATTGTTAACTTTTTTGTATAGCGCTCCATTCTAGATATCAACTCTCCCCTAATATGCCTAGACTATGTACCAATCAGGATAATAAAGATGGGCTAAAACATGTGGTGTGGAGGATATGCTGCTCGGACAGTTTCGTTTTGATACGATTGCCTACATATGAACATTTTGGACAAGCGAGTATATTCATACTGATATATTTGTAGAGCGAAAGTTTTAAACTGTTTTCTCTCTGTTGTGCCCCAGTGGACCATACTAAACCGTTTGGAGCACTCGTTGGCATTGACCAGAGAAGCTGGCAAGCACATATTTCTCTCATCGTAAACATCCATCATCATATCTTTGGAAATACTGTGTTTGGACTGATATTCCACTTCCACAATATTTTATAAATACAATTCCTGTTAAAACCATCGTATGCTTACTTTGTTTTGTGTCGACTCTATTTCGCCCAAATTAATTTCCCACCTAACTTATAGCTAGAGATCTTTAAAGTTCACCTTTGCTTTTGAATCGGTAACAGTTGCAGATATAGAGAGTGGGGTACATGGATGCCCCGCCCCCTTTAAATCGGGGCCGGGTGTGGATATAAAGAATGTGGTACATGGATAAGCCTCCTTTAAACAGTATATAGTGTCCATCTCCAACCATAGCATATGCTTTCTTTCATTATTGGTGGAATATTTGTCTTTTTTTAAAACTTAGTGATAATCCTATCGGGTAGATTAATAAAAGTTGGTCGTAAGTCAATAACTTGTCCAGAATACTGTCTTATTTCTTTAGTATATTATTTAAATTTCAGATACACCATGTAGCGCATCATGGTCTAAAAATTGTACAGCTAGCGGTTGTGATTACAGATCAAGTTGGGTTTATAATTCTACATCAGATAAAATTACCTTTACACTTGAAGCTACATTAAATGGACAAGCTAAATGGATTGGTATTGGTTTCTCGGATGATAAAGCCATGGTAAGTATTGATACTTAACAAACATACTTGAAATATTTTGTATCTTCTAGAAAGTTGAAGTAACATCCATAATGATGAAATGTTTCAAATCTATTACATACAAAATGGCCCCGAAGAATATTCAAATGAGCTACTGACAAGTAAATGTAATTTTTATGCTGTATTGGACTGGTGATGATTTGTATGAGCGCTCGCCTCCAATATACCTTTGTGTGACCAGATAAAAGCGGTAATACAATATCGTTTGTAAACATTGCCCCGTTTTCATTAGCCCAGTCGGAGCAGAACAGTAGGGCGTTAAACACCATTTCATTTCATTCCATTTGTAAACTTTGCCATAATGTAATTAGACCAAAACGCAGCAATAACCTACATAAATTCATTACTCGCTGGAAACAAAAAAAAAACACAAAAAAAAACACAAAAAGAAATTAGGCAAGTTATCACTGTGCCAGCGTTTGATTTACAAGATAAATGCCAGAACTTTTCTTGATAAGTAGAAATAGGTAAGTTGATTGAGATACGAATAAAAGGATGCAAGAGTTTTTACCAGAATTAACCAGTTTTATTAAACGAAATATATGTGCGATCTCTCCTTTAATATGATAATATAATCCATACTTGATGAAAGAGTACCGTATTTAACAGCCTTTACCCGTACATTGTCTTTATATTCGAGACTACATGGAGGCGTGGTCGCAGTAAGGAGGGCATGATTTTGTAATGACGCTTCCCTGGGGTGGGGGAGGGGAATCTCTAGATGCCGTATGAACCGCCAAACCAAACGACACCCCTCCCCTGGTCACCACTCCACCGATCCGAATCACTATCACTAGATTTATCATGACATGTTCCATATGTAAATATAACTGATTGTTTAGAAAAGAATTAAAGTATAAATATTTGTAATTCACAGACCAATTCAGATGCTATAGTTGGTTGGGTATACAGCGGAAATGTTACAGTCATAGATCTGTAAGTACATTTCTCACATGGGTCTGAAATATAGTCATGTATTCTGCAACCAACAAAACCTCTTAAGGCGCAGGCACTCCTTGAAATCATATATAGTTTGTGGGCTTATCGGCTATGCTATTGAATATTCCGTGGCGACTCCCAAAGAGGGAGCGGGCGCCACTATGCGACTGACGTAGAAAATTTACATGTATGTACTTTCCATTCAGGCTTTTCATGTCCAAACTCTACGAGGCAATTTAATTGCCCTGTCTGATCACGCTAAGATGTAGTTGTTTCTGTTAATTGTGCCGCCACCTTTCCAATTTTTCAGATAATTATATTTTTGTACAAAAATACCAGATATATAAGTTATTACTGTTCTAATCAAATAATACAGGTTTTGTAAAAAATAAACATTTCAGTAAAAATACATCACAAAATCTTTGTCCACATCAAATCAACGTGGATATGACAGAGTATAACAGTCTAAACAGTCTGTCAATTTTCTATGTCTTTTGTCAGGATGTTAACCGGTCATCACTATAAAACGGACACAACTCAGAACGTAGAAGATGTTTCAGGAAACGTAATTAATGGTGTTACTCGTATAGAGTTTACGAGAGCTAGAAATACAGGGGATGTAGAGGATAAACAATTTTCAGATTCAGACTGCTTCTACTTCTTCTATGCTTTAGGAGGCCCTTTCAACGGCTCTACTAAAACTATTTGGAAACATATAGAGACACCTAAGATATCTTCCAATAAAATATGTATCAAGGCGTGCACAGGTAAATATTTATTATGCGCACATTTCAGTTTGGATGTATTCTGTCGTCGCCCCTGCCCGTCGATATGTCAATCAACAATCCGCTTATAATTGTAAGCGTCATGATATTAATTTCCAGCGTTCCACGACCTTTGGTTCCGGAGTATGTTTTTATATTTGGTGTGAATGAGCCCTATTGTTTTCAACTAAAGGACGGCTAAAATTGATGTTAAACTTAAGCATTGGGATCGCATAGGTTGAAGTATTTTGATATTCAGCATTCTATAATAGCTCGTGAACACGAAATAGATCGGATTTATTGAAGGCATAAAGTCGCTAGACCTCCCAATGGACGGAAGACAGTAATAAAATTTGTAGTAATACCGTAAGAAATTTCATTTTCTAAACCAGAACCTGAAACTGAACCAAATGCAGAACCAACTGCAGAACCTGAGGGGGAACCCGAGGGAGAACCCGAAGGTGGTGGCGGAGGTTGTCCTGCAACAGTACCCCCTCCAGGATATTCAGCTGGTGGAGGTTTCCGTGGAAACAATGATAGAACAGGAGGTAAACTAATCTGTACATTCATTGTGAACTAAATACATGTATCTTGAACAGTTTTATATTGGGAGACGTAACTATCAGCAACTTTTGTACATATTTTTTAAAGAAAAGCATTTCCGATTTTGCTTAAATTTGAATTTTACACAGTAAATCTGTTTGCAGGTAACGTAGGACATCCTATGGATTGTACAGATATTATCATTGGATCAGCCAATGGTCAACTGAGTAGAGTTGGAGATTACTACACCAGAGATCGTTCCACTCCTAAGCGTGATGTTGACTTTGATGGAACAGAGAGTCTAACAGCTGCTGTTGGTTTCGAAGAAAATGGAGAAACTACCATTTTATTTAGAAGGAAAATTACTGGTAAATATACATTCCTTATTTATTAACCTGCGTTTGGTAGAAGTACGGCGATGTTAAGCCGTGTGGGTTATCAGCATAGTTTTGAACTACACTAATTGTATAATGGATAATAGTTTCAAACTATTTCTTCTGTTAATCACCCTGTAAACGTCTACTGACTATTTTCAAAAAGACTTTGCAGCAACAACTGAGTCATTCTTATTTCAAGGAATATAACGAAACGAAATTGTAATCCCATTGCGATAGTACGAAATATCCGTGTAGCATTTTATAGGTCGTTGCTATAACATCAAATATAAGTGTAGCGTCGCATAGATCGTTGCCACAAGATCTTAGTTCAAATATCCATGTAGCATCTTATAGATCGCTGCCCTGAGATCTTAGTTTAAATGTCCGTTATATAGATCAGTGCCCAGAGATCTTGAACTAAGCGCACCGTGTGTTATCCTGATCTTGGTCATTTCTGTTGAATATGAATCGTATGTAATCAATGTGTCATGGAATCTATAATAATTTATAACTAAAATGTCAACTTCAGGAACTGAAAGAACAGATTACACAATAGAATCTGGCTTGATGCATGTTATTTGGGCAAAAGGTCAAGATGAGACTAAATATATCCACAAACCAGCATCTGGAGATCGACCTGGATTTTATAAACATGATCATTTGCTATATCATGGTCATTCACCACAGAGAGGTGCAAGTTCTATCAACTTCCTTGGTAAATATATATTTAGTAAAATATATCGGGCGAAAGTTGCTGTTATCTAGTTTTTCTGATTAAATTTGATCTTCAGTATTTGCAGAGAACAGTAATTATTAACCGATCACGTACAGATGTTAACTACTTACGATAAAACGTTGTATCCGACAACATAAACATGTTAGTTCATTTGCGTAGATCATCTTCAGATAATGTTTTAAATACATGTAGAGTCAAGTATGTTGTATTGGTTCCTTTTCTTACTAAAGTGTATCATCGTGTTCTATAAAGAATAAGTAAAATATACTGTCTTATCTTAAACATGCATTATGCAAGAGCTAAATCTGCCTATTGCAGGTCTTTCTTTAGGCCTGAAATGTTTTCTAAAGTATTAATTAGACATTAATTAACTGATCCAGGCCTTAATCAACTCTCGATGGCATCAGATTTCTCCGATATTAAATAGATTAGAATGGTTCAGCGATACTTTGATTTAATCAAATATGGAGGACCGAGACTTAGCTTCGATCAACTAGTAAATGGTTGAAATTATTGCACACGTCTTTCAAACCTTCAAAGGCTAATATCTTCACTTGCAATAGAGTAATTTGAATGAACTTTTCAAATTATTCATTTTACATCATCTTCTTTCAAACTATTATAGCAAGAATGGCTAGTTCTTTATCTAAATCTTACATAATGTATCTTTAAACAGCGAGTGAAGATCTTTCAACATCATGTAACGGCCGCTGGCCATCTAAATGTACCAGTTGTAATCTAGAAGCTACTTGGCTTTTTGATGCTGCAACGGATTCCATTAACTTTACCATAAAAGCTAGACTGAACAACGAGAAAAAATGGATTGCTCTTGGTTTTTCTGCTGACACTTCGATGGTAGGTTAACTAAACTACTAACTTTGTAACATTCTAAATCAATGGTAATGTAAATATCTGGTTAAAATATACATACTGTAGCAATCGGAATTAAGGATAATACAACATATCGGGCGGAGGGGTGGGGTGCGCTTAAATACAATTGAACATTTTTAAGGTTGGTTAAACTGAAAAAAAAACCAAAGAGTAAAAACTTACCAGCCACAAAACTGTTAGGTAGCATAAATTTCCTCAAGGAAAAGATCAAAATTGTCACTTGGTCTCTAAAAGCAAAGTTCATTTAAAGCGAGAATTTCAAATTTTCTAAAGAGTCAAAACATAATTATTTCTATGTCTTTTGCTCAATAGGTTATCAAATCACTATTATATGATCATGGGCATTATTTCCCACCCTTAAAAAACTATGACACAGGAAATAACAACACAATTACCTCCCCTGTTTTGCTATTGACAACATGGGGCAGCCATTTTCCAACGTTGGAATTTGAAGTTAAAAATGATATTTTTGCCAATTTCTCAGCTGGCAATAGCGAATTATAGGATTAATAGGATTATTCTTTAACAAGGTAGGACTGTTTATTGATACCATCTTTTTTAAGGCTTTATTTTAATACATTTGAAAATTTGCAATTTCAACTTTAAGTGAGCAATGCAAACGCTAAGATGCGAGAAAGGGGCTTGTTATTTTGTGCGAAAGTTTCTGATCAAATATTGAGCGATTTCTATCTCTGGCCTTCAGTTTTTCCATCAAGAACACTGATAAGCACGATACCGTTTTTATTCTTGGCAGTTAAAACCAGAAATAACCGTAAACTTTCACAGAAACCTTGTCACATTTAAATTTGCCCGTATATTTTTTTTAAAAGCCTAAATCTGATGCTGTTGTTGCCTGGATTGACAATGGTCAGGTTACTGTAACTGACAGGTAAATATTATGACTTTTTTTACCTTTCGAAAAGGTGGGAATGATGTTCACGTGTGACTTTATGGGAGTATGACTGCAAGAATTCGGGTCGTATTTAGCTTCGAATCCCCGGTTGTACGTGACAAGGAGTAGGGTCGCCTGTCCAACATCGTGGGTTTTCTCCGGGTCCTCCGGTTTCCTTCCACTGTTAAAGACCCCTACGCGCAAGCGAATTATTGAAATAAAATTAAAACCATATGTTAGTCCCGAAATGACCTAGTTTGTGTCAAGTGGACGTTAAACCCCATTTCTCTCTCTCTCTCTCTCTCTCTCTCTCTCTCTCTCTCTCTCTCTCTCGTATTTAGCTTGAATGGAGGCCCTGGCTGAAAATGTCACTGGGGCTCTTGCATGAACTGTGAAGAGGGGGTATATTCCTGTCCTCTGGTGTGCCCCCCCCCCTCCCACCCACACGTTAAACTCTACCGTAGATGTAGAAAACCAAGAACGTCACGCGCACAGTATGGTCTAGCGTTGCCGTCCATAACGATTGGCCTTGTGAAAAGAGGTGCAGTACCATAGGCGTTATGGCTCGATGAATGTTATGGGGGCAGAACCTGCCGGTCGTCTGCGAGTGGCGAAGGAGTGGAGCTTACCGTGTAGTGTAGCGCCCCTCCCCCCACCTCGAAATTAAGACAGCTGTATTAACGTCTTCTATTTATATGTAACACCTCACTTGTTTGTACGAATAAAATGAATAGTCAGATCTATTATGCCCCTTCACGCCGTCACATGTGTAAAAATAAAAAAGATATTTGAGCAACTTCCTTTTTGAATAAGTATGCCGATAATAATATATAATATAAAGAAGACGGTGTGTGAAATTGTATACGTATGTATAACATCAACGATAAATATAATATGGTTGGTGTAATTCATTATTTATACATTTGGATCATGGCGTGACTTTCAATTTTTTATGAAAGGTGTTTCACGTTTCACCGGTGTCGTCTTACCAAGGTAAATTTGGAAATATCAGATAAATGTAAACTTAAAATGGTACCATGATGCATAGGCGTACCAGTTCCATGAATGTTTAAAATTTAACTGCGAAAATGCGTTTTCCAGCTATTACAGCCCATGAATACAGTAACTTCGATGTGGTCCAATATAGCTGACCAATCAATCGTCGCGGGGTATGGGGGCCTCCATCCTCGGTATCCCAAGTAGTCCCATTCCGTTCTGCTCCACTAACCCCTGGGTTCATCCATGGGGGAGACGCGTATTGATGACTGTGCTATTTTTATTGACCAATCCCCAAAAATAGTTAAATACAAAGGTAGTTAGCGAAGGGAAGTAACTCTCAACTTGTTGCAACAAACATGCCGTCATATTGTTGTGACCGTAAGCAATGAGCCTAAGACTGGTTTGTAAATTGTTTTCTGATTGGTTCGTAGAATCAAGCTACGATAAGGGTAGATAATTTGAATACGTGAATACCTCGCGGATGAACCCAGGTCATATAGTGGAGTAGAACGGAATGAGACCAATGCATTTTTCTGCTATTCTAGCCCGTGAATTAAGCAACTGCAAAGTTTTCCAATTCCAATGTATCCCAGCTGCATTCACAAAGAATAATCGATGCCCGAAAAATGTCGCTCAAAGTAGAGTGGCTCCAGACAAAATGCTTTAACCCATGGTCAGTTCAGTACAAATTCGTGTTCTTCGATTAAAAGAAAAGTAAAATTAGTGTTTCATTACATTTCAGGAACTTTATGTTGTCAACTAAATAATAATCTTTGTTTGTGGTTGGGGGGGGGGCAGCTGACTACAACCCAGTTCAGGATTTTTCTTTTGCACTGTTGGCCATTGGGATTACCTCTAACTGTTACCGGTGAAAGCGTACAGTCAAATGAAGGACAACTCCATATCATGAACCCACTCTAGGATGTACCTCTGTGTCGCCAAGTCACACAGGTTTTTTTTTAACAATCTCGTTCGAAGATTTGCCGGGGAAGGCCTTAGCGGTTAAGAAGCCTATATGCGAATGTCACCAGATAATGTCAACTAGTTGTTTCCGTGATTGTCGACATAATTTAGTATTCAAAAAATCACGTGACTTTCTCGACATCAGTGATTGGCTAATGAATTTTACAACCGGGCGATGTCTTCGGTGAACCGGATATAAACGCGGCGAATGAAAATTCGGGCGAAATTTTCAAACACGTTTCATTCAAGCGAATCTTTCGGACAAATACAAATAACGGCATTGCGACACTGGACGCACTATTTGGGCGTCGATTGATTCGGCCGAATGATTGGTCTAGTGTGTCTACCACGTTTAATTTAGCACCTTATCCAGCTGATTTGAACCGAATACGAAAGAGTTTTGTAGGATGGGGGCAGTGAAGGAAACACTCCCTTTTCAACACTTTGCTTTACGTCATTGACATCCCAGCATTCCTCATACCATCTGTTGCTGTAGTGAGTTGTCGAGGCCCCATTGTGAAATACAGACAGTGAACAATGTCTGATTTCCCAAACATGCTTTTCATGAAGCAAGGGACCCACGCTTTCTTTGCATCTAGTTATGTTACGCGCTGTACTGGCAGCTTTCATAATATATATGGCGCATGTATATAATGGTGGACAAGATTACGTAAAAAAAATTAACTTCACGTAAATGTACGTAATAAATTTCTCTTGAACGCATAAAAATTCGTTCGTTGCGATAATTTGTCTCTGTGTATTTATTATTCGTTATAGATATAGATCAGATTATACAATATATATTATATTATATAGATGGATGACTGCAAGAAGTCTACCAGCTCAAGATACTAAGAATGATATAACTGGTGTTACTGGTGATGTGATAAATGGTGTAACAACTATCAGTTTTACAAGAAAACGTGATACTGGTGATACTCAAGATTTCCAATTTACTGATACACAGTGTGGATATATGTTTTATGCTATGGGTGGTAGCTATAACAATGACGGAACCTTCTCCAAACATGCCACAACTCCCGTTGTGTCTCCCAAGAAAATCTGTATTCGATCATGTGATATTCAACCCACAACACCATGTAAGTTTTACTTTCATCTATATTCATCAAGGTGGTCTTAAAAGATCCTGATCAGCGAAAGATAGCGTGGCTTTGTAAATAACTCGAGTGCATTTGGAAAACGCATCACTTAGTTTTTCGTATAACAAAATGATCCTGTAAACATATCTTATTTATTTTGCTTCTTATTGTTAACAATATTCAAATGGGGAGACATCAATAACAACACATTTGTACACTTATGGATGTTTAATCTGTAATCAACGGTACAACGTCAGAGGGGTCAAAACCAAATGTACGACACAGATGTCAGTAGCGCGTGTGTCCTCCACGGGCTCTTACGCACGCTGTGCAGCGACGTCACATGGAATTTACCAATGTTTGAAAGAAGGCCTGGGGCAAACTGTTCCATTCTTGGATAAGAGCAGCTTCTAAAGCAGCAATGGTGTGCATCTGTGGTCTCCGATACAGACGGCGTCCAATCTCATCCCAGACATGTTCTATCGGTGCCATGTCCGGAGACATGGCTGGCCAGTCCAAGCCATTGATGTTGTTAGCAGCCATGTAGTCCATACTAAAACGGGCGGTATGCGGACGTGCATTATCCTGTTGGAAGTGCTGAAGTTGTGGGTGCGCTCGAAACATCGGAACAACAATTGGTTACAAGACATCATCACGGTAGGCTACAGTATTAACGCGACCCCTGCAAATGTGTAGGGCGGCCCGGTGATGAAATGTGAAGCCTCCCCACACCATTACACTTCCCCCACCCCATCGATTCGTTTCGAAGACGCAGCAGTCTGCAAGACGTTCCCCAAGACGTCTCCACACACGTTGACGGCCATCAACGTGATAAAGATGAAAGCCACTCACCACTGAAGAGCACACTTTGCCAGTCTACTCTTCTCCATGTCTGGTGCCATTGAGCCCATATCAAACGCCGCTGACGGTGATGATCCCTGAGGATAGCTCCAACATAAGGTCGTCGTACACGGAGTCCTACTTCTCTTAGACGACGTCTTACGGTGTTGGCACTTACTGGTCCTTGTCTTCCGACGACTGCTGGGCGGAATCTGTCACGCAGATGAGTGACCCGGATGTAGCGGTCTTGAGCCTGGGTTCTAACGCGTTGTGGACCAGAACGTTGACGGCCACGTGTTGGTCCAGTAACTCGAACACGTTCCACCAACCTTACAATAGTGGACTGATGACAATTGAAGTGTCTGGCAATAGCACGTGTAGACATGCCAGCCCTGGACATTCCCATAGCTTCATTCCGTTGATTTTCAGTAAGTCGCGGCACCTAGTAATAAAATATTTCTTTAGGCCTGAAATGTTTTCTAAAGTATTAATTAGACATTAATTAACTGATCCAGGCCTTAATCAACTCTCGATGGCATCAGATTTCTCCGATATTAAATAGAATAGAATGGTTCAGCGATACTTTGATTTAATCAAATATGGAGGACCGAGACTTAGCTTCGATCAACTAGTACGATGGTTGAAATTATTGCACACGTCTTTCAAACCTTCAAAGGCTAATATCTTCACTTGCAATAGAGTAATTTGAATGAACTTTTCAAATTATTCATTTTACATCATCTACTTTCAAACTATTATAGCAAGAATGGCTAGTTCTTTATCTAAATCTTACATAATGTATCTTTAAACAGCGAGTGAAGATCTTTCAACATCATGTAACGGCCGCTGGCCATCTAAATGTACCAGTTGTAATCTAGAAGCTACTTGGCTTTTTGATGCTGCAACGGATTCCATTAACTTTACCATAAAAGCTAGACTGAACAACGAGAAAAAATGGATTGCTCTTGGTTTTTCTGCTGACACTTCGATGGTAGGTTAACTAAACTACTAACTTTGTAACATTCTAAATCAATGGTAATGTAAATATCTGGTTAAAATATACATACTGTAGCAATCGGAATTAAGGATAATACAACATATCGGGCGGAGGGGTGGGGTGCGCTTAAATACAATTAAACATTTTTAAGGTTGGTTAAACTGAAAAAAAAAACCAAAGAGTAAAAACTTACCAGCCACAAAACTGTTAGGTAGCATAAATTTCCTCAAGGAAAAGATCAAAATTGTCACTTGGTCTCTAAAAGCAAAGTTCATTTAAAGCGAGAATTTCAAATTTTCTAAGAAAGTCAAAACATAATTATTTCTATGTCTTTTGCTCAATAGGTTATCAAATCACTATTATATGATCATGGGCATTATTTTCCCCCCTTAAAAAACTATGACACAGGAAATAACAACACAATTACCCCCCCCCCCTGTTTTGCTATTGACAACATGGGGCAGCCATTTTCCAACGTTGGAATTTGAAGTTAAAAATGATATTTTTGCCAATTTCTCAGCTGGCAATAGCGAATTATAGGATTAATAGGATTATTCTTTAACAAGGTAGGACTGTTTATTGATACCATCTTTTTTAAGGCTTTATTTTAATACATTTGAAAATTTGCAATTGCAACTTTAAGTGAGCAATGCAAACGCTAAGATGCGAGAAAGGGGCTTGTTATTTTGTGCGAAAGTTTCTGATCAAATATTGAGCGATTTCTATCTCTGGCCTTCAGTTTTTCCATCAAGAACACTGATAAGCACGATACCGTTTTTATTCTTGGCAGTTAAAACCAGAAATAACCGTAAACTTTCACAGAAACCTTGTCACATATAAATTTGCCCGTATATTTTTTTTTAAAAGCCTAAATCTGATGCTGTTGTTGCCTGGATTGACAATGGTCAGGTTAATGTAACTGACAGGTAAATATTATGACTTTTTTTTACCTTTCGAAAAGGTGGGAATGATGTTCACGTGTGACTTTATGGGAGTATGACTGCAAGAATTCGGGTCGTATTTAGCTTCGAATCCCCGGTTGTACGTGACAAGGAGTAAGGTCGCCTGTCCAACATCGTGGGTTTTCTCCGGGTCCTCCGGTTTCCTTCCACTGTTAAAGACCCCTACGCGCAAGCGAATTATTGAAATAAAATTAAAACCATATGTTAGTCCCGAAATGACCTAGTTTGTGTCAAGTGGACGTTAAACCCCATCTCTCTCTCTCTCTCTCTCTCTCTCTCTCTCTCTCTCTCTCTCTCTCTCTCGTATTTAGCTTGAATGGAGGCCCTGGCTGAAAATGTCACTGGGGCTCTTGCATGAACTGTGAAGAGGGGGTATATTCCTGTCCTCTGGTGTGCCCCCCCCCCCTTCCACCCACACGTTAAACTCTACCGTAGATGTAGAAAACCAAGAACGTCACGCGCACAGTATGGTCTAGCGTTGCCGTCCATAACGATTGGCCTTGTGAAAAGAGGTGCAGTACCATAGGCGTTATGGCTCGATGAATGTTATGGGGGCAGAACCTGCCGGTCGTCTGCGAGTTGCGAAGGAGTGGAGCTTACCGTGTAGTGTAGCGCCCCTCCCCCCTCGAAATTAAGACAGCTGTATTAACGTCTTCTATTTATATGTAACACCTCACTTGTTTGTACGAGTAAAATGAATAGTCAGATCTATTATGCCCCTTCACGCCGTCACATGTGTAAAAATAAAAAAGATATTTGAGCAACTTCCTTTTTGAATAAGTATGCCGATAATAATATATAATATAAAGAAGACGGTGTGTGAAATTGTATACGTATGTATAACATCAACGATAAATATAATATGGTTGGTGTAATTCATTATTTATACATTTGGATCATGGCGTGACTTTCAATTTTTTATGAAAGGTGTTTCACGTTTCACCGGTGTCGTCTTACCAAGGTAAATTTGGAAATATCAGATAAATGTAAACTTAAAATGGTACCATGATGCATAGGCGTACCAGTTCCATGAATGTTTAAAATTTAACTGCGAAAACGCGTTTTCCAGCTATTACAGCCCGTGAATACAGTAACTTCGATGTGGTCCAATATAGCTGACCAATCAATCGTCGCGGGGTATGGGGGCCTCCATCCTCGGTATCCCAAGTAGTCCCATTCCGTTCTGCTCCACTAACCCCTGGGTTCATCCATGGGGGAGACGCGTATTGATGACTGTGCTATTTTTATCGACCAATCCCCAAAAATAGTTAAATACAAAGGTAGTTAGTGAAGGGAAGTAACTCTCAACTTGTTGCAACAAACATGCCGTCATATTGTTGTGACCGTAAGCAATGAGCCTAAGACTGGTTTGTAAATTGTTTTCTGATTGGTTCGTAGAATCAAGCTACGATAAGGGTAGATAATTTGAATACGTGAATACCTCGCGGATGAACCCAGGTCATATAGTGGAGTAGAACGGAATGAGACCAATGCATTTTTCTGCTATTCTAGCCCGTGAATTAAGCAACTGCAAAGTTTTCCAATTCCAATGTATCCCAGCTGCATTCACAAAGAATAATCGATGCCCGAAAAATGTCGCTCAAAGTAGAGTGGCTCCAGACAAAATGCTTTAACCCATGGTCAGTTCAGTACAAATTCGTGTTCTTCGATTAAAAGAAAAGTAAAATTAGTGTTTCATTAGCTTTCATAATATATATGGCGCATGTATATAATGGTGGACAAGATTACGTAAAAAAAATTAACTTCACGTAAATGTACGTAATAAATTTCTCTTGAACGCATAAAAATTCGGGCGTTGCGATAATTTGTCTCTGTGTTTTTATTATTCGTTATAGATATAGATCAGATTATACAATATATATTATATTATATAGATGGATGACTGCAAGAAGTCTACCAGCTCAAGATACTAAGAATGATATAACTGGTGTTACTGGTGATGTGATAAATGGTGTAACAACTATCAGTTTTACAAGAAAACGTGATACTGGTGATACTCAAGATTTCCAATTTACTGATACACAGTGTGGATATATGTTTTATGCTATGGGTGGTAGCTATAACAATGACGGAACCTTCTCCAAACATGCCACAACTCCCGTTGTGTCTCCCAAGAAAATCTGTATTCGATCATGTGATATTCAACCCACAACACCATGTAAGTTTTACTTTCATCTATATTCATCAAGGTGGTCTTAAAAGATCCTGATCAGCGAAAGATAGCGTGGCTTTGTAAATAACTCGAGTGCATTTGGAAAACGCATCACTTAGTTTTTCGTATAACAAAATGATCCTGTAAACATATCTTATTTATTTTGCTTCTTATTGTTAACAATATTCAAATGGGAAGACATCAATAACAACACATTTGTACACTTATGGATGTTTAATCTGTAATCAACGGTACAACGTCAGAGGGGTCAAAACCAAATGTACGACACAGATGTCAGTAGCGCGTGTGTCCTCCACGGGCTCTTACGCACGCTGTGCAGCGACGTCACATGGAATTTACCAATGTTTGAAAGAAGGCCTGGGGCAAACTGTTCCATTCTTGGATAAGAGCAGCTTCTAAAGCAGCAATGGTGTGCATCTGTGGTCTCCGATACAGACGGCGTCCAATCTCATCCCAGACATGTTCTATCGGTGCCATGTCCGGAGACATGGCTGGCCAGTCCAAGACATTGATGTTGTTAGCAGTCATGTAGTCCATACTAAAACGGGCGGTATGCGGACGTGCATTATCCTGTTGGAAGTGCTGAAGTTGTGGGTGCGCTCGAAACATCGGAACAACAATTGGTTACAAGACATCATCACGGTAGGCTACAGTATTAACGCGACCCCTGCAAATGTGTAGGGCGGCCCGGTGATGAAATGTGAAGCCTCCCCACACCATTACACTTCCCCCACCCCATCGATTCGTTTCAAAGACGCAGCAGTCTGCAAGACGTTCCCCAAGACGTCTCCACACACGTTGACGGCCATCAACGTGATAAAGATGAAAGCCACTCACCACTGAAGAGCACACTTTGCCAGTCAACTCTTCTTCATGTCTGGTGCCATTGAGCCCATATCAAACGCCGCTGACGGTGATGATCCCTGAGGATAGCTCCAACATAAGGTCGTCGTACACGGAGTCCTACTTCTCTTAGACGACGTCTTACGGTGTTGGCACTTACTGGTCCTTGTCTTCCGACGACTGCTGGGCGGAATCTGTCACGCAGATGAGTGACCCGGATGTAGCGGTCTTGAGCCTGGGTTCTAACGCGTTGTGGACCAGAACGTTGACGGCCACGTGTTGGTCCAGTAACTCGAACACGTTCCACCAACCTTACAATAGTGGACTGATGACAATTGAAGTTTCTGGCAATAGCACGTGTAGACATGCCAGCCCTGGACATTCCCATAGCTTCATTCCGTTGATTTTCAGTAAGTCGCGGCACACGGGCCGATATTTTTTGCGTTTGGGAGCATTGTGTGAAACAATAGTTCATAGTATTGCATAATATTATACATACAAAACCACCTAGTAATAAAATATTTCTTTAGGCCTGAAATGTTTTCTAAAGTATTAATTAGACATTAATTAACTGATCCAGGCCTTAATCAACTCTCGATGGCATCAGATTTCTCCGATATTAAATAGATTAGAATGGTTCAGCGATACTTTGATTTAATCAAATATGGAGGACCGAGACTTAGCTTCGATCAACTAGAACGATGGTTGAAATTATTGCACACGTCTTTCAAACCTTCAAAGGCTAATATCTTCACTTGCAATAGAGTAATTTGAATGAACTTTTCAAATTATTCATTTTACATCATCTACTTTCAAACTATTATAGCAAGAATGGCTAGTTCTTTATCTAAATCTTACATAATGTATCTTTAAACAGCGAGTGAAGATCTTTCAACATCATGTAACGGCCGCTGGCCATCTAAATGTACCAGTTGTAATCTAGAAGCTACTTGGCTTTTTGATGCTGCAACGGATTCCATTAACTTTACCATAAAAGCTAGACTGAACAACGAGAAAAAATGGATTGCTCTTGGTTTTTCTGCTGACACTTCGATGGTAGGTTAACTAAACTACTAACTTTGTAACATTCTAAATCAATGGTAATGTAAATATCTGGTTAAAATATACATACTGTAGCAATCGGAATTAAGGATAATACAACATATCGGGCGGAGGGGTGGGGTGCGCTTAAATACAATTAAACATTTTTAAGGTTGGTTAAACTGAAAAAAAAAACCAAAGAGTAAAAACTTACCAGCCACAAAACTGTTAGGTAGCATAAATTTCCTCAAGGAAAAGATCAAAATTGTCACTTGGTCTCTAAAAGCAAAGTTCATTTAAAGCGAGAATTTCAAATTTTCTAAGAAAGTCAAAACATAATTATTTCTATGTCTTTTGCTCAATAGGTTATCAAATCACTATTATATGATCATGGGCATTATTTTCCCCCCTTAAAAAACTATGACACAGGAAATAACAACACAATTACCCCCCCCCCCCCTGTTTTGCTATTGACAACATGGGGCAGCCATTTTCCAACGTTGGAATTTGAAGTTAAAAATGATATTTTTGCCAATTTCTCAGCTGGCAATAGCGAATTATAGGATTAATAGGATTATTCTTTAACAAGGTAGGACTGTTTATTGATACCATCTTTTTTAAGGCTTTATTTTAATACATTTGAAAATTTGCAATTGCAACTTTAAGTGAGCAATGCAAACGCTAAGATGCGAGAAAGGGGCTTGTTATTTTGTGCGAAAGTTTCTGATCAAATATTGAGCGATTTCTATCTCTGGCCTTCAGTTTTTCCATCAAGAACACTGATAAGCACGATACCGTTTTTATTCTTGGCAGTTAAAACCAGAAATAACCGTAAACTTTCACAGAAACCTTGTCACATATAAATTTGCCCGTATATTTTTTTTTAAAAGCCTAAATCTGATGCTGTTGTTGCCTGGATTGACAATGGTCAGGTTAATGTAACTGACAGGTAAATATTATGACTTTTTTTTACCTTTCGAAAAGGTGGGAATGATGTTCACGTGTGACTTTATGGGAGTATGACTGCAAGAATTCGGGTCGTATTTAGCTTCGAATCCCCGGTTGTACGTGACAAGGAGTAAGGTCGCCTGTCCAACATCGTGGGTTTTCTCCGGGTCCTCCGGTTTCCTTCCACTGTTAAAGACCCCTACGCGCAAGCGAATTATTGAAATAAAATTAAAACCATATGTTAGTCCCGAAATGACCTAGTTTGTGTCAAGTGGACGTTAAACCCCATCTCTCTCTCTCTCTCTCTCTCTCTCTCTCTCGTATTTAGCTTGAATGGAGGCCCTGGCTGAAAATGTCACTGGGGCTCTTGCATGAACTGTGAAGAGGGGGTATATTCCTGTCCTCTGGTGTGCCCCCCCCCCCTCCCACCCACACGTTAAACTCTACCGTAGATGTAGAAAACCAAGAACGTCACGCGCACAGTATGGTCTAGCGTTGCCGTCCATAACGATTGGCCTTGTGAAAAGAGGTGCAGTACCATAGGCGTTATGGCTCGATGAATGTTATGGGGGCAGAACCTGCCGGTCGTCTGCGAGTTGCGAAGGAGTGGAGCTTACCGTGTAGTGTAGCGCCCCTCCCCCCTCGAAATTAAGACAGCTGTATTAACGTCTTCTATTTATATGTAACACCTCACTTGTTTGTACGAGTAAAATGAATAGTCAGATCTATTATGCCCCTTCACGCCGTCACATGTGTAAAAATAAAAAAGATATTTGAGCAACTTCCTTTTTGAATAAGTATGCCGATAATAATATATAATATAAAGAAGACGGTGTGTGAAATTGTATACGTATGTATAACATCAACGATAAATATAATATGGTTGGTGTAATTCATTATTTATACATTTGGATCATGGCGTGACTTTCAATTTTTTATGAAAGGTGTTTCACGTTTCACCGGTGTCGTCTTACCAAGGTAAATTTGGAAATATCAGATAAATGTAAACTTAAAATGGTACCATGATGCATAGGCGTACCAGTTCCATGAATGTTTAAAATTTAACTGCGAAAACGCGTTTTCCAGCTATTACAGCCCGTGAATACAGTAACTTCGATGTGGTCCAATATAGCTGACCAATCAATCGTCGCGGGGTATGGGGGCCTCCATCCACGGTATCCCAAGTAGTCCCATTCCGTTCTGCTCCACTAACCCCTGGGTTCATCCATGGGGGAGACGCGTATTGATGACTGTGCTATTTTTATCGACCAATCCCCAAAAATAGTTAAATACAAAGGTAGTTAGCGAAGGGAAGTAACTCTCAACTTGTTGCAACAAACATGCCGTCATATTGTTGTGACCGTAAGCAATGAGCCTAAGACTGGTTTGTAAATTGTTTTCTGATTGGTTCGTAGAATCAAGCTACGATAAGGGTAGATAATTTGAATACGTGAATACCTCGCGGATGAACCCAGGTCATATAGTGGAGTAGAACGGAATGAGACCAATGCATTTTTCTGCTATTCTAGCCCGTGAATTAAGCAACTGCAAAGTTTTCCAATTCCAATGTATCCCAGCTGCATTCACAAAGAATAATCGATGCCCGAAAAATGTCGCTCAAAGTAGAGTGGCTCCAGACAAAATGCTTTAACCCATGGTCAGTTCAGTACAAATTCGTGTTCTTCGATTAAAAGAAAAGTAAAATTAGTGTTTCATTAGCTTTCATAATATATATGGCGCATGTATATAATGGTGGACAAGATTACGTAAAAAAAATTAACTTCACGTAAATGTACGTAATAAATTTCTCTTGAACGCATAAAAATTCGGGCGTTGCGATAATTTGTCTTTGTGTTTTTATTATTCGTTATAGATATAGATCAGATTATACAATATATATTATATTATATAGATGGATGACTGCAAGAAGTCTACCAGCTCAAGATACTAAGAATGATATAACTGGTGCTACTGGTGATGTGATAAATGGTGTAACAACTATCAGTTTTACAAGAAAACGTGATACTGGTGATACTCAAGATTTCCAATTTACTGATACACAGTGTGGATATATGTTTTATGCTATGGGTGGTAGCTATAACAATGACGGAACCTTCTCCAAACATGCCACAACTCCCGTTGTGTCTCCCAAGAAAATCTGTATTCGATCATGTGATATTCAACCCACAACACCATGTAAGTTTTACTTTCATCTATATTCATCAAGGTGGTCTTAAAAGATCCTGATCAGCGAAAGATAGCGTGGCTTTGTAAATAACTCGAGTGCATTTGGAAAACGCATCACTTAGTTTTTCGTATAACAAAATGATCCTGTAAACATATCTTATTTATTTTGCTTCTTATTGTTAACAATATTCAAATGGGAAGACATCAATAACAACACATTTGTACACTTATGGATGTTTAATCTGTAATCAACGGTACAACGTCAGAGGGGTCAAAACCAAATGTACGACACAGATGTCAGTAGCGCGTGTGTCCTCCACGGGCTCTTACGCACGCTGTGCAGCGACGTCACATGGAATTTACCAATGTTTGAAAGAAGGCCTGGGGCAAACTGTTCCATTCTTGGATAAGAGCAGCTTCTAAAGCAGCAATGGTGTGCATCTGTGGTCTCCGATACAGACGGCGTCCAATCTCATCCCAGACATGTTCTATCGGTGCCATGTCCGGAGACATGGCTGGCCAGTCCAAGACATTGATGTTGTTAGCAGCCATGTAGTCCATACTAAAACGGGCGGTATGCGGACGTGCATTATCCTGTTGGAAGTGCTGAAGTTGTGGGTGCGCTCGAAACATCGGAACAACAATTGGTTACAAGACATCATCACGGTAGGCTACAGTATTAACGCGACCCCTGCAAATGTGTAGGGCGGCCCGGTGATGAAATGTGAAGCCTCCCCACACCATTACACTTCCCCCACCCCATCGATTCGTTTCAAAGACGCAGCAGTCTGCAAGACGTTCCCCAAGACGTCTCCACACACGTTGACGGCCATCAACGTGATAAAGATGAAAGCCACTCACCACTGAAGAGCACACTTTGCCAGTCTACTCTTCTCCATGTCTGGTGCCATTGAGCCCATATCAAACGCCGCTGACGGTGATGATCCCTGAGGATAGCTCCAACATAAGGTCGTCGTACACGGAGTCCTACTTCTCTTAGACGACGTCTTACGGTGTTGGCACTTACTGGTCCTTGTCTTCCGACGACTGCTGGGCGGAATCTGTCACGCAGATGAGTGACCCGGATGTAGCGGTCTTGAGCCTGGGTTCTAACGCGTTGTGGACCAGAACGTTGACGGCCACGTGTTGGTCCAGTAACTCGAACACGTTCCACCAACCTTACAATAGTGGACTGATGACAATTGAAGTGTCTGGCAATAGCACGTGTAGACATGCCAGCCCTGGACATTCCCATAGCTTCATTCCGTTGATTTTCAGTAAGTCGCGGCACCTAGTAATAAAATATTTCTTTAGGCCTGAAATGTTTTCTAAAGTATTAATTAGACATTAATTAACTGATTCTCACTCCGGTAAAATGGTGCAAAGACAAAGGAGATGAAATTAAAATGCCTCAGTTGGCCCCGTTGTATTGTTATGGGGGTGGGGGGTGGAGGGTCGGAATAACCAGATATTTTCTCCAAAGAATGTGTCAATTCTTAACATTATCATTAGCATCATTTGTGTTAATGCATAAAACAATTAAACTACATTTTTTGTGTCTTAAGGTTAAATTCTTTGACTGGTAAGTTCTGCACATGGTTAATTGACTGACAGGTAGATTCCTCAAAAAACTATTACACTTTGCTATTATAAACCAATCCAATAGAAAGATTGATGATTGTCTCTTTTTTCTGAAACAATCATCTACAATTATCGAATTCAGTGACTCTGAAAATTTAATAGAGGACATATTACAAGCCATATCAAAAAGAAAATTGACGATTATCCTAAAATTTCATCATTATTGGAAAATTCTGGCCGCCATTTTGAATTTCCGCCATCTTACACTTTTCACTGGTTCAGAATACTTATGGCCGGAAACCGTTTGTGGTATCCTGCTAGTATTACATATTACAAACCATATCAAAGAGTGAAATGACTTCTATCTAACAAATCGGCCATTTTAGATAAATGTTGGTTGCCATTTTGAATTTCCGCCATCTTGGATTTTGGAAACTATTTTTTAATTTAGATTAATTTTAAGTTCAGTGACAATGTAAACCCTTTAAATTATATATTACAAACCAAATCAAACAGTGAAATGACTTTAATCTGATCAATCCGCCATTTTGGGTATATTTTGGCCGCCATTTTGAATTTCCGCCATCTTGGATTTGGGGAAACTTGTTTTAAAGATTATTTTTCAGTTCAATTACAACAAAAACCTTATATTTGGAAATTGCTGGCCTGAAATGATTTGTAAAAAAATGTCTTATTGTGACACCCCTTGTTATATGTATATCAATGAATAGGCGGCCATTTTGGAAAAGATGGCCGTAACGACCACCAGGGGGAGCTGCTGAGGTGGATCCACATCCCAAAATAATCAGTAGGGTTGATGCCATCTATGTGCCAAGTTTTATGCTTTTAACCCAAAGTGCACGATTTTTTGCTTAACCGCCCCACTAGAGAGTTTTAACGTAAATCCATCAGTGTAAATACGTTGTCCTTGCCAAAAGTTACAATATTGGCTGTGTAAATCACGGGCGTGGTGATCCACGGTCTGTCATTGAGTCAACTGGCGGGGTTTCGATTCCCCGGTTGTACGTGACAAGGAGTAGGGTCGCATGTCCAACCTCGTGGGTTTTCTCCGGGTCTTCCGGTTTCCCCCCTAAAGACCCCTACGCGCATGCGAATTATTGAAATAAAATTGAACCATGTGTTAATCCCGAAATGACCTAGTTTGTGCCGAGTGGACGCATATTTGACCCACGGTGTATGTTGAACACTGGTTACGCATTATGATTATGATTATAATGTTGAAAACCGCATTAAAGCGTCATTTCTTAGCCATTCGCGGCGGGGCACAAAAATCAGTGGGGGGGGGGGGGCGCATAAACTCAAATTGAACTCGTGTGCTTACTACAAATATCACTATTAATTCTTCACTCAAGAAAGGGTTATAGATCGATAATCTATGCTACTAAGTTTATTTATTTAACGATGACAGACATAGTTTCACCATTCGCCAAATGTTTATATTTGTTTGGTTTTTTTTGTAAATGATGTAATGATGTTGCATATGTCTTAACTATTTTTGATATATTTAAAACATCGTGACTGTATATAGTACCGTCCTGGTTCCATTTAACCGGAAATACGCGAAGGCGCCTTTAATTACAGTCATCAATAAATAATAATATGTAAAACCATCGACCCTAAAGGTCAATCAAACTCGTCCATAAATACAAAACGGGTTAATTAGTGTAATAGCATATGAACTTAACTGGGGGAGGGTAGGGGGTATTTTTAAAGATTATTTTAATGTATCAACGTTGTTATATCATAATACTTATCATGTCCGGAGTTCACAAGTTAATTGTACTTTTGAATTAGAATGGGAAGCGTACAGCAGTGTTATGATGCCAATTAAATATTTTCAACATCTGAATCAAATCAAATGAGTTTTTCGAATTCTAATTTACATTCACTTAATACAATATGTATGATTATGTTTTTATATTTAAAGATCCCCACATTCCATACATATTATATATGCCTAACAGTTTTGTTGTAAAAATGTCGAGGCTGTGGTCGATTTTTATTGTAAATGAATAAATAAATAGGGTACCGATCTAAACCATATTATCCTATCCGAAGTCCGTAACCCAACCCTTGTCCGCAGCCAATAGCCTTGACATCAACGGTGGGGAGTGGGAAAATATTGAATGGTCAAACGCTCGCGCTTTAGATCATAAGGTCTGTAACTAACTAAACATTTTCATTTATATTTTTGTGACGTTTATTTTCAGCTGTGCTTGTTGAAGTGACTATGGTTGCTGAGGTTAAACTGACACAAGAATTTCTTCCTGCTTATTTAGATATAAACACTGACGGCTATAAGAACCTAGCGAAAGTCATGACTGACTGGGTGAGCATGTTTAATTGATGGTAACTCTAGCAATCTTTGTTTAGTGTAGCCGTCTATACGTAAAATTTTAGCGGTGGGTCAAAGCTATTTTCCGTCATTTACAAAGGAACTCTGGACAGTACTATGAGATCGCGTCCATTTGTCTACAACCTCTTCAAATCGGGTAAATCCGTACATTTCAAATGGAAATCTGGGGGGTTGGATGGCCGAATGGTTAGCACGTGCGCGCTGTATCATAAGGTCTGTCATTGAGTCAACTGGCGCGGTTTCGATTCCCCGGTTGTACATGACAAGGAGTAGGGTCGCCTGCCCAACCACGTGAGTTTTCTCCGGGTCCTCCGGTTTCCTCCCACTGCTAAAAAACCCTACACGCAAGCGAATTATTGAAATAAAATTGAATCATATATTAGTCCCGAAATGGCCTGGTTTGTGTCGAGTGGACGTTAAACTCATTTCTCTCCGTCTCTCTCTCAAATGGAAATCTAGGTTGAGGTTTCTGAATTGAGATATCATCATGCTAGGCTAATGAAGACAGGCATGTAGGCCATACAGTGTACTATGATGGAAATTTTGCCCGGACAGCGGCACTACGGCCTACGCTTATATCGAATTGTATCTGTCAAGGGTTCTTTAACGTGCACGCTAATGTGTACACGAAACCTCTTATTTTTTTAACATCCAATCGACTATATGTTGTTAATTGCGAGGCCCTAAACTGAAAAGGGGGGGAAATGTAATGAAGTGAAATGGGGTTTAACGTCCTACTGTTCTGCTCCGAACTGGGCTAATGAAGACGGGCATACACCATACAGTGTGCTATGAGGGAAATTTTGCCCGGACAGCGGCACTACGGCCTACTCTTATATCGAATTCCAACTGTCGGAAAGTCCCGATGAACTTTTTCGGTCAACACAGGGATTGCACAAGAGACCCTCAGGTTAGTGAGCCAATGTCTTACTCACCGAGCCACTGTGGTTCAAATTCCAATTATGATACCAGGTTATAGTTGACATTCGAACGACTACCCTTGCCAGGTCATCGGTCCTGCATCACTGATAAGGGAGATCGAACGGTTAGCAGACGGATCGAACACGGAACATCTACATTATAGAGCCAACGTCTTACTGACTGAGCCACCGTGGATCCCAATATATCATCACCTGAAAAGCTGATTGGAAATAATGTAAGCATTTCGTTTGTCTATGAAATGAAGACCATGGAAGACGTGATCGACCCATCTCCCTTTAACCCACAACCGATCGTTGATTTGACATCTTGTGCACTAAAACTTTCTTTTTTCCCCGTTGCATATAAGAATATTATAAGGAGCTAAATCGCTATTCTTTGGCACCTAGAAATGGAAACAAATGGATCGCAGTGCATAATGTAATATGAATGTATATAAACTGATTTACATTCAATGGTTTCTGTTTTTACTGTAATTTCGAATCAGTTCTGTTCTGCGAAGTACGCCAAGAGTGCAAATTGAATGACAGTCTTTGGCGTTGATTATTCCAGTCTACTCCGGTAGTTTTCCCTTGTGGGATATATTTAGACTCGTTCATCCAGTCACTTCATTACAAATGGTGCTCGAGAGCATTCTGGCACGCGTCCGTGTGCCAAGTTTAAAAAATTTCGTCGTGTCTTGAATACCAGAAGCCCATCTTTTCACGGCAAGATAACAACATCAATTTTGATTTAAAATGATGATGCTGAGATAACGACTTAGCTACTTTAAGGCATTCCTTCGGATTAATTTATTATGGGTTAATTCGTTTCTTTTAACCAGATTTTATAAATAGATAATTTTTATTTCAGATGACTGGGAATTTGAAGAATGACAGTGATTTTAAGAGTGCTACTGTTACAGGATTCAGGTAGATATTACATTATAATTCTCATTATACAATCATGTAGACATAATCAACAATGGGGCGGTGGATTAGGGTTGTATGTAATGTATGTTAAATGCAGGATCGAGCAGTAAGCTTATGAGAAATGACAAATTTCTCTTACCTCGTCTGGTAGGATGATTGTTTCGGAGGCCAGATATCTACCCCTTTCTTATACCCAGGATCGAGAAGTAAGATTATGAGGGATGACGAATTTCTCTTACCTCGTCTGGTAGGGTGATTGTTTGGGAGGTCAGATATATTTTCCTTTCTTATACCCACCTAATTTATTAAAATTTCGTTTCGTTTATCTGTTTTTATGTCATATTTCGAATACGATATGTACAGTGGTCAGTATGTAAGACACACTTTCCTGTTTTAAAGGAGTTAAACCTCTTCCATTTAGGTTGAATTGAATTAATCTGAAATGTTGCTTAAATTAGTTCTGAACGATTAAATTGTCGCTTCGAAATATTAAGCTGGAGCCATTAATTTAGTAACGGTGGACGTGTCTATTCAGCTATGGTAAAGTGAATAAAACAATATCGTATGTATATTCCAGGGAAGGAAGTATCATTACCACTTTTAATCTAATTTTTGAAAAAGAAGATCAAAGTCCAGAGACGCAAAATATGATTAGAGATGACACCATGTCTACATTGAAAAACGCTGAGTCACCAGACGGATACACCATTGACAAGTCGTATATCGTTGTTAAATCTCCGATTCAAGGTAGATATTAAAACATCATAAAGATGTCAATATCAGTGGCGCGGGGATTATATTTTGAGTGGGTTGGCAGACTTTAAATTCAAGGGGTTTTGGTTTCAAAATTTTGACCATCGGACAGTTGGGATTAACAGATAATAGAATTAGGTCATTGGAAGTCGGTGTCTGCTTTAGGAAAAAGGGTCGATAAGCTTCCACTATCTTTAAAGCGGAAATTGCAAATTTTCAAGTTATATTTTTAAAATGTATTAAAATAAAGCCTTAAAATAGATGGTATCCATAAGCAGTCCTACCTTGTTAAAGAATAATCCTATTAATCCTATAATTCGCTATTGCCAGCTGAGAAATTGGCAAAAATATCATTTTTAACTTCAAATTCCAACGTTGGAAAATGGCTGCCCCATGTTGTCAATAGCAAAACAGGGGAGGTAATTGTATTGTTATTTCCCGTGTCATCGATATTTAAGGGTGGGAAATAATGCCCATGATCTTATAATAGTGATTTGATAACCTATTGAGCAAAAGACACAGAAATAATTATGTTTTGACTTTCTTAGAAAATTTGAAATTCTCGCTTTAATAGACTTCAACTGCAAATATTTCTAATGCTATGTTGCAAATAGTATTTATAGTACGGAGTGCACCTCGATATTTTCCATAATTAGTTCACGCACCGGCTTCAAATTTATATCAGTAATATTCCTCAATATTTACGTGTCTTCGTTTATACGATAGAAAATGTTCACAGCGTATCGTCCGTAATAACAATAGTTCATTCAGTTCATGATGTCTAAACATGGTTTTCCTTTTTATAAAACGGTATTTTCGAATTTCATCGATATTTTACTCAACCATAAATGAGTCAAGCGAGACATTTTCGCGCCAAAACTAACGCTTTTACAACGTTTTATACGCGCAGGGGTCAAGGGAGACATTTTCACGCCAAAATTAACATCTTTACATTTTTTTTACAACCAAATTTTTATGTGGGTGTATTATGTCGTCACCCATGTCCGACGCTTACCATTTATCCCATTAAGGTATGTTTTTATGCTAGCACATTGACTAATTATACGTATTTAATTTATTGTACAACCTTTATTTTATCTTTTTGTATCTGTTAAAGAAGAAGAAGAAACAGAACCTGGGTTTCAACTGTCATTGGTAGAAGAGATTGTCATTGGTTGTGCTGTCTCACTTGTTTTAGTCTGTGTTATTGTAGCAATATGTAAATTTACATCACAGCAACGAGCATCAGAAAGTGCAGTAAGTAGACACGGGGCAGGGTATGCCAATATTTCTAAAATTCATACGACTCCTTATATGGAGGCCTTTGCGGGTCAAAATTAACGCAATAATCAGGTTATATATAAATCATGGATTCTCACACAGTAATGAAATCCGTGGTTATCAAATAAATAATCGTACCTTTTATCGCCATTTATATACTCTGATTCGCTGTGAATAATGAAATAATGACGGACATGTTTTATATAATGCCAATATAAGTAGACAGAAGGGATTATTTGTCGAAGATGAGATAATATTAGCGATCGTCCAACATAATATATAGTCCGATAGACTTTGTATTGTCTCAGTACACAATGCCCGCTGACAAAATGTCACAGTAAATAATGCCCACGGACAAAATGTTACAGTACACAAAGCCTACGCCACGGACAAATGTTACAGTTCACAATGCCCACGGACAAAATGTCACAGTACAACATTTCCACGGATAAAATGTCACAGTACAACATTTCCACGGATAAAATGTCACAGTACACAATGCCCACGGATAAAATGTCACAGGATGGTAATGTTACAGGATCATATTACACAATTTTAGTACGCGGCACTGGCTTATACAGATCAACATCAATAATTTATAGAACTTTCGGAAATCAACGCGTTTATAACAGATAATTTTGAGTTCTGAGACCATACCATAATTGGTTGTTCTTGGGGGGGGGGGTAGTTAATTAAACCAGGGAGGAAATCCTGGCCTTTGGGATGTTATTTTCCTCTTTATGAAAGTTCCTTAGTTCTATAATTCCATGTATACGTTCTAGCTCCATGTTGTGGTTTTTTTTTTAAAATCCATTACTTATTACCTTTTTTGCAGTCACATGAAAGATTAACCCAAAGAGTCGATATGTATACAGACGAAGAATTAGAGCAACGCCGTCGGGAAATGACCTCTTTTGACTCCTTGGATACAAAAACTAATGGACAGTATTTTTATGATAATCCAACTTACTCAAAAAAAGAAATTCCTTAAAGTATAATGTATATTTTTGATGCAGACTTCAATTTTTCTATGGGCCCCGGCTTTCTTTTTATAGTGTATGCGTTTAATCTCCATTTTAATTGAGCTTCTAATTAATTAATTATTAAATTTGCAAAAATTATGTCATATATCTTCGGATAAAGTGGGTCATTTCAAGTTAGTGGTGTTTTTTTCGTACCCTGACTAAACAACTTGATTATACAAGTGCAATTTTAACTGGAGACTCGATCTCGATTCAGTTGGATTATTATGGGCTACCTTGACAACAATTTGCTTATCTCAGCCCTATTCTGGTGTTATCTTGAAAACTTAACCTTCCCGGTCTCGAACAACACCGTGATGTACAGCGAGCTTCGTCAAGTTGTGGTCATACACGGCTGATTTCGGTCATTAACGAACTGTCCGCAAGAAGAGAAAGGAACGCGATCGGACCCCGTATATGGTCCTAGCACCACAGAGTAAAACCAAAACTTAATAGCCACGAAAATGGATAATTTCTAAAATAAAATACCACTGTGAAAATAAAACATGACTTTTCGGGGTTTTTTTATTATCAAAATCCTTGTTCTGCGCGTTTTAATATTTGTCCATGCGTTAGTTAAAGCGGAATAAGAAAAATATGTTTTATGTAAATCAATGTAGGCTAAGCATAGTTTGGTTGAATAACTCAGGCATGATGCCAATCAACCGTAACCGAACTTTTCTTTAACCAAAACTTGAAATGACCCAATAATTGTATATAGCGCGTTTTAATAAGTATTATGAACTATCTTTCACCCTAGAGTAAGCTAACTACTCGTGCCCTTAAATAATTAATGTTATGCCCTTTTCAAAAACATATGTTTCTGATAAACAAATTAACGCACACAGCTGCTAAATTTATTTTAAATTGCAAGAATAGAAAATACATTAATCTTTGATTGATCTATTGTAGATAACCATGAACCTTTGCTTTCCCGAGGTCTGTTGTCCCAGGCGGCTACCTGGTTAGGCACATGGTAGCACCGGCACTGCTTACGGGCATTTTTTAAATTGAAAACTGTGATAGATTTGTTGAAGTCACCGGGCTGAAGCCCGTAAACTGGGTTAATGCATTTTACGTGACAGTTTCCATATTCTCCAGACCAGGTCTTTAAAGGACAATATTGGTGCCAGTCATTATCACATATGTGATAGAAATTGTTAAGCACGTTCCAAATATTATTTTATCACAAGATCATTGCTACGATAGATGCGTAATCAATGCTTGAACAATCGGAAGTGACGAACGCAAAAGGAGGCAGACCCCCATTAAATTTCACCATCTCGATACCCAGTTCGTCTATTTATAGCAATTCTCTCTCTCTCTTTTCTCCCCTTTTGCATGCCCATTTTTGTGGATTTTTTGGTATGGAATGGACGAAGAGGGTTTGAATTAACATTTTCTGCCAGGTTTTGGTAAATATTCATGATTTTGAGGCGGAAGGATAACAGGGTTATCTGGTTGGCTACGGCGATATGTACGACAACTAGTTATATGGTTTTAGTATGCTTCTTCAAGTTTATGTATCTCAAAATTTTGGTGGTCAACCTCATACAAATTTTAGTGTAAGGACACGACCATTTGTTCATCTGTCTGTAGTGAAAAGCATTCAGCCCAACGAAAATTTGGGAAAAAGTTGGAGGTGGGCAAAGAGGCCAGAATTAACATTGAAGTCAATGGGGAAATTAATGGTGGTCTGCCTCCAAAAGGAAAACACGAGTTATCCCTCTATATAACTGAGTGAAGTGACCGGTGATAACAGATACATGGGCGAATTTCTGCTCACTAAGACCAAAAGTTGTTATATGAGACTGTAAGAATATATCTGACAATACAAAAAAGTAATTGAATGTCAATAGATAAGAGAACACGAGAAAAATAGAAATGATCTCTGTGATAAAATAATATTTGCAGCGTGTTTAACCAGTTCTATCACATATGTGATAATGAATAGCACCAATAGTGTTCTTTAAGGGTAGCCTTATTACAGCAACTGTACGACGAACGTTGACATTCTGGGCCAAGTGATCTCAAAATATTGTAAACTCACTTCTGGAAAATATTTTAAAGCTATTTTTGATATAATTTCACAATACCACTGCTGGAATGGTAGCTTATCGTATCATAGGGTTTTCAATTCAAACTTTACCACATTGGTTGTTATTGCTTCAAACTTTGAAGCGATTAGGAATTGTGTATTTGAATATGCAATTTCTTCCACAAACTAAAGGGAAAGGTGCAAACTGATCCGCAAATTTTTGCGTTTATTGATGGTGTTGTTTGTAGTTTTCGTTTAGGCTACCTTCCGCCAGTTCTGGTATCGAATGCAGACTTTTTTTTACATATTTGTAATTGAATTTATTAAATAATATTTACAACATATTTTGCCCACTTTTGATGTATAAGCCCTATATTGATACGGATTTAAATATTAAAAAAATATATATTTATTATATTACTGAATAGATCTTGCTTATTTACAACACATTTTAGCAAATTTTTGATATAGACATTTATTGATATATATATTTTTTATACCGATTTAAATATTCTAATGTATATTTTTATATTTTTTTTTCATATAGACCTATGTTGCATTAAAATGTTTTATTTTAAGTAAATTTCTGTTATTAGGAATTTATTTTAATCCGATCTGTAATTCCATTCCGGGTAAGCATTGTACACAATTTTTGAGAGAGAGAGAGAGAGAGAAATGGGGTTTAACGTCCACTCGACACAAACTAGGTCATTTCGGGACTAACATATGGTCTTTAGCAGTGGGAGGAAACCGGAGGACCCACGAGGTTGCCCCCCCCCACACACACACACAATTTTTGTGAATGGAAGTCGTGAAGTCAATCTGATTAAAATAGAGATCTATATTTCGTTTCGTGTTTTTAAAATACTTTTGATGGCCTACACTACATGAAGATATGACCGGTTGTAGTGATAGGTCGCGTCAGAGGTCATACGAGCGGCTTTTGACTCTTTGACGTCAGTAACCAATCTGCATTGATGTTTCTAGTGGATTACCCACAGTTCCGTGCACCACACGGCAAAAGCTCGCTGGAACAGACCGTTATATTGCCTAAACCCTACACCATCCAGAACACGTCAATGATAACAACTCTTCCAGATCCTAGTGTAGTAAAGACAAGTAAAACGAAATTTTGAAGTATAAAAAACGAAACGAAATAGGATCCGTGTTTTAATCAGATTGTCGTGGAGTGTGTCTTTTGAATATTGTAGGCTATAGCGTAATGAAGTTTGCCATGGGCAGCATGATCTGTGTGAAGGTTAGAAAAATTGAAACCACAAAAGAGGGGTGGGGGGCGATTTAAAGAAAAATGATTGGGTGACATGCAGCCACCTGGGTGTTAACGTTCATTCTTTTTATGAAAGGAATAGCCCCTGGGTGCCCAGGGAAGGGGGGGGGGGGCGCAGAGTTTTTACCATCATGATCTGTTTGGCCTCTAAATGTCTTTTTCTGGTTCTTGTACTAAATAAACACAAACAGCCATAATGACTTTAAACTGTTTTATTCAAAGTGCAAAAGTAAATAATCGAACACAATGAACGATTTATTAAATCAGCTGTCATAAACAACCAGGGACCATTGTCATGAAAACACAACTCTCTTTAAATCAAAGGACAAAAGCAAGAAGTTAATGTTCTTTAGTTCGCCTGTGAGAAAAATATAAATTTCAGTTCTATACCAGGCTCCTAGATTCAACTGCCAATCCATCTTTGCTCTGTTATAATTGCCTTTGGTTTCAATTTATTGGTTATACAATACAAATGGGTTATACAATACAAATATAATCTTGTTCAAAATAAGTTACATTATTTTCTTAGTGAAGGTAATAATGCGTCTTCCAAATCAGAATTAAGTTACATAAAAGGTTTGTTAAGATCAGATCGACCTTTTGAAATCATAATTTTTTATGAATAATTACAATGATTCGATATATCCATATCGGAATCAAACTAATTAAATAACAGTTTTAAACAATCGTGCATATAAAAAAACCACACCAATGTATTCGGTAAAATCGTATATTAATTGAAAACTACATAATGTTTGAGAATTTTAAGGAATCTTGTCTTTGTTGCATATTTGGTTTAAGCATAGATCGTAAAAAATATACGGTCCGTGGTTTATTAAGTAAGCATAATTTGCTTGTTTTCAATCAGATAATATACACAGGTAGACTACATTGTAAATTATCAACCCATTCTAAAACCATTCTGGAGAGGAGTCAACATAGGCCAAGCCTGTTCCCCAATCCTTTTCAAATATTGTTTACAAAAACGACAATTTGCTGTGCAATCGAGATCTGACAAAGACATATTTTTATCCTAGGACAATAGGGGAGATTGGTACATCAGGTAGCTAATAAAGTTAGTTGACAATTTCCCATAAAATCAGATTGAAGCAATACAATTTTGCAATCTAAGAATATGGTAAGCTTGAATTTTGATTTTTGTTCATAAAAAAAGTAATAATTAAATTTCTTAACATCATATAGGATATTACCTATATTTAAGGTGGAATATAAAATTCCCAGAGACAAGAACTCTTTCTTAATAAATATATTTTAATTTTATTATCTAATTTTTTTAACTTTGTTAGAGTCCCATGCATCAATCTTACCCCTGGCCATTCGACTTTATAGATTTTAAATACCTGAATTTTGAATGTTTGTGTTTATAGGTAAATGACAATATTCTATTATTGAAATATTTGATATAATTATTAATCCGAACTGGCTTCTAATCTGTAAATAGAGTAAGAATAGGGTAACTGATCTGCATATTGACTCCTGCAGTCATTTAATAGAACCATGCATGTACACCTAGAATAAAAAAAAAATGAATTAAGTAAGGTTATGGTAAGTGATCCTATACAGACTCTTGGAGTCATTGAATGGAACCACATAATCAAAACTGTTATTCTATATGTGATAAACTAAAGTGTTATTTTCTACTTTCACTTTATGACTTCCATAAAAGTATAAATGTCTATTCCTCTAAAAAAAAATTCAGTATGTCTTGTACAAGACCTCCTCAAGATTTTACTGAATCAACACCAGTAACAAACTCTACAATTGACAACCATATCTTATTATTTGTAATAACAATTAATAAAATAATACATAATAAATTGAAAGATTTAAAGTTTGAACAAATACTAGTAAAAATATCACAGATACATTGCATCACAAATTAGAGAGAAATAAATCAGTGAGTATGATAATATATAGAATGTAAATGATGACTAGATGTGAAAAGTGAAATATTACATCTATATTATCTCTTCTCATAAATGAAAGTTAATTACATGATGATCACTTCTTTTGACTATTTCTGGGTCACCACCTACCTAAACTTTACTAATCTAGGGATTATGATCAATAACAGAACACAGTTTTTATGGGATACAATCACTAGTTTATGAGAGAGAGAGAGAGAGAGAGAGAGAGAGGGAAATGGGGTTTAACATCCACTTGACACAAACTAGGTCATTTCGGGACTAACATATGGTTTAATTTTATTTCAATAATTCGCTTGCGCGTAGGGATCTTTAGCAGTGGGAGGAAACCAGCACTAGTTTATGATCAAATTCCCTATATCTGCCTGGTAATAGTGTGTTAATGATGTTCCCTGAATCTCAAGATATCCGGTTTCATTCATCCCCAGATCTCAGACAATTATAGTCGGAAAATTTGTAAGTAAAAAGGAGTAGGCCTACATGCCCCCAGGCCTCACACTATCCTTAAAATAATGTTTAATGAAATTCAATATTAAATTAACCAGTCACATACCTGTCTCAATTCCCCCCACAAAATATTTTTATGAATAGACCTATGATATTTTTTTTACATTTAACATGAAATAAATCATGACTGCTTTATATAATTCATTCAAAAAATACTATTTCTACAAACTTATGAAATTCCCAAATTTCATTAAATGTTATTTCAAGATTTTGGTAACATAAGATATTGTAAGTAATATTACTAATATAGTAACCTTAACTTAGAAGATGAAACAGTGGAATAAACTAGAGAGTGTGAGAGTTATCTGCCTTTCAATGCTGATCATTGACAACACTCGGCAAACCTCCAGTACCATACATCTAGATGAAGAGTAACAGAATCTGCCGAGATTTACCGAGTGCATTGACAAATCTCCATTGTTTTTGTTATGAATTTTCATTAAACCACCCAGAAGATCAATAAAATGAAATTTGAACAATAGATATCAAAATGAAATATGATCTGGGATTTAATCAGATTGTGTCCCAGGGATGAAAAATGAGTATTTTCCTTTAAAGTGGGGGTTGGGTGGCTGAGTCATCTAATTTGCACAAACTAGGTCATTTTGGGACTAACAAATGGTTCAATCGTATGTCAATAATTCACTTGTGCGTAGGGGTCTTTAGCAGTGGGAGGAAACCGGAGGACCCAGAGAAAACCCACAAGGTTGGACAGGTGACCCTACTCCTTGTCACTTACAACCGGGGAATCGAAACCATGCCTCTTGACTCAATGACAGACCTTATGATACACTGCGTACACGCAAACAATTCAGCCGTACCCCCCTTCTCCTGCACTTTAGATTATGAGGTCTGTCATTGAGTTAAGTGCTGTGGTTGTGATCCCAAGCTTGTATGTGACAAACAGAAGGGTCGACTTCCCAACCTTATGGGGTTTCTCTGGGACCTTGGGTTTTCATCCACTGCTAAAGACCCTTTTGCACAAACCAATTATTGAAATAAAAAAAAAATACACTATCATTATGTGTAGGCTAATTACATACCTAAGAGTTATCAACTCTTTCAAATAATACATATTTTAATATATTAAAACTAAACTATACTGTAATCAAATTAACATCAATAACAAATCTACCCAAAAAATAGTTCGAATAGCTTTGAAAACTGTTCGATACAAATATATGTTGGTTTTTTTTATTTGGTTGATCTTATTAGAATGAATGAAGTTGCTAGCTATCAAAGTATTAAATTTACAGTGAAAAGGTAGAATGCATACAATTTTACCAATTAAAAAAGTAATGTACAGATAAATTTCCCCATTACTTTTGTCTCTTGATCTACATGAAAAGATTAGGCCAGTCACCAGTTAACAGTCTGTAACCTGGAGACATATTGTTCTATGATACCCAACAGATGACTTTGATTGGAAACAAAAAACTGAGAAGTGTCTGCTACAAGTGTGCAACGGTTCAATAAGCTCATTCCAGAATTTGTTATAGTGTGTAAGTAACAAGTATGATTATATTGTGTACCAGAGAGCGAGCATGACGTCATCGCTGCCATCTTGGATTGTGACATATCAAAAGTCCATCAATCGATGTGCACAAGGAACAAACATACCAAGATTCATCTCAGTTGTACTTAAATTGTTCAGGCTTTTATCGAAGAGCGTTGCCCCCAAGAACAAGAAAATGAGTATTGCTTGGGGCCCTGTTCCTCATCCAAAATAGTTCCATTTAGAATTCTGGCACAAAAAAGTAGCTAAAAAAAGATGAGACCGTCATTATATATATATATATATATATATATATATATCTGACATTATCTTAAAAGGTGACCTATAACAGACATATTTATGAATTATGAGGACAGATACTTGGAATGTTTGAAAACTCTCCAAAAAGTAATCGGTGCAAAACATTAGAAAAAATATAGATGACATTATAAACATATATGTACAACCATGAATATTAATTCTGTATTCTCCTTTCCTGAGAAAAAAACCCAAAACAAAACAAAAACTTTGTGACCTTGTGTCCAGGAAGACAAACAATACCCAAATATAATACCATGAAAAAATGCCATAAAATCTGGTCGTAAGGCAGATATACATATACATACAAAATTGATGTATATTAACTCCAGACTAAAAGTTTCCATTTAATGCCATTTGTAATTTTTTTGATTCATTTAGTCTTACTTCTCCAGGAATTTTCCTGGTTTTATATCAGCACCAATGGAAATAAATCCACAGACTAACTAGATGAACAGTGTCACGTTCTTTAAGATAACACAATCCTCGTTCATACACAAAATATCCAAAATGCCTTGCTTCATATTAACGAATCACACTTATTCGTGATTCGGTAAAAAATACCCTGACTAATTCCATCAAAATGTTGCGAGCACCTACACAAAGTTAGGGAAGCAGAATAAATAGACAAAATTAAAAAAAAAACAACCTTTGTCATCCATATTTTGACAAACCGGGATCAAAAATTGGTAATATTGTTCCATTTGATGTAATAACCTTTTTACGAGTCGGTGATTTGTCCTCGCTGTGAATGTTGTTATTTTTTTCTAAAATAGCACTTTTAGGCATTTCGTGAACAAACACTGAATCGTCTATTGATGACGAGCAATTTCCATTTTCTACGAGTGGAGTTTCATAAAAATAGAGACTGTCTGTTGAGGAATGGTTACTTTTGTCCATGATAGTGTTTTTCGTTGATGAAGGTGAGAGCTGAGCAACGTAGGCACTTAGTGTTGTATGATTGTCTACACCAGATGGTAAAATAAAATCTGCAGTGTCATCAATTGCTGTAGCGAAACTGCCCGATCGACTACTTCGCGCGGATATATTCGAGTCTTCTACGGGTGATATATCTTCTACTGCGTTTCTATGGGTTCTATAATTAGTAGCATTTCCAGTTATTCCTGTAATAACTATCTGTGGTTGTAATGTTGTTCTATTCACGTAATCTTCCATAAAATTGTAGATATATCGATATTCATCCTGGGGATAAAAAATAAATTGTAAAATCTTTAAAATAGATACTAACTAGTGAACCAAAGAAAAAAAAATACAACTACTGAATTTAAGACTTGATAACGATAAGAGAATACTTGTCGAAACGTCGTGCTATATGTGTATAAACCAGTGATTGTATTTCATATAAATTGTGTTGTGTTTTTTAATGTGTTCAATCACTAAATGCCACTCAAGGAATATATTGAAAAAAAATGTCTGCATTACACAGGTGAATCATGTTGTGTTACAGAAATTGTGAATTTAAGACTTAAAAATAGTGTTTGCATCACACATACAGGTCATATTTTTCATTAGCAAAACTTAATTGATAAATAAACTCATGATATGACTTCATTTCATACAAATGCAAAAGCTAACATTTTGGACAGAAAAGTCTTCATATGAACCATCACCACTCAGACATCATTCCTACCAAATATGAAATACTTCGAATTGTTTAGGATAAAAATTATTGGGCCCATTCCCTTTTTATTGGGTCATTCTCCTTTTATTGGGTCATTCTTCTATTGGGTCATTCTCCTTTTATTGGGTCATTCTTCTATTGGGTCATTCTCCTTTTATTGGGTCATTCTTTTATTGGGTCATTCTCCTTTTATTGGGTCATTCTTTTATTGGGTCATTCTCCTTTTATTGGAGATAACTTATCTATAACATATAAGGATGTAACACCTTTCAAGCAACAATCCTACCATATTTTGAAGAAATCCTTTCAGCAAATTTAGAGAAAAAATGAATTGTATTCAAAATTTCTTAAGGATGCTGGACAAGGGGTATGCCATAAGTTTATTTTTACCTATCTGTATTAGAACAATCTTTCAAACAACAATCCTGCCTTATTTTGATGAAATCCAATAACACTTTTCATGCAGAAGTCATTTTTGCTCAAATTTTCTGACGGATGCTCAACAAAGAGATATGGATAAAAATGTACAAAAAGACAAAGATGTTGACTTACTATTGTAGATACTAAATGTGGTCTATTACGTTTGATTAATCTAACAGCATTAAATATATCACATTCACCATCTATCTCTACTTGATTAACACATATATTTACAGCTGCATATATACCACATCGTGATGACCCATCTCTAAAATATACATTTATATACAGTTTTAATTAATCAATAATTAGTGTCAATTGAGTATGAATATGCTGCGTGCATTGCAGTTAAAGCCCCCATCAGACCGGGGTGGCGTCCTTAAAATGCACAAGGTCGCCTGCAAACATAAACACAGTGTGAGTAAATGTCTCAAAAAATTACAAACTTGAAAAAAGTTGCCTTCCCCGTCAGACCGGGGCGGCGTCCTTAAAATGCACAAGATCGCCGGCAAACATAAACACAATGTGAATAAATGTCCCAAAAAATTACAAACTTGAAAAAAGTTGCCTTCTCACAGCTTTCTATGGCAGGTCGCAGAACCTTGGCATTTGTTTTGAACATGTTCAAAACAAACGCTGTGACTTGGCGATCATTGGTGACCACAGAGACCACAGCACGATATCTGGCATTTCCATTATGCTTTTACCACGCTAATGACGACCTTGATGCACACTGAAACTATTTTCCGTCGCTGTCGCAGCGCAGTAAGGATGCCACCCCGGTCTGATGGGGGAATAAGGAAGGAAAGATGAACATTGGGTGAGAAGACCAACCACTTTATTTACAATAGTGAGTACCATATTTTGACCACAGGATTAGCACATATTTAACAGAAATGTCAGTGGCCACATCATTGGTCTACCTGCTGAATTAGACATAGAGAAAAGGAGTTAATAATTGTGGTTGTTGGTAGGATTTAACCTCGGCATGGGCAGGGGTCTTTCTTGTTGGATTAAAGCAGAGTACCTGGAATAAACTCACAAGATTGAGTAGGCTCCATTAGGCCATCGAAACCTCCCCTAAAAGGTGTTGTAATATCTTTACCTATATATATACTTACTTAGACATAATACAGACAGGTGTTGTAGGATTTGTCTTCTGTTGCCAGTCATCAACACATTGCATCACATATAATAAAGATTTATGAGAGAGACTTATTTTAGCAGGACTGGTACCATTTGTTACTTGAAACATCTTTACAATTAAATCTTTATACTTTGGCTCTCTTTGAGAATTTGCTAAATTCTGCAATAAAAATTTCACACAAACCTTTAAAATAAACAGATTTTATTTTTTACAATAAGTGCGCATTAGAGAACGAAAACATCCTCTTTAAATATAGGTAGGGGTTTAAAGCCTTTCTTACGTGTAAAAACTAGGGTTAAATTGAATTGTGTTTATATTATGTTTAGCACTGACAATAAAATATATGTATTTATTACCCTACCAATAGTGAATGGTATAATAATAAGTTGAGGCTATTTTAAATATAGGTAGGCGTTTCAAGTCTTTTTATTGTGTAAATAGTTTGGTTAAATTGTGTTTATATTATGTTTAACACTGACAATAAAATAAATATATATCTTTACCTTATGAATAGCAAATGCTCTAATAATAAGTTGGGGATATTTTCCACATCCTAAGTATTTCACCGATATAGGACCATATTTAATTTCTTCATCTAATTCTTTTGGCCAAAATCTCTGATATCGCTGAAGAAAAATGAAAAACGGTATCAAATAGGAATTTCTACTGTTTTCATAATTTGCTCCATTAAAATAAACACTACAAAAGATAATCAATACCGAAGCTGCCTGCTGTTTATAAATTAAACTTGTCACTGTCACTTGTTAATTTAATTTCCTGCCTTCAAAATGCTGAGGGTTGTTGTGACGAGGAATAGGGTTATTAGCCTAACCTTGTGGGTTGTTTCAGGGTACTGTGGTTTCATCCCACTAAAGATCCTGTATGCACGAAAATTATAGAAATAGAAAGTTACCATATGTTAGTCCTAAAATAATTTGCTTAGAGTGGACTGTGATTCCCATTTCTATCTTAACCTTCAAAATGCATATATTACATTATGTGCAAGAGAAACAGAAATGGGGTTTAACATCCACTGGACACAAATTAGGTCATTTCGGGACTAACATACATTTCAATTTCATTTCAATAATTTGCTTGCCACATGACTCAATGACAGACCTTGTGATTCAACATGCATGCTTTAAACCATTCGCCCCCCCATTACATTATGAAGACGGGCAATTCATGGCATGCGTCATTCATATGATTTTTAAGGAGATTAACGAAAGTTCATGAAGAATACCATACTATACTAGTAGTAAGTGCAGGAGAAGTTTAGCCACGTATGTCTGTTGTTGCATTTAATATCTTAATTATAAATGATGAACAATGAGTTACCTACCCTAGAAAATTTAATATCATTTAATACCACAAGAGAATTGATTTTAAAATCAAATAGAAGGCGCCATAAATCATTTAGGGTACTTTTCTTTGGCCATTGCGTAACTAGGGAAGAGTTGACATGAAAGTAGCCCTGTAGATAAAGAAAAAAAAAATTCAATACACAATAAAAGTACTGCTCCAAGAATGTGCAATTTCTTTAATAAATAAAAATGAGAAGTGGCACCAGGTGTTCTAGAAAGCATAAGCACACCTGTTTAACACTTGGTATTTTAGGTCAATTTTTCATAATGAAATAAAATGAAATGGGGTTTAAGGTCCTATTGATCTGCGCTGAACTGGCCTAATGAAGACGGGCATAGGGTAATTTTGCCCGGACAGAGGCAATACAGTCTACTCTTATATCAAATTCCAACTGTCAAGGGATCTTTTACGTGCACGACAATGTGTACATGGGACCTCTGCTTTTTTTTTATCCTATCCGAACGACTAGACAGCTGTCCTTGTCAGGCCCGCCGTCATGCATCACTGACAAGGAGGAAAAACACCGGAAAATCTGAAGGGACTTTCTCTGCCAATGCCGGGATGGAACACCAGACCTCCAGGCTAGCAAACCAGCGCCTTACCCACTTAGCCACCATGACCCCCGTATTTCATAATGATGCTAAACACAAGTAGTGGCTTTAACACTATTACAAGCCAGGCATTAGCACATTTCACTTACAACACTGGAATCCAAAGATTAAAATTCAGATTAAAGGCATGGTTAATGACCATATAAAATTTCTGGGTGTATTTGTGTAGAATAAACAATGGATGAATAATAAACTTACATCAATATATACAGCATTAATAAAATCATTACCACTATCACCAGTATCAGCTGATGTTAAATATGGTCGAGCTCTTTCAGCTATAAAACAAAAATATCTCTTCTAAATAGACAGGGACAAATTCATATTTATTTCTAAAAATTTATACTATACTTGGTTTCACCACTCTAATTCTAACGTAAATACTTCGTAAGCTGGGTAGAAAAGTGCAAAACAAATGTTCAATCAAGCACTGTTCTCATAAAATTGAACATACATTGTACAAATAATTTGATAATTTAGGATCTGATCAGTATAAACAAGTCCGCACCACCTATTATAACCGTTAGGTAAAGTCTCCTGCTGGGCCTATTTTTAATCCAAGTGAATGATACTGGTATATAATCTAGCATTGACAGATTTTGTTCTCTTAATCAAATGTTAAAAAATCAGCAGGAGAATCAGTGACTTTAAATTTCAATTTAAAAACAGTTTACAGCAAGAACATTACATTATGTGATAGGGCCATTTATAATATTTATATATATTGCTCTATAGGAGGTAAAACAAAAGTAAAACTTACGAGGTAACATCATAATATCTCTACTTTTACAGCGGTTTTCTACTCTATGTCCGCTAGCACAATCACCAATACTTAATGCTGGTACTATATACTGTAATGCCTACAAATGTAATAGATTCACTGACAATAATGGAAAGAAAGTCCTAGTAGATAACTGGCTCCAGTTGCCACTTGACTTATCTGTGAAAGCGGGGGTGGGGGATAGACTAGGGCTTACTTGCTGTAGATCATAAGGTCTGTTATCTGTGCAATGTAGATGGTCAACAACATGCAGTGTACTATGAGGGAAATTTGCCCAGACAGCGGCACTACCGCCTACCCCTATTTCAAATTGCAACTGTCAAGGATTCATTATGTGCAGGCAAACATGTACACAGGATCTCAATTTTTAGTCCCATTCAAATAACTGAGTGCTGTTCAGTGCCAGACCCTCCATTCTGCGCCACTGACTAGGGGAAACCACATCAGAAAATCCTGAACAACTTTCTCGATCAACACCTGGATCGAACCTGGGACATTCACTGAGACACTGCAGCTCCCGTTATCTATGTAAGTAATGGGTTCAATCTTTCAACTGTACATTACAAGGAGTAGGATTTGTATGTCTAACCTCTGGTTTTATTTAATTTCTAAATATAATACAAAATATTTCTAATTAGGGTTTCACACTGCAGATTATTATTCTTATTATTATTATTATTTTTCCATTTGAGCATATCTCAGAAACTACTTGTCGGATCGATTCGATGTCTTCGGTTTTACTGGGAAAGTGGGTTTGACTTAAATTTTAAAGCTATTTCCAACGTTCTGCGACAATGCGAAATGTCCGAAATCCCTGAAGTTGTCGTTTTTCGATATTTTGCCGTAATGTTATCAATAATTGTCGAATTGTAATATTTGATACATTTTGACATAGCCAGAGACAAGGCACACAGCTAAGGTTCTTTGGATTTTTTATTTTCGACGAATCTTCGGAGATATTAGGCACCAAATTTTGAAAATTAAAATTTTTACGAAAAACTTTTTTATTAATGAATATTTTTATATGGTATTTTACCAAGGGTTAAAGGGTCATCTGATTTTCAAAAATGTCAACATTTTTTGTCACCGTATTTTTCCTTGGCCCCCATTGGCTAATTCAGTTTTTCAGTCCTGGATTAATTATTTATTGTTCGATTTGTATAAAACAAAGTTGATATGTTCCGCGGTTCAAAATGTCATTTTTTTTGTTACCAGTACATTTTCCTTTCGGCAACGGAAGTAAAATAAATTTAGCAAAAACTGCAATTTTGAGAGTTCGGTACCACTTTTTGAAAACAAATATTATTTTTTTCAAATCTGGTATGACTGAAAGGGTTTGCCCTGTTAATGCGCAGAAATCATCGCGCTCAGTTTTTTTAATTTTTATTTCGTTTTCTGATCATTTCGATTTAAAGGTGAAAAAAGGTGAAAAAATGAGCTATTCACAACCCATTCAGGCTTTTCATATTTTAAAATATTTCTTCGCAACTTTCATAAACTAGTAGCAATAATCCATACGAAGAGAATGTATGTGAAAATTAATTTGTAATATGAACAGTTGCCGAGAAATGGGCAATTTTGTATGAGCCACTTTTTACGCTAGTTTGCCTGTATAAGAGTCAATTATTATTCGATTTTCATAAAAGTGACACCATTTGATGCGTATTGTCAATTTTAACAAGGTCAAACCAATTTAACATTTTCAATGTCACCGGAAATGACGTAATTTGGGCAAAAATTGTATTTATAACCTTCAAAACCAGTAATTTATTCAAATGAGTCTTATTTGTTATTTGTTTAAAATTTTGATATTTGATTCCAATCAACTAATAGAATGAACCAAAACGATCATATAGATATCACAAAATGGTTTCTAACTTGCTCAGTTGCGGAGAAATAGACGATTTTCAACAGATAACTTTTCAAGGTTTTTGGTCCATAAAAGTGTCAATTATTATTCGATTGTCATAAAATTCCCCGTGTGTGATACCTAATACCATTTACGATTTCATACAAGTAATTTAACACTTTTACTGTTACCGGAAGTAACGTCATTTTGGCAAAAACTGTATTTTTAGCCTTCAAAACAGATATTTTATTCAAATGAGTCTGATTTGTAATGTTTTTAAAATTATGATATTTGATTCCAATCAACAAATAGATTTAACCCATACGATCATACAGATACCAGAAAATGGTTTCTAACTTGTACGGTTGCAGAGAAATATGCGGTTTTCTACAAGTCACTTTTCAAGGTTTTTGGTCTATAAAAGTGGCAATTATTATTTGATTTACATAAAATTTTCACCATGTGATGCCTTATGCCATTTCTGATTTCATAAAACTAATTGAACATTTTCATTATCACCGGAAGTACTGTACACTTACATGTAACAAATGTATAAAATGAATTTAATTTGCTGGATTTGGTTGATTCGGCGTCCACTTTATTTGATGTGTGCAATGCTTATATGTGGAAACCTGTTTAATGGTTTCATTGGTACCGGAAGTGACATATGTTTAGGGTAACGTGGCACCGGTGAAACCCGTCATTACTGCTTCGCAGTTCTAGTTTTAATATAGAATTACAACAAAATTTATTGGCAATATGACTCTATATAATATATTATTACCATAAATTCTTGTTCTATTTGCTGACATCTTAAACTAGTAATAGGATAGTTGGATTGTAATTCTGCTACAGAAAATACTGTATAATTACACTGTAAAAACATGGCTACTGTATCATATATAAGTCGATACTGACCCTGAAATGCATCATTAGATTGATTTAAATATAACAATCTTAACTCCACTTAAAATTTGAATGTTGGAGACTACTTAATTTAATTTAAATTAAATTTCCAATAACGCTATAGATGGAAATAAAGACAAGGCAGTGGCTATTGTTACAAGTCGTAAAAATAGTCCTCAGGCTATTGTTACGACGATGCTTTCACAGTCCTCCATCGGCGAAGTTAAAAACTGAATAGTCGTAAAAATAGTCCTAACCCTAACCCTTCCCATCTCTTAATTGCTGCCTTCAGTTCTGAAAATGTTGAAAATATTGCTCTTTTTTCAAAGCTGGTGTTGGGGAGATTGGCAGCCATTTTGGAATTTGTTCTAAACTTGGCTCAGACTCGTCATAACAATAGCCACTTTGTAAAGACAAACAAGATTCCATAGAAATGTTCCAATTTATTCTTATACAAAAGCACACCATAAATTTAGTTAATGCGTGAATTCCTCAAATAAGAAGTTATATCTAGAGTTCTAGCTAGAAAGAGTTAGCATAGTTTGCATACTCTGCCTCATGTATGTCACCTGCCACTAATTATAATTAATTAAATGGAGCTACAGTCATTGAGAATGGCTTTCATAAATTGCCACACTTACCAATGTCCGCACCATATTTTTGCGATATCTTCTCAGATGTAAAACAGCACCATAAATATCCACCCTTTCCTCAGCCTCGACTTGTTTTAAACAAAAGTCTACAGCTATGAAAACAGCAGTTCTACCTCCTCCACATCTAAAATTAGAAAGTATTAATTCTAGTAAAACAAGCCAATAGTATTAGCAAGGTTGAAGTCAACCATCTCAATTCCAAAATAATTAGATTAAGCCATTGCTTACTCTCTGATTAAGCTGAGCAGAAAATGCTTAATATCGAACAAGGTATTTATGTTATGAAACTATACACCAAATATTGCTATCACTCAATTAGACCCTGCGTCGCTTTTGGGGCTCAATTAGATGAGACCCATCGTTTTTAGACTATATCATATGCTTCATAAAAACTAGAAAATAATTGTATTTCATAGAAATGAGTTCTGTTTAAAATCTGAGAAATGCAAACTTTGTCACCAAACAACTTTAAACAGATTGAACGACATCCCAATTCAATAATTTAATTTAAAAATGGATAATCAAAATTTTGTTTCTTATTGTAACAATGGTAGCAATGAAAATCGAGACTACACTATTCTTAAAACAGTTTTAAATCCATTCAGAATAAAGTAATTTGAATGAAATTTTCAATACATTCATTTTTCATTTCTTATTTTTAAAATATTATTGTGAGACATGTCAGATCTTATCTAAATCTTACAATGTACATATTGCATCTTTAAACTAAATCTCAAGACTAAACATAACATTTTATTTCCCCCCGGCCCCAGAGAAACCCTTGTGTACTTAAAATCAAACGTATGAGTAAATAATTGCTTGAACTATATGTACTACTATATATGTTAATAAATTGTCATTAATTACCCAATGGTTGTAACATCTAAATTTATATCTAAATTACTTGATCAAATCAGCATTAACTACAAAAAAAAAGGTTAATTGGTTTTTCAAGATAAAATTAATTGTCATTTATGAGGTATTCCAAATATTACTTGAAAACAATTACCTGCAATGGACTAAAATAGGTCCACAGCTTGTAGATATGAAATTATTAACACGTCTTCTGACATCAAGAATAAAACCAGGGTCAGCGCACTCATTGTCGTGGAAGCCAATCATTTCAAACTGTCGAATAATCCTTGATTGACAAGTTCCTTCCTGGAGAATAAAGACAGTTCATGTATATGTCAGTTAGTTACATCTTACTCTTATTAAACTCTTAAATAAAATATCCATAAGGCCATAGCAAACTTAGATTTTACTTTGGGGTCCTGATAACAAAAATATAACTTGGAACGATGCCGTGAATAAAATTTTCCCACTGCTAAAGACCCCTATGCACAAGCAAATTATTGAAATAAAATTAAACCATATGTTAGTCCTGAAATGACATAGTTTGTGTTGAGGGGATGTTAAACTCCATTTCTCTCTCTCTCTTTCACATCCACTAATGGAATTAATGAAATGGGTTAAGCATCTCATCAACACAATGCTTTGGTCATTTTGAAACAAAACCCATGTTAATGATATTTCAATGGTTTATCGAATTGTGTGCAGAAATTGTGGTATCTTCCACTTGAATTCCAACAGCTACGGGTTCTTTTATATGCAATGAAAGCATTGGTGGATCTCAGATTTTTGACCCATCTGCACCCTCATGAATTTTTTTTTTTTTTTTTTTTTGTGTGTCAGTATTTGAGTCAAGAGGCAATGGATGTGTACAAATGATTGGAGGGGGGTTGGATGGCCCAATGGTTAGCATGTGCGCCCTGTATCATATGGTCTGTGATTCCCTGGTTGTATGTGACAAGGAGTAGGGTCGCCTGTCCAACCTCATGGGTTTTCTCTGGGTCCTCCGGTTTCCTCCCACTGCTAAAGACCCCTACATACAAGCGAATTATTGAAATAACATTGAACCATGTGTTAGTCCCGAAATGACCTAGTTTGTGTTGAGTGAAAGTTAAACCCCATTTCTCTCTCTCTCTCTCTCACAAATGATAGGTATATTTTCATTCAGTGATTAATTATTTTCATTCAGTGATTAATTATTTTCATTCAGTGATTAATTAATCATCTTTCTAACAATGCCAATTAAGACATTTCATAATGATAAACATTGTCTAAGAATTTGCTTAAACTAGAACAAAATAACTTTTAAGGAGAGCATGACACGCTAATACTAATCAGAGCTTCTACTCCCTTTATCTATACTCTCAGTAAATATTAAATAGAATACAAGGTAAACTTATAACAATGATTATTAATACAATTTTCTGCATCTAGAAACTAAGCTTTAATTTGTTCAGATTTATCTAAAAGTATTATTTGATAATAGATTACATTTACAATATTGAAGTGGCGCCAAATAACAATATGGACAGTATTATCATCTACATGATCAGACTAGAAAAGATTGCCTTTTTCTTACAAAATCAATTCTTGTCGTATGCCATTGTCTACACATTTATTTTTCTGATTATTGCCTTTTTACATCACTGTATGTAATCCCAAATGCAATTAAGTACTGATCTTTTATTTCAGTGTTGATCGTATAAATGTGTTCCTGATAAAATTCAAAATGATAAGAGAAAAAAATGTTAAACCCATGCAGTGGTTACTAAAGAACCCCACCGAGGCATAAATGTACATTTTACTGGTTCTCCGGTTGATATTAAACGTAAGTGAGAAACAAATCAACCAAATCAACATGCTACCCAGAGAGTTGTCTCAACTGCAGAAATGAAATGAAATGTGTTTTAACATCTTATTTGTCATCACCAAATGTAACCTTTCTAATGAGATGGGAATATGTCAAGAGCAGAATTTTGCCATTGCCACAACACCAGTACTATTTGGATTTCCATTTTCAGTGGATCTTTAACACTGTGCAAATGGTATTCACAGAACACTGATTTAATCCATCATCTGAACAACTATAGACCCTATTTCGTTCAATGAACAATTGAAATTAGAAATAAGAGTAGGACATAACACCACTTTCCAGGCAAATTTGACATCAAGGCACACTGCACGGCATACGTCTTAATTAGCCCAGTAGGTGCAGAAAAGTAGGACTTTAAATCCCATTTCATTTCATTTCTGCTAGTAGATGCTCAGATTAAAGGCTCATTACCACTCTTGCTGTAACTGAATAATATGTCCCAATCTTTATTCTGGTCAACAAATTGTACTATTTTAAAATTTTTCAATTAATTGATGATACAAATTTCATCTTAACACACCTTATTTAAAATTTTGAAAAATTCAACATAATGGTTTGAAACGTCTAACGTAAACCTTTTCAAATGAAACTTCGATTTAAAAATATTTTCGAACCCTCTGGACAAGTAAAATAGGATGTAATGGATAATTTACACAACAGGTAGGATACTTAAACATCTAGTACTTAGATAGAGATATTATTTATTTTCTGGAGCTTTCAAGCCAGCAAGAGTGTTATTGTCCCTTTAAATAATAAAAAAAGCTGGTCATTACACAATACCTTTTGTATTCTAAAAGTTCTAATATTTAACTGGGCCATATATATACTCTCTTCTGTCCAGATATGTATATTACCATGTCGGACGTATTTCTTAACACCGAGAAAATCATCCCAATATTTATCACATTGTTGCTGAAAATATCAAACATTCACACATATTAATCTAATGGTACTTATATAATATAAAACTGATTTACAGTAATGTCTTGTCAACATTATATATGTATTTAGAGTTTGATGTCAGAAGCCTGAGCTTCCACGTAGAATATACTGAACCAGCTTTCCTCAATACAGATATTTCAATATGTGTTTATGCTGTTGTCACCAGCAATTTTTGTTTTATCTCAAAATTTCTGGTATTTTCGGTTAAGTCATCAAAAAATAATATTATGTAGATATGGTCAGGTCTAAATATTAAGGCCACCTGCAGATTCCATCAAGGTCGGGAGATGTAAATAGGACTAGCGCTAGCCCTGTTTTTATCTTGTGACCTTGCTGAAATCTGTAGGTACCCTTAATATTTAGATCTAATCGTGCAGACACGCCACTCACACCAACTTAAATATGTCACTGATGCAAAAGACAAAATTCTTAGAAATAGAATACATAGGTGTTTAATATCTTCTCAGACAAATACACAGTCATTTTGATTATGTGTGCAATGTGAGACAGGTGGTGTTGCTGCCCGCTCTTCTTTGATTTCCAAATGTCAATAGTTCTTTTATATGAACAACAATGAGAACACACATGGTTTTCATTGGTTACAACAAACTTTCCTTGTTATCCATGGCTCATGCACAGGTGACAAGAGAAAGTTTGAAAGATCCTGATGGTTCTCTTTGGCCACACCTGGGCCCTTATTCACGAAAACTTAAACTAAGATACAATCGAAATTTTAAGAAATACAGCAATTGGATTGGCTGACCAATATGCAAATTGGATATATGCAAATTGATTTTACTGGTCAGCCAATCTATTGCAGTATTTCTTAAAATTTTGATTGTATCTTAGTTTAAGTTTTCGTGAATAAGGGCCCAGGATTTAAATTCTAAACTTGATTACAGTGACTCCCATGTGAGTGATGTGACCATCCTAAGAGAATACGTAGTTGTATGTAGCAACCTTGATTTGGCATATGCCATTCAACACATGCAAGTACCATATTTATATAAAAAAAATACAATAAAGATTATTGGTCTAGTCTGTCCTGGCAAAATTCAATATCAAATAAGTTGTGCAAAATAATTTTCTTTTAAGTTGGTGTATAAAAACTGTTTTAGTTTATTAAAAAAAGAAGACCAGACACAAAGTCTATCATTATAAAGAAAATTCATGTTCTTAGAGAAAATATAATTTTTTGTTGCAAGTAATCCTTAAAGATCATTTAATACATTCACATTGAATTATGAATGTGGTTTATCTTCAGATATTATTCCTGAGGGAGATGGTATGAAATTACAAACTTTCTTTTCATTATGCAATAGAATGAATTTTTACTCTGAAGCAGGATATCTGGTATAATATTAGTTCCAACTATGCACAAACTGACGTCCAAAGTGTATTGCTTTTGAATTGTCTGTAGATGAATACCGGTACTCAACCAGAAAGTCAATGAGTCAAGCTGCTAGATTTTTTTTATTGTACTAGCAGGCAGGGAACCAGACTCTTGACAAGGACACTGTGCCCAGTCATCGGAATGGGACGAAAAACTGAGATCCACATTTATCCTCATTGGCCCTAACCTCCTTAACGCTGCACACATAATCACACAAAAAAAAAGTCAACCATATTTTAGTCTCAAAATAACTAAAGTAATGTTGATGAGATGTTAAAGATCTTTGCATTCTTTTATAAATTTACAGTGAGTGATGTTAATTATGGCATATTAATTTGAAAACAATTTGAAATTCAGGTTGTGCATAGTTGAAACTATTTTAATACTAGATAGATAAATAAAATATTTGCAATGAGTGAATTTTTCCTTTAAAAATAAATAAGACCCATCCATTTTTCCTGATTCTTCTTAGTCAATGTGTCATGTTTTTATAAAATATTAAATAGATCAATTTCTTCATTTTCTTTGATACATTTTAACTGTAAAATGCAATGACATTTAACACAATATCAAATGCTGAAATATATTGATATTACTTTAATAAATAGATGAAACTACATTCATCAAAAAAACTTACTGCAGCATTTTCAAATAGACCGGTTGTCATGACGATACAATGGACTCCCTCCTGCCATATCATGTGCCAGAACTGAATGATGGATCGGCTGTTAGGACCTGCACAATATTCAAAACATTCTTTTCTATTATTGCTGCACATGTTTGAAAAACATCAATTCAATTTTCTAGTTTATTTGCGCTGGCATGATGAGCTACCGTGGATTAGGTAAACCTCCACATAATTCACAAAAATTACAATTGTACATTTTGAAGATCCTTTTGCTTCCTACTTGCATTTTATTTTATGATTTGTCATTTCCGTATGATATATGCCTCTTAATTTGTGGTTATCTTAATGAATTTCTGGCATGAAAATATTTGATTTATGAGATGGTCGTTTTTACTGACCTTGTGAGGCAATATATTCTTTGGAAACACAGTAACCCTGCAAGACAAAAATAAAATGTTACTCAATAAGTTAAATGCCATGAGTCGTGGTGATGAATCTAATCAAACAAACAATATATAAAACTGAGTACAGATGCATACTACTGCAGATTACAAGAAAGGTTGTTTTTTTGGCATTTCTTAAAGAATTAAAATCCTGAAAGATCATTTCCTAAAGAATTAAAATCCTAAAGAATGAAATTCCTGAACAAATAAATTCTGGGGGGGGGGGGGGTTGGTTGTACTGTCTGATGATCATTCATTCATGAAGACCTTTTACCAACAGCTTCAATTTGTTACTTCCTTGTGTTGATTTTCTATATATTCAGCTCAGTCAATAGAAATAATCAAAAAAACACCCCAAAATGACAATTTTAGTAGTTAACACCAGTTGCTCCTAAAAATGTTATCATAATATCCACAAAGCTCAGCTGATGAATATGGCAACTCATTGAACAGCAAGAGGGATCAGTGTCTGGAAAGGATAAGTATTACGCAGCCACGTGTGATACCCACCAGTGCTTGGTGTTAAACACAATGTATAATATTAGTTTAAATAAAATACCAGTAAATTGGCTTTTATACATGAGACAGATCAAATATGTTACACTGATCAACAATTCTGTGATGAGACCACTGAACATTGTAGTGTATATATAATGTTTAGTTCAGCAATTTCAATTTAATAATCTGTCATTGAGCAAGAGTTTGCCAAAAAATGAGCATGCTCTTGCATACAGCTTAAGCTGAGAAATATACAATATTGTCATTTGGAATTGTAGCTGTAGCTTAAATTACAGATATATGAAACATAGTTTTTCAGAACAATTTATGCGATTAATGAAACATAGTATTAAAAATGCATTGTGTAAAAAGGTAGATGAAAAATGAATATATTGAAATTTTTAGTCAGATTACTTTATTCTATCATAAGTTGTGAGTGTTTGAGAGAGAGAGAGAGAAATGGGGTTTAATGTCCACTCGACACAAACTGTCATTTTGGGACTAACATGTGGTTCAATTTTATTTACATAATTCGCTTGCGCATAGAGGTCTTTAGCAGTGGGAGGAAACCGGAGGACTCGGAAAAAACCCACGAGGTTGGACAGGCGACCCTACTCCTTGTCACATACAACCGGGGAATCGAAACCCCTCCAGTTGACTCATTAACAGACTTTATGATACAGCGTGCACGTGCTAACCATTCAGCCATCCAACCCCCCCGTTGAGTGTTTGAAGTTTCGACAAAATGTAGCATGGATTGTTTATCATTGTTGCTAAAGATGCATTATATGTAAGATTTAGATAGTGAGTTGGCCATTCTTGTGATAATAGTTCAAAAATAGATAATGAAAAATGAATATATTGAAATTGGCAGTCAAATTACTTTATTCTATAAGTTATGAGTGTTTGAAGTTTTAACAAAATCATGCTTGATGCTTGATTATTTATTTTATAGTTAAATAGCCATGGTGTTCTAATCTACGTACAATTAAAGTCACCCATAGCCATAAGAGTTGATTATGGGGTGCTTGTTATGTTAATAAATGTTTAAGTAATAATTTATATAACGTTTGAAGCCAGAAAAAAGACCTGCAATAGGCAGGTTTAGTTCTTAGATGATGAATGTTTAACTATCTTATCATGGCTTCATGATCCATTAGTTTTTTAAAAAAAGAAAGAAAAATATCGAATTAGGTTACAAGGTTAACTCTCTCCAGGTAACATAAAACTGTAGCATCCCTAGAGGAATTCTAAATTTCTTTCCAATTTGCTGGAGATCCTGGAGGTCAAATAATGAAAAGAGATAATCAGATATTTGTCTCATTTCTATACATGAAAGCAGACGGCAAGTAGCCAGTGATATCCCGGGCATCCTTTACCACATATTATCAAACACGACAAGAAATGTTTATGCAAATATCTTTTTATTCGAAAAGACAACAAACTCTCAGATTTTCTTCTAAATGTTGAATACGTTACTTCAAACAAATTAAATGTCTGCTTTACGAAGGAAGGAAGAAGATTTGTGTTATTGAGAAATGTAGTCCGCAAGGGCTGAAAGCTTTTGATAAAAGATGTCAATCAATCAATATGTCCTGCACCTTGATAAAAAAAAAAAAACGAGCATGAAAATCTTTCCATTCAGTAAGGGATCGGGCTAATTTTAGCCAATATGTTGTCAAAGGATCAATGTCTGAATTCAATATGGCTGGTAACAGAACAAATTTACCCTTACCAAAAACCATTTCGATTTCTGTCAAATGAAGAGAAAAAGAATATTTTCCATTGATTATATAAAGCTGATATTAAACAGAATTTTGGGTTTATTTTCAATAACCGTTGAATAGAGAAACATTTAAAATCCTCTCTTTAGTATAATCATGTCTGACAGATTGATTAAACTTCGAATACATAATTTTTGTTCTCTGTCTAGGTCCGTATCAGGTTAAATAATAACAAATGTTTTTATTTCCGCGTGGATTAGTTAATCGCTTGAATAAATACATACATATAATAGAATTATATTTACATAAATATTTCCATTACCAACGGAGAGAATGATGGGTATTCATGAATTTTTAGACGTCATGCTGTTTTTAGAAGCTGATAATATCAATGCTCAACTTCAAGCACTTAAGATTCATTCAGTCATACGTGGTGCTTAATGTTCGCTGCCACCAAGAGTGATATTGCAGATATAAGTATATAGGGAGAGAGCAAAGGGATTTCACGTCCACTCGACACAAACTAGGTCATTTTGGGAATAACATATGGTTCAATTTTATTTCAATAATTCGCATGCCCGTGGGGGTCTTTAGTAGTGGGAGGAAGCTAGGGGACTCGGAGAAAACTCATGAGATTGGCAACCCTACCCCTTGTCATATACAAGAGAAGAATTAAAACTTTGTCAATTGACTAAATGACAGACCTTATGATTTCACACGCACAAGTTAAACCACTAGACCCTCCACCCAAACCTCCATATAAGAAATATAGCTGTCATTATATTGAGCACCAACTCAAATGGCACCATGTCATGTGGTTTTTCGTTAAAGTGATAATTTCATATTTTCTAAGGAAGTCAAAACGTAATTATTTCTATATCGGTTGCTAAATAGGTTGTCAAATAACTATTATACAATCATAGGAATCATTCTAGCATTTAAAAACATTTACATCAAATTTGAAATATTTTTTAATCACCCACAGCACTTGGAAATTGTATCCTTTTTCTCTGGAAAACTAAATCAACATAATAGAAGTGGTTGGTTGTCCAGGGTCCGTATTTAAAGTATATCTTAAGTCTAAGATAGTCACTTAACTACTAGATTTCAGTTAAATATACGTAACTTCCTGTAAGTTTTGGGAGAGAGAGAGAGAAATGGGGTTTAATGTCCACTCAACACAAACTAGGTCATTTCGGGACTAACATACGGTTCAATTTTTATTTCCATAATTCGCTTGCGTGTAGGGGTCTTTAGCAGTGGGAGGAAACCGGATGACCCGCAGAAAACCCACGAGGTTGGACAGGCGACCCTACTCCTTGTCACGTACAACCGGGAAATCGAAACCCCGCCAGTTGAGTTTTGACAGACCGTATGATAAAGCGCAGCGCGCACGTGCTAACCATTCGGCAATCCAACCCCCCTGAAGTTAAGGGTAAGTGGTATTCAAAGGCAGCCAATGTTGGTGTGATTTTTGGCAGTGGAGGTTATTCCATAGGATAAAAATTCATGCTTTTTGGCTAATGTTGGTGTTCCATATAGGTGTGCAGTTAAGTTTTTCACATAGCCAAAATAGAGCCTTTGAATACCGATTTATAAGGTAAGACACTTGGTTACTCGTTAGGTGGAAAAATTAAGTATTTTTACTTAACTTTAACCCTTTAAGAAAACCTTTGAATACGGACCCAGGTCCGTGGTTAAGTATATAAGGAAAATGATACCTAATTGACTGAGACAAAATTACCTCCCTTGTTTTTATGGCTAAAATGAGACGTTCAAAATCAAGCTTTTTACTTTCAACCAAATTTTTTTTTTTGTCAGTCTCTCTACTGACACTAGGGAAGTATAGGAATAATCTTTCACAAGGTGGAACGTATGTAACTAACGTTCGAAAACTAAAATGGTAGCTAGTTCTGCAGGTACGGTGGGTCTGTTGTTCAGATTGAAGGTGGTTTTGTGTATAGATGTCATGTATTTTAACATATTTTAAACATATGACTTTAAAAAATGCAATTGTTGCTTTAGGACTGAATCTGCAACGATTTTATCAAAGAAAATTAAGATGCCACAGGTCTGGGAAAAAATAATTTTTGTTGTATGCGACAAAATGTCAGGCACTATTGAAGTTGTACTAGTCATATTTCACCTAACTACATATTTCATACGTCCGACCACCTGATATGTTTTAATAAACATCTGATTCCATTTATAGATCACAATAATAGTTTAGTTAATGGAACTCATTTGTATGTAAATACAAGCTATAAAAATTGTAGTGATACATGTAAGTTTATCTGAATTCAAATAAAGAATACCTCCATGTTCTATAATTAGCTATATCGTGGACCGTATAGCTATATCCGAGAAGAGATAATACTAGAGGTACCGTATTTATATCAACTATCATTTAATGACTTACTAACTCTATCTTTTATAAGATCATATAATCTTTATATCTCAAGAACATGTCGTTTTTTTCTATTTCTGGACCAAAATGAAGCCAATTGTTCTAGAAAACAACAATGTACGTCTTTTTAAATAATATAGTAGTCTGGATCCCAGACATTTTTTGTGTTTATTTCATTTAGCTTTTATATCTCGATCTATACATCTTCCTTCCTTTAGCTAACAGATCTACAGACACAAGCAAGACAAAACTTTATCACCATTAAATCATCTCAGAAATTCTTTATATCATGTTTTTTGTAGGCCTATGTAAAGCCGTTTTAATGTTCATATAAATACCACCCTGGTATTATAAGCAGACACGGATACAGAGGTGGGAGCTGCACAAAATCTAGTTTGCACTCCCCTCTTAAAAAATCCACCCATTTTAAGTATTGTAATAAGCCTCAAAATCATGGTACCTCGAATTTCAGAGGCTAGAATTACCTCAGATTAAGCAAAAACAATTGAAATGGTGAATGAGTCTTTTTCACATTTCTTTTAGAGATAGAAATTAGAGCAAAAAGTAAGGAACATGTTCCCAACGTATACCATTCCCAATAACAACAAAAAAACAAGAGCAGAAATTATAATACATCATATCAAGAAGATAAACTGCCTTCCTACAAAATTGCATTGTTTAACTTTTTACCTAAGATTTAGATAAAGAGCTGGCAGTTTGAAAATAGATAATGAAATAGGAATATACAGTGAATTACTTCATTCTGAGCGAAGTTAAGAATGAAGAATAGGGTAGTCTTGATTATCCTTTTTAAATTAAATTATTAAATATTGATTGTGTTTCAGTCTTTTCAAAATTACAACAATCCAATGATCTAGAGAGTTGATTATGAGCTTGTCATGTGAACAAATGTCTAATGAATAATTAATACAACATTTGAGGCCAAAAGATCTGAAATAGGCAGATTTAGCTCTTAGTCCTTAAATAATGCATCATTAAGAAATATATTTATTGTCTGATATATTCCTTTGACATTAATTTAATATTCTAATTGTACATAAGTTGGTGCTGAGATTATAAATGATTTGAGTATAGCACTTGAATATCTCATTCACCTCAGAAGTCTGTTTGATTCCATATGTTTCAACCACTTTATCTTCATAAATTATATTGTTTGAAATAATAATTGTACATGGATTTTAAATATAAAAAATGAATTATTTAATTGGTCTTGGTTTTTTCTGGGAAAACAATCTTTTCACTAAGCAGTCATAATAATTAAGAGTAGAATTTTTGATATTTTAAAGTAAAATTGTTATGAAAAAAAAACAGTTTATCTACTAAAGGTTACTTGTATCAGCACTGTATTTTGAATTTTTCTCTTCAGTATTACATTGGTAAACCATATACATGTTAAAAATATTAAAAATAATGTAAAAATTAGAATATCTGCACATAGTCTAAATATAGAAAGTGGTAGTACAAAAACATAGAAAGAAAAAAAAGAGTTCGTGATTTATGTAATCTAGCAGAGATTGAAGACGAAACATATAATATTCTAATATGCCCCTTTTTTGACGATATATGTGAACGCTATTTGAAACCTTCTTATTTTACAGATCCAAGGGTATATAAAGTTTATATCATAAACTTATCCAGCTGTTAAAAAAAGTCAATAATTTCAAAGAATTGTGTAACCTTGGTTTCTTTTTATATTTATCATTTACAAAAAGAATCAAACATTTAAAGTATTAACTGATCAGCTTTATTTAACATTTATTGTTTATCTCTCCATATTGTATAAATGTGATAATTTGTATATTGTAAATATTTGTATATATTTTGTATCTGATGAGTCCTAAGACTCAAAGAATAACAAAACTTTGAACTGTAACTAAGTTGAAAAGCAAGATTGGATGTCAAAAATGTGTTTCTTAAAACAACTAGTAGAAGCATATATACTATAGACCAGTACATGAACCAAGTATGACATCATCGCAGGCAGATGGTCGGTTACTGGTACCTATAGTCTGGTCATGTATATATTTGATCAGAAAGACAATAAGTATAGTAGGTATGTGCATTTTGATTTAAATGTTACCATTCTAGTTCCTTAAATTGAGTCCCTTTTTGATCCAATTTATGAGATAATATATTTTTATACGCCCACATTTTCATGTGGACGTATTATGCCGTCGCCCCTGTCCGTCCGTCCACAATTTGTTTGTGGACACTCTACAGGTCACAGTTCTTATCCGATTTTGACGAAACTTGAAATATAGGTTTATCTCCAAAAGATCTCGGCTGCTTTCGATATTGGCATGTATCGGGTCGAAACTTCATGGATTATGGCCCCTGTTTGTACGAAAAATTATGTTTTTATCTTGTGGACCCTATAGAGGTCACAATTTTTATCCGATTTTGTTGAAACTTGAAATATAAGTTTATAACCCAAAGATCTCGGTTCCTTTCAATATTCGCGCATATCGGACAGTAACTTCCTGAATTATGGTCCCTGATTGTACGAAAAATCGCGTTTTTAGCTTGTGGACCCTATAGAGGTCATAATTTTTATCCGATTTAAAAAAACGTATTATTATATCACCGTTACACCCTACAGACGACCGAGTTCGAATTTCGTGAAAATCGGTCCAAAATTGACAGACAAAATAGCCGCCGTTCGTTCTCAAATAGCATAAGAATATGGTATATCAAGGTTGTGGACCCTATAAAGGTCACAATTTTTATCCAATTTTGTTGAAACTTGAAATGTAAGTTTATAACCCAATGATCTCGGTTCCTTTCGATATTCGCGCATATCGGACCGTAACTTCCTGAATTATGGCCCCCGATTGTACGAAAAATCACGTTTTTAGCTTGTGGACCCTATAGAGGTCATAATTTTTATCCGATTTAAAAAACGTATTATTATATCACCGTTACACCCTAAGGACGACTGAGTTCGAATTTCGTGAAAATCAGCCAAAAATTAACAGACAAAATGGCTGCCATTCGTTCTCAAATAGCGTAAAAATATGGTATATCAAGGTTGTGGACCCTATAGAGGTCACAATTTTTATCCTATTTTGTTGAAACTTGAAATGTAAGTTTATAACACAAAGACCTCAGTTCTTTTCGATATTTGCGCATATCGAATTGTAATTTCCTGAATTATGGCCCTTGATTGTAGGAAAAATCACTTTCTTCTTAGCTTGTTCTCTATCCATCTCTCGAAAATGTGGGCGTATCCTGCCTGGCAGCCGCTGGTTTAATTCTGAAACATTGTAATTTCTAGGGCCTTTTTTGTTCGATAGATGATTTTATTAACATTTTAGCAAATACATGGTCCTCAAAATATTGTTAGTTATAATCTTATCTTGATCAAATTGAACCTGTCAGAATCATCACCCATAATATGCCATTCAATTCTTAAAAAAAAAAGATCCTCCTGGAAAGTTACAAAGAAAACCTGACATAATGCATTTTGGAGTCGCTTCAAAGCCAATTCCTCTTTAGGACATTACTTAGGAACACACTGACTGAATGTAATTATAGTTACAGCCATTTTTAAGAAATAAATTTAATATATAAGAATGTCTTATCTCTGTCAGTTGTTCTTAAATGTACATCCATTACATATACACATGGTAGTTCAATAGATTAAAACATCATTATAAGTTCATTGTGTCTTCTAGATACCTTTAAAATAATCAATATCCTTGGAAGAAAAAGAAACTCTAGTCATTAATATCCATCAGTCTTTTCTGTCTGGAATCTTTAAAACTATACTTCCTCTTAAAGATAAACATCTGAACTCCTTTATGTAATAGAACACTATTAGAAAAAAGACTCCAATTCTAATAGTAATAATCTTTATATTAAAAAATAACTATTCAAACTGTACATTACCAGATATTAATATTTGTAATCAATAGTAAAAATTATTGAGTAATGAGAAAACAAGTGTATAATTACAATTGTAATAATCTTTGTATTTCATATAAAAAAAATAATAAATAACTGTTCAAACTCTACATTACCAGATATATATTTGTGTAACCAATAGTGAAAATTATTGAGCAAATTACTAGCAGGAAGGGTAATGGAATTACTAACTAAGTGGAAACAAACTCATTAACATGTAAATTTATAGGTCAGACACTTCTAGTAGAGAGATCCTTACATAAATCTCTTCATACGATATTTTTATTCATATTTTCATTAGTCTGATGATATCCTTGTATCTAAATTGTTGATTTTTCCACTTTAAAGCATGAGTCACAATATAAATTCTTATAAAACTCAGCTTTATAATGAGGTTTTACTCTACAGAAAACTATCACAACACACCAGAACTGTTTTATGAATAAATGATACATGTATTTGATCGAAATTCTATTTCGCAACCTCTCACTAATAGTAATACTACCAAGCAACGAACATGAGGAATTGCACAGTTCGATTCTATCAAGCTTCATACAATGTTTCTCTGGAGAGTTTCACACTAGATAAATTATCAGGTTCACGGTTTTTCCATTTGTCAGGCGCATACAACAGGATTCCCTTTAGAACAATTACCATGGTCAGTTAGGTAGGGATGTTTGAGAAGTGGAGATGCAGTTGATGGAAAACAATAAGCAGAAGTGGGATATTGTGATTTAAGTTTGTAAGATGGGGAAATAAGACGGCATTAATTAATAATTAAAGGAGATTGCTTTATGTTCTACTAAACCAGGGGCTCATTTCAATAATTGATTTAAGTATAAAAAATCATAGAACTACTAAACCAAAATTTCTCAATGAAAAGATATACACTTTAGTCTATAATTTATATACTTATTATGTTCAGTGAAACAGACCCCTAGACATTTACCAGGTATTTTACTTGAACATTATTTTGTTCTGGTAGATATAATAGTAAGTGCAGTAGGGCCACACTACACAGAAACAAAACCAATTCGACAAACCTGTGGACAATGAGATGCACAAAATACAAAGACGCTGCAAGCAATAAACAACAACCGTTTATATCAAATTATGTCAGTGGTTCTTGTGTCAAGCCCGTAAGTTATAATTCTGTGTCAAATTTAGATTAAATATTTATCCAAATATTTTTATAATATAAAGTGAATAATCAATTTGACTGACAACTAATAAATGTATTGATTTTTCATATATATATTTGAATTTTGTTATATTATTAATATTGATTGTATGTTTTGTATAAAACTTTTTACATAGACAAATTTTATGTAATTGGTTTATAATGATTTCATAATAAATTATATTAAATTCTTACATCGATGTGGCTTGCATTAATATAGTCATTCTTCCATCCCTTGGGAACATCCCACAAGATTACTCTACTATGATCATCTGAAAGTAGAAAAAGTAAGGGGAGATTTATTGGCTGAAAGCAATTATATTATAGTTAGATTCAAACCTGTCAATATTTTATACAACACCGATGTCCATTTAGTAATTAGATTTCACCATTAAACTGTGTGACATTGTATGAATTATTGATGCTATATTTATTACATTATAACTGAGAGTATATGGTATCTACTGAAGATACATAATGGCATCATTCTAACACCATCGTAAGTGGCAATATGTAGTAAATGACTTTCTGATTGCTATATAAGCTGTGCAAATTATTATATGACAAAATTACTCTCTAAGATGAAAGAAGTCTGCTAATTTTGCAGCAAATTCTTCAAATAACAACATCCTTTTTAAAAGAAAAATTCAAAGAGATGTCAAAAGCCTCTGGCATATTTTATCACATACTAAAATCTGAAAACAATCGATGACAGCAAACTAAAGATATTGAAAGGAAACCAATTTCACGGCAAGGGTTAGTTTTAGATGACTAATGTGAAGTTGCCAAAGCCGAACTTGAACCTTCATTAGGAACAACCAGTAATTTTTAGAATCAGGTTATAATTTTTATAGTTAACGATTTTATTTATGAGATCAATTTATTTTATGGACCCTTGCTACAGGTCCTCTTGATGAGCCCAGACCCCAGGGAACTTGTCATACTGACCCCTTCACATCAAACAGAACACAGTTATATTTTAAAATGTCTTCCAGATCTTACTAATGTGAAGACAAATCAAAATTTCAACCAAGGTATAAATAAAGCAAACAAAATAGGATCTGTGTTTTAATCCGATCAGGAGACAGATTCAAGGATAGAATTTGTGCCTTTCATACCTAAAAATTTATTATCAATAACTTCTATTATCAATAACTTCTATTATCAATAACGAATTATCAATAATTTCTATTATCAATAACTAATGAAATACAACACCACAATCTCCTATAGTAAAGTACTCTGTATCAATCTAATTCATATTTCTGGTTATTGTAATAAAAACAAACAGCTTTGAAATAAAGTTACTAATTTTAAAGACAGACAGCCTCATTAAGAAATGATATCCCGGAGGAACGGGTCATCAAGATAGGCTATAAAATTCTCAATAAAATTATCTCACACTGTCAATATTGAATGAAACAGAGATGGAAAAGAAATTCCATGGTGTATCTATCATATAAATTTATGATAAAGATAGTAGAAATTATCGTTGCTAGAGATGAAATAGAACTCAATAGTGGATGCTGTTCTAGATAAAGTGAAACACCATCTACATAGGTACTGCATTTCATAAAATAACCATTCATCTGTTGGTTTTTCTTGTAAAAAGCATCAAAGCTTTGATTGCACATTAGTTCTGAGTTCCTCAATTGTTGCAATAATTTGAAAGTTCAATTTTATGTTGTTTTGAGCATGTTATTGTGCCTTCATATCTGAGAACTATAGAAAATGTTGTCTTAGTTTTTTTCACATGAATATTGCATTCTAATGTTTGGTTAGAATTGTTATAATGAGTGTTCCATACCTAATTTGTAAATATTTAAGCCCCCAGGATGTTATTGTTGGAGATCTATTTCAATTAAGTGGGAAAAGAAACAAAGGTGTTCTTTATGAAATGTGCTTTATGATGGCCAGTGGATTATCATCTATGTGAACTGAACTTCAATACATTCTAGATAAAAGATAGTCAGTGGAGTTCTAGATGAAAGATAATCAGCGGAGTTCTAGATGAAAGATAATCAATGAAGTTTGAGACGAAAGATAATCAATGGATTTCTAGATGAAAGATAACCATCTATGCGAACTGAACTTCAATATACATTCTAGATGAAAGATAGTCCGCAATTTGACTAAAATGCAGATCTATATTTCATTTCGTTTTTTTTTATACTTTTGATGGCCTCCACTACATAAGATCTGACCGGTTGTAGTGGAAGGTTGTGTCAGGGTCATACGAGCGGCTTTTGACCCTATGACATCAGATATTTGATTAACCAATCAGCGTTAATGTTTCTAGTGGGATACCCAGTTCCATTCACCGCACGCCAAGAACTCGCCGAAACAGACCATTTCGTTGGCTAATCCCTCACATCAATCAGAACGCAGGTTATATAACAACTCTTCCAGATCCTAGTGTAGTAAAGACTAGTAAAACGAAATAAATTTAGAACTATAAAAAAAACAAATGAAATAGGATCTATGTTTTAATCAGATTGGATAGTTCGTGGAGTTCTAGATGAAAGATAATCAGTGGAGTTCTAGATAAACAGAACTTTAATAAGACTGTATGTGGTATTCCATGTGAACTGAATTTCAAGACCATAACTGGGGTGCTAACTCAAATAAACTTCAATTAAGTCAGTGAAGTTCTAAATGAAAACAAATTCTTGATAGTAAATAGGTGTATTGGATGATATACTGGTCAATGGTGCTCTAGATGAATAAAATGGTACTGTGAACCGAACGAAATCCTAGGTAATCAAAAGTGTTCTTGGGAAATCAAATTGCAGACAGTCAATAACTTGTTCTAGAAGAAATTAAATTAAGATAATCAAGGGTGTTCTAGATGAAATTAAATTCAAGAGTCATTAAATTGTTCGGCAAGAAACAGAATTGCAGTTGGTACTAAAGATTATGATATGTGTTTAATAATGAGAACTGTTAATTTATCCATATTTTAAAACAAATAAATTGTCCTCAAAAGCATAGTAGTACAAATGTTGGATGCTTACAAATAGAACAGATTCATCAACATCAAAAACAATTTTCCATTCTAAAAGCCTTTCAAATAATCTTATTTAGATCAACTAAATAATCCATTCAACAATATTTTTGATTCCGTTTCAGTATCTCAAGAGCTAGAGTTATCATAAATGTACAAAATACCCTATTTTAGGGCAATAAATCTCTTTAGGTTCAAAGACAATGATAATGGAAAATTGTTATTTGACTAAGCTAAAATAATCAATTGAACTTTCACAAAAAGCTGTCATCTACCGACATCTTTCACAAGTAAAAACAAAAGACGCAGGGTAATTGGGACAACTTGTTTACAATAGCTGGAAGAAAACCCTTTAACACAAATCAATAAAAATTCCATATTTAGGTTTGGTTGGTATTAATCTAGCCATTACGTTTCTTATCGTTTATATATCAAATCAAAGAGTAAACACACTGTTCGGGAGAGCTGAGGGTTGAAGATATCTGTTATAACTGACAAGGAGAGTGAAGGAAATAAATATGGGTATTTAGAGCGAATAATGGCTATTATATATACAAGAATGTCTTGAGTTTAGCTGATTTACTTCTCTGCTATCTTTACTTTATTAATTCCTTCAACAGCTCATTCTTCAGTATGGACATTTATGTTCCAGTATGCTTGGAATACCTCAATCAAATTTTTCCCAAGAGGGGTCAACTCAAATTTATTTAATCTTAAGAAAGCTAATAATATAAGACAAGAACAGGAGAAATGTAAATAAATAGGGCTGGTGTTTCACAGTTCTATGAATAATAGATTCCACTGACCATATGGGCACCTGGTATTTTCACTTGTTAAAGACAAAAGTTTATGACTTTATATATATTTATTTCTGGATGAGGAAAGATGGTGGCTAAAAACAGTCCAGCCTGTACACGTAGGTTGACTGTTGTCTACCAGATCTCATTAAATGATAATGAACCTTAAAACTATCCCCTTCAGATAACTAATTTCATCTATTATTTGGACATCTATCAAATAACTTTTTATTTTAACTAAGAAGCAAGACTGTAATAAGCTTTATTTCCATCTTGATGCTCATGAGCCAAATTAGAAGGAATTAAGGTTAGTATACACATACACCAACATCTTTAAATAGATACAGATTTTATTCCTGGTTAATCTATTTTAAAAAAATAATTTATCTTTTTTATATAAAAAGAGGCTCTAAGGACAATGTCTTTATGCATTGTTGTAAGTTAATCTGTTAGTTCCCGTTCCCTCATTTTATAGTACATATTTTTGATTTTACTGTTTTACTTAACATACTGTCAAGTTTATCATTGTCTTGTGTTTTCATTTGTGTACTGTAAACAGCCAATGAAAAGGCAGCTGTTTGAATCATTCATACCCAAACATTATTTATAAACTGTTTCAAGTCTCATGCATAACACAGCTGAAAAGCAACATAAAGTTACATTTCTAATTTCAACACTCATTTTTGTTCTGTAAGATAAAATGAAGTATAGAGTGTTTACCCCTATAAATACGCTGTATCATAAACATTACACTCTTACTAAATGGTGATTAATTTGACGATAAGACTAACTGATGACATAAAAATGGTAAATTTTTACAAAATAACCATCAACTTTGTAATTTCAAGCCATTCAGGTATTCGTTCTTTTTTTTATAAATAAATGTACAATAAGGTTTTTAGGTGAGAAATTCAACATACGCTATTAGTTGAGACAGTTTATTTTTGGATTAAGTCTAATAAATTCTATACTTAACTTCTTTTACAATAAATTATATCTACTGCGTAACAAAAAAATGGCAAGCGATAGAGTAAATAAGAACCTTAAAGATGGGTTACCGCGTACAAATTGGGTGATTTAATGGTATATACGGACTAAAAACATATTCAAACTAATTAATTTGTCATAATTTTGCTTCAAATCCTTCTCAAACATTGTAATTGCGAAGGAATGTCCTACTATAAAACTTCAATCAAACCAGGTCATGTCTACGTCACGTGACTTACCTCTCTTGGAAGTCAGAGGAGAATTCATTGCATACATAAGATGATGTTGTCTTTAATCGCTTACTATTTATTACAAATATCGAATCCTAATTAAATTCTCGGATTATCCACTACCCGCGTCTTTTTCTGTCATTTTTATCTCAGAAATTGTTGTACGTCTTCATAAAGTTTATCAACTTGTACATCAAGCGCTCAATGTTCGCAAGTGACCTTTGACATCATGCGTGCAGAAATTCCTAATCGTC